TTAATACAGGAAAGATGGAAAGTGTCAGGTCTGAAGAAGTATTCATGAAGGGCTCTATCCCACAAGGTAGCGTATTAGGGTGTATCTTATTACTAATTTACGTTAATGACCTCCCCCACCAACTTGATGACCAATGCACTCTTTTTGCGGATGATATTTCAATTATAGTACCGTGTTCTAATACTAATGACTTAAACAATAAATTGGACTTTACCTTGGACAAAATTCTAAACTGGCTAGAAATTCATAACTTAATAAGCTCCCCTACCTTTGAACTATAGTTATAATAATCAGACATTAACTACTGCTGACACTGCTACTCTACTGGGACTCGATCTCGACTCAAACATGAACTGGAAACCGTTTATACGTAATCTGACCAACAAGTGGTCATCATTCATATACGCCCTACGTCATGAAAAGCGTGTATCTGATTTTAAATCTGCTCTTACGCATACTATGCGTACTCTCATTCGAGGTTGTCTTATGGCGTCATTATATGGGGAAACTCTACTAACGTAAATGATGTATTTGTACTACAGAAAAAGTGTGTTAAGATATTGACAAATATAGAACAGAGAGAATCTTGTAGACCTCACTTTCAAAGATTATATTAATATTAACTTTAACAGGTACTTATACTTGAGTCGTGCAAATTTATTAGGAACCATCCCACTTTATTTACTCCGAAAATTGAAATTAAAGGTAACAACAGAAACCTACATCAAGTACACGTACTATTTCCTAAATTGAAATTAGTTAGTTCTGGACCACAAATTATGGTAACAAAATGATTATCACTAATTTCAGGTTCTTACTTAATAAAAAGAAGTCATACCGTGGTAAGAAACCAGAAATTAGTGATAATCCTTTAGTGAATAACCACGAAAGCCTTAAAATCTATATGGTAACAAAAATTTACAATCACATACCGATTTATATAAAAGAAATTCAAGAATTTAAAATTTTCTCCAAACATCTAAAATGACAAAATATAATTTATTATGTAATTAATTTGTTTGTTCTCAATTTATCTTATGCATGTATACTTATATAATCACATATTAATATATTCACAATTTTACCATGATCACAATTTTATTGCTTTTATAATGAGTGACCTCATCACTTTGCTGTGCCCTTACAACTTGTCACATGTACATGTACAATTTTTTTTTTATTTATGTACACGCAATCAAGTCTGCCAACTATCATGCTCAAGATACTGTTGGCGGTGGCCCGCATCCTACGCACCAAGGAAGTGCATCGCTTGCGCATCGTGGCGTGGAAACAATCCACCCGCGCGTCTGCGAACATACCTGAAGCGTTGCAGTACCGGGGCAGCCCCATCAGTACCCTAAAAGCGTTGTTAAATTGTACACGCAGAGCATTGTACTGCCTTTGTGTGTAGTTTGTCCATAGGGCGCTGGTGTAAAAAATTGTACAGAAGGCTCTAAATAGAGTTACCTTCACTTGAACTGAACAATAAGCGAACCTGCGGGCAATCATATTGGCTCTTACGGACAGCGCTCTGCGTTCTCGTTCAATATCATCATCGTCCCCAAGATCAGACGTCACCATATGCCCCAGATATTTGAATTTATTGACTACCTCAAGAGTCGTCCCATTTAATTTAACAACTGGAACATCCGGAACTGGTGGCCAAGAGCATACCTTTCACAAGAGTTGATCAACTTCTCCAGTCCACATATGGAGGCACTCAGCAGCACCATGTCGTCTGCGTAGCTAATATTGTTGACACATATTCCGTCAATATGACAGCCGACACGTGTGCTGCTAAACTCCTCTATCAGCGCGTTTAAATACAAGTTGAACAGCATAGGTGAAGTCAACCCCCCCCCCCCCTGCCTTACCCCACACTGTAACCGATAAGGCTCCGAATATGATCGGAGCCCATCTGACAACATTGACCTGGTTTTGATACCAGATCAATATAATTTAAATTAATATAAGTGTAAAAATACAATAAATGAATGAATGAATGAACAAGTCGTGCGCGTGATGGTAAGCTACACGCCTGTCCATAATAGTTGCAGTGCCAGTCAGAGCTTTGAAACGTAAATATTTGAGGGGCACTGCCACTGCGCCCGTCACCCTGAGACGTAACTTGACAAGTCCCATGTGCCTGTAATTTCACCAGCACTCTTACCCTTTAAAACTGGAACACAGTAATGCTGACATTACAGCTTGCTTACTTGATGCAATTGTTTATTTCTCTACGTGTCGTTAATAATAATACAACCGGAACTACGTATATTGATCCTTTGCATGTAGAATATTAAAAAGGTGCTTGTTAAAAAAAACGGATGAATGCGTTAGCAACAACGAAGGTACTTTACCTTTCATAAATTTCTTCGAAAATGTCCTTGAATCGTCCGTCGTAGCGTTTCAAAATTGTATTCTTTGTGGACAGATAAAGGGGCCATTTCTTTTGTAACGCCACCTGTTTTAACAATACATTATATTTAGATAAGGCCCCCATTTAGCGAACACTTTTGTCGACGTTTAGTGCAATTAAAGGCTATTGTTGTGTATTTAAAGTTGCTCATTTTTTTCGGTTTTAATATATTACTTACTTTACTTATTAACATATGTCATAAGTTGATAAATCCCATGACATTGAAACAATCAGTTGAAATAGACTTTTAATTGATTAACTAAGTACGGTAATCATGTTTTGATATCATGCACAGCCAAGACCTCAACAGGATTAACACTTTGGGCTTTGGATTGTTTTTATCGCAAATGGCGTAGAGTTAAATTGAAATCTAAGTGCCGAGCTTCCCTTGCTCTTCACCCTGTACAAAGATGTAAAATTATTCAAGAAAAAAAAACGATCTTTCAAATATAGGTTACGCGAAACGTTAACCGAATATTTACATTATTTCTTAACTGCTAAGATAAACTTTCAATTTAATTTAATTGAAGAGTGAGAAAATTATAATTATATCATTACAATGAAAACTTCCGTAAAATGTTACAACAATGGATGCTTTTACATCTTGACATTTCAAACATGCGTATAAATTGGAGCTTCTAAGGGTCGTATTCTAGAACTCTACTCAATAATCAAGTCAGGACTTGCAGAGCACTGAAAATCATACTCAACTCCTTGCCATTAGGGTCGTATTTCCAGTGCTTGAAATCATACTCAAGTCTGCTCAAATCCTGACTTGAGCATTGAGTACAGTTCTGGAATACGACTCTTAGTAAGTTTAGTCATACTCGACTTACCTGAAAACTGGAATGTGCGAATGCCCTAATAGACTCATCAGTGTTGTACATGCCCATTACAACGCCACTGCTCTTGAAGTCGTACAACGTGTGCTTCTCGACAGTTCCGTCTTGTGCAGTGAACACTAACTCCATCTACAAAATGGTTATTATATGTAATCGGTTAGACCTTTAATGCGTAGAGCATTGAATAAAGGACTCACCACACTTATCGACGCATTAAGCCGGTCAGAAAAAAATTAAGTACAGTCAACAGCACATCAAGCTTTTTACATACACTTTTGTAGCTTAGTATCGCATCCAGTGCAACGAAACAAGATCCGTTAATGTGTAGCTTGATGTGCTGTCATCTGTACATGTAGCACTTATTAGTGACTCCATATTATGGAACTTGTGTAAGCTGTTTATGGGCCACCGTGTCTAACCAAAACACTAAGTTCTAGTAGTGTTTTGTAATTTCGTTACAACTAGAATCTGTCGGCTGTTATCCATGCAAAACTAATTTATTCATTTTTAATACAAATAACTTATTTTTGAAAAGTACAATTGAGGCTGTCAGCACAAAAGTGGTGTAACCCCATGAAATATGATACAGATATAAAAGATTGCCAATCACAATTAAAAAATCACATTATGACCTAATATCATTTAGTAACATTTAAAGCAGAGGTTCCCAGAGTTTTCTCATAGACCACTTTCAAAATTTAGCTTGTTCCGGTGGACCCCCTGCAGCTACATTTCTACCATATTCCCAAAACTCGACAAAAAATGTGAAGATTACATCTAATTATGGAAATTTGCAACGCCAATGGCTGAGTTCCAACCACAAATTAAGTTTTCGAAAAAGAGTGAGAATTTAATTGATTGTGCTGTGAGTGGATGTCAAAAAAGTAAAGACAAGCTGTACTGAATATGGAGTATGCAAGTTTTTACAAGTAACAGCCGCTGAGCTTCCTATAATATTATCTGCCTGCATTGATAGGTGAAGTCAAGCCAACATTTTAGTTCTTAACTATCAAACGTAGATAAATTTTCGTGGACCCCCGCTTAGGAATTGTGAGCCCCCATTTTTGTGTCACGCCAACGTAGACCCCCGTCGAGTCTCCCGTGGTACCCTGGGAGTCCACCTGGACCACTCTGGGAACTAAGGATTTAAAGTAATATTGTAGAGAAAAAATTAAATGTATTTAAACTTTCAATTAAAACAATTATTTTATAATCTAACGTATTTTATGCAGTTTTTATGTTATGATTGAGGGTCATAAAAAACAATTCAACCGACAAAAAAAAACTCATAGCAACCTTCTCTCAAAATGCTATTTTTTATGTATACAAACACATTATAAAATGACTTTTCAATACGAAAGTGTCTAAAAATTAAACAAATTAAATTATTACCCGTCCAGGTTTAGGAACTACGAAGTCCTGAGCTTTATACTGGTCTCCGTGGGCATGACGACCAATTACGATCGGCTTAGTCCAGCCGGGTACCAGTCGAGGAATGCTCTTGCAAAGTATCGGCTCTCGGAACACGGTGCCACCCAGTATGTTGCGAATCGTACCGTTGGGACTTAGCCACATTTTCTTCAGTTTGAATTCTAGGAATAATGAGTAAAGGTATTAAGGTAATATATGGAAATCTGGATTGCGTATAGTGTTTCTTCTCCTAAGGTATAAAATGTGGTTGTAGGGCTGTACATGTAATGATTAGGGTTTTTATCGCGGGAACCACGGTTTCGAAAACTTGTCAACGATTATTTGACATTTTGAGAATTACGACACTTTTAACGCTTAAGTCACTTAATTCCTCTTCTTCGTGTGCCGCTTCAATATGAAGGTTAGCTACCATCATGGCTAACCTCATTTTTGAAGCTGCCGCACGAATGCGGGAATATGTGCTAAGATTGAACCAGTCTCTCATATTCTTCAACCATGAGATTTTTGTTCTGCCGCGACTACGCTTTCCTTGGATTTTCTCCTGCATTTTTAATTGAAGATTTCGGTATCTATTCCCTTCATTACGTGGCCAAAATACTGCGGCTTCCTTTCATTTACAGTTGTGAGCATTTCCAACATTTTCACTCACTTAATTAACTCTAGTCACTTAATTAAACAGTAATAAAAATCTGCTAAATCAACAGCTTTTTTTCGTGTTACATGGACATAGACTTTAGTATAATTTATGGTAATTGAAGAACGGTGATAATAAAATCACGTCCTTTCTGAAACGCATTAGTCCACTATATACATTTTTTTAAAGTCATAAGTAGTTGCTGCTTTTATTTTATTTGAGTTACTAAAGAACTTCATCATACTTCGCCTGCCTCAATATCTAGCCTGTAAATATGAAAACCTACATTTAAGATCGTCTCCAAAGTCTCGTTTTTCCTGGAATTTTCGAGTCTGCACGCAGACTCGATTTTTTCGCGTGATGCGGAGTTTTTTTTAACGCACACACTCATAGCCACGCACCAGGGAAACCTTGTATCGCGGGTGCCATAAACACACACACACAGACAACCACAAATAACACCCAATGTCACGAGAGAAAGAAATGTGGGCCATACTTACGTAGTAACTATTAAGTAATTAATCTACAAATATTTTTCTCGGACCGGGAATCGAACAGAGCAGCATGGTAACAGTACGGCCATGGAGGCAGTTAAAGACATGGAGTGAGGTTGAAAGCCCTAGTATTGATACTAAAAGTTTCAAATTAACGTCTATAAATTCACAAGAGCATTAATTTTGTACTAGAAATTATGAGTACCCAATGTTTATAAAAAAAAGCTCTCGTTTTGTACTAACATTTCGGCAGATAAGTCAGGGTCACATGAGTAGTTCGAGTCCAATCTATGCACGTCAATGTATTTATCTTTTTTTATTTTTAGAATTAAATTTTATACAAAAGTGTTAAAAATAATATATTATTATATTGTCTTTTTGTCGAGTGTTATCACGAACACCTAAAACCACAAGACGTGAAATGATCGATGTTTTCTAAGGCAAATCTTTAACTTCTGTTTGTATGTTTTTGTCTTTAGAATCTAATGTGTAAAACAACCATACAAATCACCTGGTCTCAAAGTAAAGATCTCTCTGTATTAAGAGCGCCAAGGCAACGGAGTTCACTCCGCGGCACTATATACCTACCAGAACACCCAAACCAGAACCAGCATAAATTTTTGCTAAATTCTTATGTTTTCGCGATTCTTATACACATTGAAAATGAAACTATTTTTTATTCGGATTTAAATCCTGTATATTTATTAATACAAAGATCGAACACTTAGAAATAATTCCTTCGATCCGGCCGGATCCAACGTCTCCTAGCAAATCGTGGCAGACGCTATTAAAATGAAAATTAAAAAAAAATTCTTTTATTTCCGACGAGTTCCATAATTTGTTAGTAATAATAACAAGAAATGTACTTATAAATTAGTGTTAGTACTCTTTTTTTTTACATTAATTTTCAAATCACTTTTCTCATGAAGCGTTGCCACATAGGAAAGGTAATCCTACCAACCACAGTTTGTAGGATGCTGTTGGGAGTGTCCCGCACTCTGCGCATCAGGGATGCTGTCTTTTTCCGGAGGATGGCAGCAAAACCATCCGTCTCATACTCTGCAAACATCCCCGATGCGCTGCAGAAATGAGGCAGTCCCAACATAATCCTAAAAATATTATTGTACTGTACACGTAGGGTCTCCAGCGGCTGTTTGGTGTAGTCAACCCATAGGCTCCCTGTGTAGAAACTTTGACAGTAAGCTTTAAAAAGCGTTATTTTTACTTTTTCTGTACACCGAAAAAACCTACGGATCAACATATTACCTCTTACCGCTAGAGCCTTACGCTCTCTTTCAATGTCGGCATTGTCCTTAAGGTCGTCGGTAATGTAATGACCTAGATATTTGAAAGAAGCTACTCTTTTAATGTTCATGCCGTTAAGGGTTACTTCTGGGAATATTCTTTAAGATTATTACCGGCGGCGTTAAAAGCAATGTATTCACACTTTTTAATGTTATAGTGGAGACCATGAGAAGCAGCGTAGTCAGCACAGACCTTCAGCATCTCTTCGACCGACCTCGATGTCAGGCCCAGCAGCATGTCATCCGCGTAGTTGATTTTGTTAACACAAACACCATCCACGCGGGAACCGACACGCATGCCGCTGAGCCCAGCAATGAGATCATTTACATATAGGTTGAAGAGCGAGGGGGAGCTTATCCCCCCCTGCCTAACCCCGCACTCCAAACCATATGCGTGAGAGAGGGCACTACCCCACTTTATAGCATTACTGTGGTGACTGTACCAAAAACGAAAACTTTTTTAACAAGTCAGGCGGTACACCCCTGTCCCCCAACTTTCCCCAGAGTATATCATGGAGAGGTCGAGGAAACAGGCGTACACCGGCGTTCTGCGATTGGTGTAGTACTGGACAGTATGTTTGAGTGCTAAGATCGCGCTTTCCGTTGATAGTCCAGGTCTAAACCCGAACTGTGCGTCATGTACTTTTAAATATTTTTTTAGAATAGAATCAAGCATACTGTCCAGCACCTTGGCCGATATGTCTCCTGTCCTGTTCTTCATAATCGGAACTATAATCGTCTTCATAAGGTTATCAGGTAGATATGCATGATTTAGAGTCGTATTCCAGAACTGTACTCAATGCTCAAGTCAGGATTTGAGTATGATTTAAAGCACTAGAAATCATACTCAAGTCCTTGCCATTAGGGTCGTATTTCCAGTGCTTGAAATCATACTCAAGTCTGCTCAAATCCTGACTTGAGCATTGAGTAGAGTTCTGGAATACGACCCTAAGACACATTGAGAAGAACGTGGGCAGGAGACCTGGCAAATGGTTCCCCGCGTATTTGAGATGCTCGATGCTGAGGCCATCATGCCCGGGAGACTTGCCTCTCGTCATACCCTTAATTGTGTCACGTACCTGATCCGCAGACACATGTAACAGAGGCTCATCACCCCGAGAACAGAACTCAGCATCCATCACCCCAGAGGAAGGCCCGAGAGGATAGTAAACTTTAAACTATGCTATGCCAAGTAAGCCACGGAACGAACCAGCAGACCTCACATTTTTTATGAGCTCGTTGTTAGATCTTTGCTTTTGGTCCTTACCGACTTAGCCGTAGCGCCGTGTATATTTGTTTTTTCAAAGAAACAACGTTACGGGGTGTTTACATGTTCCAATGTCACGACTAACTAGGTAGTTTGTTTGAAAAAACAAATATAGGTAGTCGATTTAGATCCTATAAAAAATTGTTTCAACTACAACTTGAGAATACCGAAAAGCGAACCGAAAAATCCCACTGAGGTCGCCAATTAAAAATTTATTATAATTATTAAATATGCGATATAAAAAAAGCAATTTATTATAATTATTAATACAAAGATCGAAAGCTTAGAAAAAACTTGTTCGATCCGGCCGGATTCGATCCGACGTCTCCTAGCAAACCGTGGCAGACGCTATGCCAACTAAACCACGGAACGAACCAGTGGACCTTACGAATCTTTCTATGTGCTTGATGCAGATCTTTGTTTTTAGTTTTTAAGTAACTTTTTTGCTGTATTATAGAATTATATTATATTATTGTAAGAGTATACAAATTTAACTAATGACCCCAATCAGCTACAGCCTCATCCACTGGCAGCCATTTCTCCTTCCAGCTGTTTGGTTATTCAAGGTCCCATAAAATATTCACGCCTTACCTTCAACTCTCTGCTCATCAGGCGTGATGGTAGCACACTTGATGCCGACATTGTGCTTAAGGATGGCGTGAGCGGCGTCGATCGTCACTTGGTCATTCGTGGCGTCACGATGCGGGAGACCCAAATCGTAGTATAGACAATCGAGCTTCAATGAAAAATAACATAATTATTTATATCATAAATAATGATTTATAACAATACTCCACTGCAACAAACAGGGCCAAGTACTGCATAACACACATCTTCGAAAATGTGTTAGAGTTCTTAATGTATGCCAAATCTCCCTGCAAAAAGATTTTCACATTCACCAGTTCTGAAGTTTTTGCACACAATAGCAAGGATTCGGGACTTGAATTTTTAATCATCATCATGCTCGTTCAAGAAACTGTCGCACGTGACAATCGGTTATTTAAGATTCAATCAACGCGACTAAACAATAGTGCCTATTAAATGAGCGCCAGCGCACTCGATTTGCTATAGCCTGTTTTATTACAGTTATATACAGTTGCTTTATTTTAATTCCTGCTTGCTCGCGACCAATTTAAGGTCTACCGGCAGTTAATTAGCGCACTAGCGCCGTACAAAAAGTAATTTCGCCTTAGTTATGCTTCCTTATTAGCAGCGAGAGACATGTTATGCGAGCATAATATAAAACAGAATAGCGCTCAGTTTTCTCATTCATCGTTTTACCATTGACCCTGTAGGGCGCATATTATCACATCACTCGCACTTATAAGTCCTTAGCAATAAGGTGTATTGAATACGATACAGCACGATAGAACTTTAAATGTTGGGTTAAAACATGAACGCTAAACAATTCTGGATCGTGCGCCTGTTCATTGCAGTTGCAGTGCCACTTAGAGCTTTAAATCGAATCAACGATCTAAGGGCCACTGCCACTGTGCCCTTCACGCTGAGATTTAAGCTGGTAATTCTCATGCGCCTGTATTTTTGTCAGCACCCTTACCTTTCAGACCCGGAAAGCAGTAATGCTCACGTTACTACTTGGCAAGTCTTCCCTGGACGAACTCCTTATTGTATCCATACTAGCTATAGCTAAGTAAAGTCAGATACAAGGTGACTTTAGTATAACATAAACATATGGTAGTGTGTCAATCAAGAAATCAATATTCAAAAAACAAAAGGCAACGAACTGACTTCGAGCGGTTTTCAACTCTCTTATAACTCTAATACACACTTGCATTTTTCTTTTCCTAATAAGGCCTCCTTAATTGCCCAGAATGCAAAACTTTTAAAGGTTTAAGTAGCTCTCGATACATTGAATTTGAATATCGTTACTTTTACTACTGATCAAAAAGATAGTGATCAAAACTTGCGTACACTTCCAGATGGGCTTCCAGAGTGGCATAAAGCGCGACAAACTGTTATCTCGCACTTCATGTCGCTCTCGCGCAAGTCGCGTTCCGTCGTGATATACCTACATGTGACTTAAAAAATTAATATTCGGCATGAAAATCCTTCATTAGATATATATAAAGAAAACAATCAGAAAACAGTAAACAAATAGGTACTATACTATATTTATTTCTGCAATAGACTTTTACAAAAGGTATTGATATTCCACCAAAAATATGCATGTGAAAATAGATCACATTCCTCTTCAAACTCCGTGCTCTACAAAGCAAAGAGCACTTACAAAGCTCGTATAATCTGTTCCCACACCAACTAAACGGGAAACCGTCGACTGTATAGAGCAATATGCAGTCAGCCATAGCACAACACCAATCGTGAAATGACACAACACTGGATCATACTACAAAGGCCCCAAGTAATGACGACAGATACTACGTGTCACGTTTGGTATGAGAAGCCATCGAGATCGCAAAGTGCCAACGTTTAATCATTAAGACGAGTCGAAGCTACCCAGTGCGAGGAATCCGATGCTTAGCTTATAATAACAATAATAAAAACAGAAATGGTTCGAGTTTAACTTCACGTGTAGATACAGTGAGTGTGATTTGTCAGAAAAAAACTTAGCGACAATGGTACCGCCGCAAGAAATCGAGAAGAGGTTAGACGTCGACAGCTAAAGTAGGTAAATAGATATGTCTGTTCTTAAAACTAACACCCGTTCCGACATATTTGGAAAATAATAAGCCATATTGTTAATAAGAAAAATGTAACTACTGTACTATTTTTTTACAATATCATCAAAAACAGTAACCACGAAAGTTTTAAAATTTATATTATCACTATCGTTATCTACTTCTGTACAAAGTTAATATCTGTTATTAACGAAGCCGACGGACCCACTTGTTCGTTGTCCTGCACTTGGCCCTTTTTTTTCACATGCATATTTGTGAGATTATATTTACAACTATTACGACTGTGTAAATAGACTCGTAGTATGTATGCGTTATCAACAATATGTGTGTGGGAAAGACAATCTGGATTTTAATAGACCATAACGTTAGTTAATGTAAAGTATGTTACGTTGACACCAATTATGTGTTATCGCATTTGTTTCACGAGCACAACTTGTTTAGATAATATATCGTATAAATATGAAATTAAACAATGATACTTATTAGGAAGCTGCTGTTATAAATACTAATAAGACTATTAAAAAGTTACCTACACCATTAAATTTATTAGAATTAGGGACTCACCACATTCCTTCACACGGAACAGGCTTAATAGCCAGTCAGAAAAACAGTAACAAAGTAACAGCAATAAGAGCGAAAAAGACGTTACGAGTTTCGCTTCCGTTCGGATCGCAAACGCACAACGAAATCTATTATGTGTAATAATTACATAAACAATGGACATAAAGACTTTTCTGACCGGCTTAATGCGAATCCGTGTCGATAAGGGTGGTGATTCCCTTAGAATATTTGAAGAATATAGTAATTAGGTACATAATTTTCCCCAAATCATATTTACAAAATTTTCTAAGAAAATATTTTGCTACATTTTAGATGATATTATGTTCTTATCTAATCAGCGACAATAAATAAAATTCTGATTTATGTTGCTATACAACATGAGCTCGAATTACGCACGTACCGTCATCAACATTGGCCTATAGTAATGATAAACAAACAACATAAAACAAGATTAAATAATGATAACCTGGTTCTGCAGTACTGATAATTTTGCGCATTTAAGTTATCAATGAATGTATTCAATACCTTTCCTGACAGCGGGTCTTGAACAGAAATATTTGAATGTCCAAGAAATATTTCCTAAATCTTCTTGTTATAATCATCATAAATTAAGGACTATAGAGAGAGTTTGACGTTGTATCTTCAAATCACCATTACCTTTTATGTTAAATAGTATAAAATAGCCAAGGTTTTTGAAATTCATTCAATGAATGTTAAATATATGGATGGTTAATATAATATTTGGTTTTGTTAGATTATTAAATTAGATCAAAAGTGTAGCTATTTCAAATAAGCTCCACTTTTAAATAATGTACTGCGTAGTAGAACACCTGTATATATTTTTAAATGTTCTAAAAAATATCTAGTGTATACCAAACAAAGCCTTTAGAGTCTATGGACACGGCGTATTTTATAAGCGCCGTATACGCGCGTCACCTGCACGTATACGCGACTCAGATCGCGCATTTTGATAAGAGATCGTTCTAAATTTTAGTTTTGTTTGTTAATTTCAGTTAGTTTTTGAAATTAAGCAACTACATGAAATTCTGAGTGTAAACTCCAGTGGAGTGTATAGTAGTATATAGAGTGAATACTTAAGTGTAAGCTTATTGCTTGCAGCGCGATGTTTGCGCGTGTTTACGGCGCCGTAAACGCGCGTCGTCGGAGCGTATAAAATACGCCATGTGCGTAGGCCCTTAGGTACACCTAAATAAAATTGTTAATGAAAAAGATCAAGAAGTTTTCTTTAATATAAATATTTAATAAATTACAGTTGAATTATGCTCAATACAGTCCTATTTTACAGAATGTATATGCAAAATTTGTATACAATTGCAGGATATTATTAATTGCATTATGCAGTAAAGAAACATGCTTAAAAGTAATTGTTAAACAATAAGTTGTAACAATTTTCCTTTCCATTACTTACTTGCTTATTTTATTTGTGTATAATATATAAAATGGTAAAAAATGTATATTCTGAAGATTCGTTCAGTTTATAAAGTGGTGTTAAAATTTTGCATTCACATGATACATTTAATGAAGTTTATCTGTCACACCTATAATGTAAATATACCTGAAGATAATAATTTAATGAAAACTAAGGACCTTAACATCTTTGTCTATATACCTATTTGCATTTTAACATCTTCCTTTGCACCATATTATTGTACTTACAGAGGATTAAACAAATCTGTATAACAGAATCTATAATCGATAAGTCATCCCTCTTAAAGGAATATTAACAAAAACAGAAGTAAATTACTTAACTAAATCGCAAATCCAAATAGCTTTTGCTGAGCGTTGAACAATTAACACCACTTGATGATACAGCATAGAAAGGCAAAAAAGTGAGGGTATTTTTAATAGTGGTATGGGTGTTGATTGGGATTGTAATTCCATTTATGTTATGAACTTTATACAGAGGGAAAGTAGAAAAATTAAATGCATGAAAAAATATTCTAAACAAATGTAGTTATTTTACACAATCTAACCTCCACTGGGAAAGATCTGCGAAAGATTGGTCAAGGAATTTACTTCCATTTTTATTAACATGGATTTCTGCAAATAATAAAGAAAAAGTTATAAAGAGGGTTGTTTACCTTGACATAGGGGAAGATGAGCTTTTCTTTGATCATGGCCCAGATAATGCGGGTCATCTCATCTCCATCCATTTCCACAACAGGCTTGGTAGCGATAACTCGCTTAGCTGTCCCATCTGCATTGAATTATTAATTTTATACCTCATGCCACAATTGAAGAACTTCAGAACAAATACCGATCAATACATCTGATAAATTTCGATTTTAATTTTGTCTAGTCTCTGTGAATGGATTTGTTGCATAGTGTTCAGATTTGTGCATTTAACAACAAGTAGCAGTAGTGTTCCTTGTGAAAGAGTTCATCCAGGAAAAATACTGCCACCTCACCTATTTCTGCCCCCAAGTAGTAATGTGAGCATTACTGTCTTCCGGTTTTGAAGGATAAGATTGCTGGTAAAATTACAGGCACAAGGGACATGTCAACTCATGTCTCACGGTGACTTGCGCAGTGTAGTTAGTGCACCATTGATGTTTGCAATCTAAAGCTCTGACTGGCACTGAAACTGTTTTGGACAGGTGTGTCACTTACCACCACTTGCTGTTTATGGTGGATAAATTATTCACAGAAATATACAAAAACTACCATTTGGCATTTTAAATAAAATCAGAATGTGACAGCGATTTTTGGTCTGATGGTCCTCAATTATAAGTATTTATTTTACTACTTATTCTACTTTTTAAAGTACTTTCTCAACTATAAAACAATGAATGAATAAACTCAATAAACATTTATAATTTAATTATAAACATTAAAATAGAAAAGCTTGTAATGAAAAAATAAGAAAAAGTATCAGATAAACTAGCTAATGTTACAGCAAGTCTGGCCATACATCAAAAACTCCAGTAAATTTAATCAGATATTAACAGACTGATTGTCCTAAAAACTGGTTCAGGGTTACTGAACCACATATACTAAACGTATTGCCAAAAAGCTAGTTACTCCTACCGCCAAGCAAGGCAGGTTTTCCACCAATGGGCAGCGTGGCCTTCTCAATTGTCACTATGGGGACCGCAATTGCACATGTGCCTTGCCGGCTTCGATTCGGTTGCGCGGTACTTGTTACCAAGCAAAAATTTGCAGAAAATTTGGATGGACGAAATCTATATTACTCATAATAACTTGTTACTAAGCAATTAAGTTTTAAAATTGTCAACATATTTAATAACTAATTTTAACGAAATCTTAAGAGAAAAATCTCATCGAAAAATAATCACACTAAGAGTTAGGACGTTTTCACTTACAATTTCTCGTCACAGGGGCTGTGCTGTCTGTAACTACTTTGAGAAGGCGCCTAACATTTTTTCCTGCCATTTTTTATTGATCAATTTTAAATTTACGTGGCGTCTCGCTTATCACAAACCCAACAAGTAGCTCGCGCAACACACCAGCTCGATCGGCAAACGCTAGCAAACTGACAGTTGTAGTGAAGTGAGTGCAGCAACGTTTTTACATAAAGGGTATCGATAGTAGTCGAATGTCGATATCGATCAAACACGTAAGAACTGTTTTCTAAATTACAATGGTAAACAGGACGTACAGGTTCAAGAGCACGTCTAGCTTGACACATAAGATCCTGCTCTATACCGCTTACATTAAGAACGGTACAAAGTATCAACCTTGACGTGCTCTTGACTACATAACCTAGACGTGTGTCGATAGAGTCAAAATAATTCGAACAGCACTTGTGACCCAATAATCCGGGTTACAAGTTTTTAAATAACTGAATGATCATTTTAATATTTCGTAGGTCATCAATATTCAACTTTGTTACTATAATTTTGAGATTATTCAACAATTCACTTAACACCCAGTCATAATATTATTGTTGTCTCGTTTACTCTCACGTGAAGTCCCCAAACACGACACGATTCGCCTCCTTACTCGTCGTTTGAATCGAACACTTGTTTGATAGAGCATTCTTTCGATAGAGCCTTCGTGTAATCGATTCAAAAAGTCAAGCAATCGATCAACGAGTCAACGGATGAACAGGTTAACGGATCAACTGATCAATGTCCGTAGTGTCGTAGTGTCTATTACGTGGTAATTTTGTAAGTATAACCTGTTTTTCGGTGTGTTGTGATTATTTATGAGTGCACTACCTAAAATTAATAAATAATATACCTAATATTACTAATTTTGAATGTTTATAAGTTTTTTGTTTTATAGGAGTTACTTTTTCGAGAAATAAATTTTTGTGTCCTAAGTGTGGTTTATCACTAACTTTATACACATTACCCATCAGAAGGACAAAATAAAAGCAAATTGTATAATTTTAACACTTTTAAACGCCATATGGAAGTATCGTGAGCGACGAGTGACCCGCTAAAAAATCGCACATATGATCGAATCATTTTATCCGACCACATTACGCATGGGTCATGATCGACCCGGGTTATCAGAAATGATCGATTGACACAGGTCTAAAACAACTTGACATCTGAAACTCTATGCGATTAGAACTGCCCAAAGTCTAAGGTGTCAAGCTTAATGTGCTCTTGACTGTACAAGGCTCGGACAGTTCGGAGCTATATAGGTTTGACCGAAATAGGTAAATATAATTAATTAATAGTGAGAAATAGTAGTATGTTACTGTTACACAATGTTTTTCGTGAACTACAATTTGGGACTAGAGTGAATAGGCATTTATTGAAATAAACGCATATCACCGTCGGTCATTTACTTGTATAATATCAGGTACAATTATTATTATAGTAAAGTGCATGTCTGCATTACATTTAATAAACACTGTAATCGGGTCAAACGTTATTTCAAATATTATAATAATAAAGAATAATATAGGGTTAAGGTATACTTTACTTTGATTAGTTAAATACCACCATCTAAGAAAAATATTCCTTTAATTAATATTTTATAATTCAAATACGGGCACTAATAGTCCTTGTAACCGTAACCAAATAATAACTTTTCTTCTAATTCAAGGTGATTTTGATTGCAAAACTCATGAGCGAAATAGTCAAACAATATGCAATTATCATTATCAGAATAACTGAAATAACAATAATAATTATATGATTAAAAACGTCATGGAAGATGCGTGCACACACTAAGCCTTAAAATAAATAAATTATATTTTTTAAAGTATCAGACAATTGGTCAGTGTATATGTACTTGAAGTTTTCAATAGAACTCGGTACAATAAAAAAAAAATCTACGACTCAAACAGTAAGTCTTGAAGTAATCCTGATCATAAATATAACCAAACCAACAACTAATAAAATTGGTATGTACAGGGTCAAGAGGACGTTAAGCTTGACACTAAGACTAAAATCCAACTCTATGCCACTTACGATAAGAACGGTCCAAAGTATAAAGTGTCAAACTTGATGTCCTCTAGACTGTACAACTTAGACCAGAGGTTTTATTCCATAGTCTGAGATGTACAGGGACAAAAGGACGTCAAGATTGACATTTAAAATTTAAATTCAACTCCAAGCGATAAGCGTCAAGCAATTTACAAAACTGTTTAGTATCATTTTGTATCCTACAATATTTTCAATTCAAAAATTACTAGGAAATGAGAAGGGTTGCGGCCTATAGAAAATTACGCAAAAGAAACACCTTATACTGTATACGACTGTGCACTTTATCGTTGTCGATGCCGAACTTATTGTCGTGCCCATCTCTAGATCAGCTGCGCGTCCCGCGCCCGGACGGACGCCGGCACGACGAGCTACTACGAGCGTGAGTGGGTTTGGTGTGCGTGGCTGTTTTGTGCCAGTTTAGGCCAATTATCAACGGCCAAGGGGCATTGTGTGAGGATACAGCCCTCGACAATATTTACAGAAACGCAGAAGTTATAGTTCCCGCTATTATCATTGAAAACTTCAAAGTCTTCTTCTGCAACCAAGATAAGGAGTCGAGAGACGAATCAACGGTAAGTTCGTTATTTTCATTGTCCGAGACCAATTCTACATGAGCAATTTTTGGTACCTCTTTCCCAAACTTGTTTATAATTTTTTTTATGCGTGTACGATAACACCACACATGGGTATCCTTTTTGTGAAAATTGTTAAGTTTTTGTATAACCAGTTTTATGCTGGGGTTCATATATAAGACCATAAGTTTGTAATTATAAGAACTATTACACGCTGCGATATTTAATACGTACAGACATTATCATCGCCTCATTATTTACCATGTTATGTCTAAGACGCCAGTTTAGGTCTAGTGCAATTTAAATTACTAGTATATGTGGATGATACTGGGTTTATATTTCAGTACTTAATGATGCAGATAAAGAAACCACATGGTAGTATTACGTTGGTCCAATGGTCCTTTGTAATGACATACTGGTCTATTTATATGAGAGTAGTTTGTGCTAGTTGTCGCGCTAATTTTGTACTAGATGCATGTTTTAAATTTTATTTAAACCTTGTTAAAGATGCTCTTAATCTCTGTAATTATCTGCCAAAATCTTGCAGCTGTTATTAACACTAAGGGGCTTTCCCCATACATCAACTATTTTTAATTTAATTTTCTTTGTAATTTACATGTGTTCTTTTTTTTACTATCACAGTAGAAAAGCCTGTTAAATAATAAAGAATGCCTAAAATGCAGCACTAAAAAATAATAAAGATGTTAATTGAAAAATGTGTTTTTCATAATTTTCTTCTTATTTTTTGTGCTGCACTACTTTCTATATTGTGACTTAACACATAATTACATAACTTTGGAGATATTTATCATAATTTACACAGACTGATGATTAATTTTGACTTCTATCTAGATAACCATTTCAGTAGATAACTGCAATATTTAGATATGATAAGGAATACACTGTATGTAGTTCCAAAATCTTGTAATGATTTATTTTCATAATGAACACAATATGATACAAAACATTATTTACAAACACTAGCTATACACAATTACTTATTATTTAGGTCTTTTATCTGAACATTTGAAGCCATTATTCAACTGTTATCAGGTTTTCAACACATTGTATGGGAAGTAAAAATGTACTGCTGAATATCTCTTATAACTATTATTTCATGATCTTATAAGTTGAATTACCTAAGTAGTACTAAAGCTTGATATTAAGTAATGCAAAAACAATATTTTGAAATTTTGCATTTAATTATCAATCGAGAATTTGTTTATCTTTATAAGAAATGGAAAAAACAAGGACACCAAGGGCACTCTTCGTTTTTAAAACGAAGTTTCAAGGACGACAAATGAAATATGATCCTGGTTTGAGCATATTAACTAATCAGTCATTCGTTCATTAGACTAAGAAGTCACGATAAAGTATTATTATCAACTGCCGCCGTTTATCAGCTACTGTTGAATTTATACATAATTAGTTTTAAAATGACACAGACTCAAAAACTGTTAATTTCCATAGGGCCCAACTTTATCCTAATTTCGTATTAGATTATTTAATTTATTTTTTTAATGCGCCTTCTGCACACCCTACTGTGACTACAAGTACTCTTAAGCCTTTACCGTATATGTTACGGGCATTTTGATTATTTGGTCATAATTAAAAATGAACAAGAGCATCGACCAAATTGATGAACATACTTTGGCCGGTCAGTATTAATAATGCCTAACTGCCCGTGCTCCATTTGATAAATCGCGGCTTAAGATGGCGTGAATTTATTTTAATTATTTATTTACCTACATACAACAAAAAAATCCCATTTCATGCGGGCATTATCAATACAGACCGGCAATTATAGATAGTGCGTAACATAAACATGAAAGTAATAAATTAAGGATGTTACAAAAAATAGATAACGTGGGTACATCTTGATTATATTATATATTTTTCTCTATTATATGAAGCGCTAGTCACGCCGTGATCACGTCTTTTCACTATTTAAATTAATGGTAACAGACATTATATATGGCCCTCAAGAATAGCCACCTTTCGCAAAATCAAACAGCGGTCCATGCTGTCACTACGGCAATAAAAAGTTAGGTGTTTCTTTTTACAATAAAAGTTATCACGTTTTAAATACTGCTGTGTTATAAGATTTATATGAACTTTTTTGGTATGTTACACTATTTTTGAAAAGCAGCGATTTGTGTAGGTAATTTTTGAAATTCACTATCTCGATAGACGGAGTTCAAGACAATTTTGTTTCAATTGAGTTTACGAGGGGTTACAATAAGGAATTGTATATAGTGAATACAACTACCTGATACCTGAGACCCTTTATATTCTATAGATATTAAACAGATGGAACCGACTGATCGAACCATATTTCTTATAGAAAACTAACAATAGGATACAATTACTACCATAGTAAACTTTACAGCTTGCGCCATGTGCGGGTGCGTAAGAATCCTGCGTGCGTGCAAAGCGGTGCCGCGAACGTGGAACATCAGGCAATCGAGCTCGTCTTCGTCCGCCCAGCCACCAGTGCCGGGAATCCCTTACACCAAACTTAGTATAGGCATACCAAAAGAGATCTGGCAAGAGGAAAGAAGGTAAGACTTCGAAATACTCGTTTGGTCTATTTCCTAACTTCATGATTCAATTAATTGTATTTGGTTTGACGTTTTTTGCTACGTTCTTAGTGACGATAATGATCAATTTGAATTACAGAAGACTAGTTCGAGTATTAGACATTAATTAACCTTAAATAATTTCGAGTCTAAAGACCTTAGAGCTTGTGCACACGGCGTATTGTTTACGCGCGTTGACGCGATTCGGTCGCCGTAAACACGCGTTCGTGAAATGCGAGTCATCTAATCGTAAGCGATTCGTCTGTTTCGGCGTGTGTTTGCGGGCGGCGTAGAGTTGTGTTGAGTTTGTCGTTGTTGAATTGATTCAAAACGAAAAAAAGATATAGACGAGTTTCGTATGCGCTCCTCATGCACGGTTGTAGAGCTTTGAACGCGCGCGTTTGAATCGATACATTAATCTATTTTTGAGCCTCTACGACTCGCGCCGTTGCGCGTTCGTGAAACGCGCGATATCCGCGCGTACAAAATATGCCGTGTGCATAGGCTCTTAGCTTTTTATTGCTTGATTTGCTATTTTTAGCTGTTCCCATAATCACTTTTCGTATATAGTTACATACCTGCTAATGTACTGTATAAAAGTATTCTTTTTCAGAGTCGCTGTAGTACCAGCTGTAGTTAGCAAATTAGTTAAGAAAGGCTTCACTGTAAATGTGGAAGAGAACGCCGGCGCCTTAGCCAACTTTCCTAACAAAACATACGAAGAGGCTGGCGCGAAAGTGACTACCTTAAAGGATACATTCCAATCCAGTATTTTCTTTTCTGTCTCTTATTTGTGTTTGTTTATTTGACTGTTGTAGTTGGCTAACATAGAGACGTTTCTTCCAGATATTATTCTCAAGGTTCGGCCGATAGTTGACAAAGAAATACAAAATGTTGTAAATGAGAGCACATTAATATCATTCTTATATCCAGCGCAGAATCAGGAATTGCTAAAACAGCTATCCGCCAAGAAAGTCAATGCATTTGGTGCGTAATTAATAAAACTAAATATGATAATTTAGTGTGTACTAAAGTACTTACAGGAAAAGCATTAAAAAAATAGTAAAGCCAGTAAGTCCACTCCCGTTCTTCGTCCGACATCATCCGAAACAATGTCAAATAAGTAATAGTCGACCAAATTAAAAGAAGCTTTGTCAAGTATGAACTTGACATTGTCTTTTGTTTTATTATTATTTGGTATTATCATTGTATTATTATTACGAGTATTACTTATTTCACGGTAATTGTTTCCGACGCAAAACGGTAGCAGACCTTCAGGTCTCAAATTCCCTGTACCATGAGTACCAGAGCAACGGAATTCACTCCGGCGTTTTTCCTGGAACACCCAGCCCAGAATTAATTTCGATAAGTTAATTCCGTTATTGGTGGTAAACGAAAACTGGACCTCGTAATCCTGCACCCATTGTGAAAACCGTTGGTCCATTGTACAGTCAAGAGCACATCAAGCTTGACACTTTGCACTTTGGACAATTCTTATTGTAAGTAGCATAGAGTTGGATTTAAGTCTTAAGTGTCAAGCTTCACGTGCTCTTGACACTGTACTACAGTCAATAGTTGACATGTAAATTTCATTGATAAAAAAGACTGAAAAAAAACAAGTTTTTACTACTTTATATTTTCAGTAATTTCCTGATGTTTATAACTGTGTATATTTATAACCTTTGGACGGGGAAACTAAAAAAAATCCGTATAAATCTCTGGAAGGAGAGATAACCCACGGAATCAATTATTCCGCCGTCAGAGCACCTTCCTCCTGGGCATATTCTAAATAGACTGCGGACCCAATTCGGTCGAAGCAAGGAGAGCGTGCACAGATGGGGTTATAGCTCGGAGAGCGCATGTATTTGTGGTGTCTCTCTCCAGACTATGGCACATCTATTGTCTTGTCCCGCGTGCCCTTACACCTACATATGCGAGGACCTTAACAACGCCACTCACAATGCTATGTCAGTCGCTGAGTACTGGTCCTCACAAATATCAAGTCAGAGTCGACACGCGAAGAAGAAGAAGACCGTATATAGTAATAACAATGTTTGCCCACAGCAATGGACTGTATCCCGCGTATAAGTCGGGCGCAAGCTTTCGATGCTCTCAGCTCGATGGCGAATGTCGCCGGCTATCGCGCAGTCATTGAGGCTGCCGCAAATTTCCCACGATTCTTTTCTGGTAAAAAAAACATCGTATTACCCGTTAACCTATCACAAACTTTTTCCGAAATAACGTTTGTTTGAATTTTCATTACCCTGAAAACAGAATTATAATGAAACCGTTGTTCTTTCAGGATATGTTGGATGTTTCGGTTAGGTTAAGTTAGGTGTAAAAAAAAAAACATTTTCCTCTCAATATTACTTTCGAGGTTATGAAAATTCGAGCAAACGTTATTTCTGGAAAATGTCATTTCAGACTTCTGATAGATAATCCCGTTAATTACTTAGTTCTAGTGCGTGTTACTTAGTGGTTAGATTTAATTTCCAATGTTGTTCCTTTCTACATTGTTATCCTAAAGCCCCGTGCACAAAATGTACATAATATGTGAAATGATTCAGACCCAAACAATATCAATCCTATGATGAAGCATATAATTATATTAAGTACGGTTTAATATATTAGGCGCTTAGCGCTTTTCACATAATAGTTTGCTGGGTCTTAGGAAGTTATATATATACGCACATTTAGATACTATTAGGTACTGCTATAAATCACTATCCGCCAATCACTATTAGATACAATCTTTTCAGCAAAGTGGGGATTATTTTGTCTTCCATAGTGATAGTGGATAAGAAAACAATGACGAGATCATAAATATTAACTTATTTAAAATGTAACTTAGTTATATATTATACTATTAATACTCTATACGACAAAATCATAGTATAATATTACTATTCGGCCGAATAGCCGAATATCGATCACACTATTCGGCCTGAGTAACGCATGTACGAAAATTGGCACGAAAAATACAACTTATGAAAAATAATGTTATACAATTAACATAAAAGGTAATTTAATTGTCAAGTATATAATTTATATTTATGACGTCTTAATAAAGAAAGAAATTGTTATTTCAAACGTAGTGCTTAAATTCTCTTTGGTTATTTCACTTCAGTTTGATTGACTGTCAAATAATTTAATTTACTTTTTATTAACAAATAAAAGTATTTGGCTGATTTTGTTAATGTTCATTTAGTCATGACTAAACCACGTAATAAGTAAGTAGATTTCTTTTGATTTGTTATCTTCTTTAGATCCTTAGAAAAATAACTTGGTTAACAATTTCTTTGATCGTTTAGATAAATAAACTGGAAATTGAACTTTCTAGAACTTACAATGTTTGTTCAGCACTAATATTAGTTACGTACTAATTCACTGTGATTTTTCTTATATCTTTGTCTTGATTTTAGATATTCGGTCGAATAGTGACTCAATATTCTATATTCGGCCGCATGGCAAAACACAGGCCAAATACCGAATATTCGTTTCAACTCTACATGCACCAGTTCGAAGATTATATAATACTCTCATCACGTTAATTGAAAGTTAATTGAAAAAATGTGTTACTAACATGTAATAGATTCTACGCTCTGAATTTTGCTCTACACTTTACAGTGGCGTAGAGTCAAGGTCTCGTGTCAATTGTTTGATTAAACAGGCGGCGGATATGTGTGCTTCGCATTGTAAGCAACTCTCTCAAATTGGCAAGCAAAAACTATTTCATTTATGTCATGTGTTATTGACCCATAGCGTAGGCGTTTTGACGCGCACCGAAGCGCCTTTATGAATTATTACCGAATGACGAATGAAATAATTACAAAAAACAACTACACATGTAAATAGTACTCGGATTCCACAAACGTGAAAGTACTGTTATGAAATCGAAACCAGCAATTAACTTCACTAAATTTTTGTCGATTTTTCGATGCCATGTTATTAAGTAATATCATAATCTGTGACCAAGATGCCAAAATATTGAGCTAATTTAATTTTTTTAAATATTTTTTTATAATATCAAGTAACGGGACGAACAAGTCGCGCGCCTGATGGTAGCTACACGCCTGTCCATAACAGTTTCAGTGCCACTCAGAGCTTTAAATCGCAAAGACCTGAGGGGCACTGCCACTGCACCCGACACCCTGAGACAAGTTGACAAGTTCCATGTGCCTATAACTTCACCAGCACCAAATGAATCAGTCAGCCGTGACCACGGGACCTGTAAAGGTAAAAAAAAACAAAATAAGCGATTTAGATCCGAAAAAAAATAGTTTCATGTTCTAATTTAAATTAAATTCAAAATGAACAAAATAACTTAAAGTAAAAAAATATGGTTAACATTAATATTATGTTTGAAAATTTAAAATTTATCGTAACTTTATCTTTTATAGGCTCTGGTGAAAAGTTGAATTTTTCGTTACCGTGTTAATTGCTTTGTTCCTTTAATTACCTATGGTAATTCCTTGCGTCTTACTCTATACAATGGTATGATTTTTGTCTTTCTAACAATTTTACAACTTTCTAACAACGCGTTTTATGCAATAGGTCAAATGACAGCCGCCGGTCGCGTACCGCCCTGTCGTGTGCTTGTGATAGGCGGTGGCGTGGCTGGTCTGGCGGCTGCAGCACAAGCTCGGTGTATGGGCGCCGCCGTACGCGCATTTGACACCCGTCCCGCTGTCAGGGAACAAATCGAAAGTTTGGGGGCACAATTCATTACGATGGATATGAAGGTCAGAATTCTCTTTATTTACTGAAGCTCTAAAGGTTTATGTTTTACGGCGTGTTTATAAATGTTTACTTTACAATGTTTTCAAAACTTATTTATGCTGTTCACGATAAGCACATTAAACGTAGTACACAATAGTTAACGCGTCTGGGTATATTGTGTAATGTAATTAATTCATTTATTATAATTATTTACTCATTTTCCTATCTCTAATGTATCTATATACAAAGAAAGACAACACGTATAGCCTTTCACGGTATATCTGTTATGTGTCATATTTATATTTTCACACGTTTAAAGATGAAATCAGAGCCAAAATACACAAAGTTGTTTTAAATATACTTACAATATCGCCAAAATTAATTTATATATTTAATTGTCGTAATTCGGTTATGGTGTTCACCCAGTGTTGGGTGTATTTATACACTCCCGGACACATAATTCGAGCCACCACGCATTTTCAGTGTTAAGTGCCCTAAGCTTAAACAATGTTTCATTGATCAAAAACTATTATGCAATTTTGAAACTAGTATACTAAACATCTTTTCTGTAAGTCCTTGTTGGGAATTTGGATTTGCAAAACCGGGGAAAACTTTTTCTTCGAAAATAACACTATTTTTGTATTCCAGCCCTCTACGACAAAATTAAATTATGTGTCCGGGAGTATATGTTGTGGCAAGACTACCCTGCATTATGATTCCCCGGACACTGTTGGTACTAATGAAGAATTATATCAATTGAATAAATATATTAATAATAATTTCATTAATTCATTGAAATGACACGGGGACACAAAAGGGCTCTCAAATACTGTCAACGCATAAACAGCTCTTTTTTATATGATACCAAGCGAAGGGACGTCAAGTAGTGCACCTGGTGGTAAGTGACACGCCTGCCTATAGCAGTTGCAGTGCCATTCAGAGTTTTAAATCGCAAAAGTCTCGAGACATACGTTGACAAGTCCCATTTGCCTGTAATTTCACTAGCACCCTTACCTTTCAAAACCGGAACACAGTAATGCTCACATTACTATATTTCCCTTGACAAACTCTTTCACAAGGAGCTCTAGGGCTACTTAAACTTCTGGTGTTGCAAATGTCCATGGGCGACAAAAACCACTTCCCGTCAAATGTCATGTCCGTTTGTAGGCCTCCTACTTTACATAGGAAAACAAAGAAGAATACCTAATTCCAAAATTCAGAAAGTATATCTAACAAATATTTAAGGTTTGCTAGTTCGTTTCGAAGGTTAGTTATAGCGTTTAGCACGTTTTGCTGGGAGACGTTGGTTCGAATCCAGTCGGATCGAAGAATTTTTTTCTTATTGTTCGATCTTTGTATTAATAATTATAACAAACTAGTGAAATAATTTCACAAAAATAATTGAATATCATGGTGGTCGAACATCGTGACATTCAATAAAATTAAAAAAAAACCAAATATGTATTTTGCAGATATTGTAAACATGAGACGTGCTTAACGCGATCCCAGTGTTAAATAGGAAATATGGTAAATTAATTATGCCTACATTAACGTTATTTTAAATGCTTAGATAACCATCATGTTATGTATACTCTAGTTATTCGTGTCACTTAGTTAGCGGTCGAGTTAACATCAATGACTGCGTGATAAATACGTTAACGTAGTCCGTCACTTTTTGCTTTACTCATTATCATTTTTAAGTTCACAACATTCTCTTTTTCATTTAACTAGAGTAGACGCACCCGTTTTTTGTTATATCAATGCTAGTATTGTAAATAACATAACGTAATCAAATCATTCATGATAAAAGACGTTGCTAGCATGAAGTCATAATTCAGTGCGTGTTTTTGATTTCGCTGTTTAAATATGAGATATAGTGCTATGAACTCATGGTCTATGAATATTCTAAACGTTAATACATCACATATAACATTATATTAATAATAATAGTATATAAGCGTAGCTGTTATGAGAGATTCATTGCGCACTAGATCGATCTTTTAATGGTACTAACGTAATAAAAATGTTTGATGAGAAACACGCGTCCGTTCTGTGCAAATAAAAACCACAGAAACGTAACCATTCGATAATTAAACATTCTGTTTTTCTTATGGAGTTATTCAATAGGTTGATGTTAAATACTGGCCAGACGTCATATATTATATGTACATACCAAGTATATATAAATATACAGTGGTGGTCATAGAATGAAGAACGATTGATGACACACAGCTATTATTATTTTACAGTAACAGTTAAGTGTACAATTAATTTTAAAATATATTCTGATGGTGTTGTACAATGTTATCAAGACTGATCTATTTTATTTAGCGTAATCATTTTGTCAAAATATTTTTTTTTGTTGATTAAATCACAATTACTCAGTTACTTGCCTGAACACAGTCGAGGACAAGGTACTAAATATTAAATTCCTTTATCTTCATCATTATATTATTAAAAAGATGTTGTTAAATTAATTAAAATACAACACTTCACAAATTATTGCAACATTGTAAATATTACTACCATGTTTCTACCTAGTTGTTAATTGTTTGTCCAGCCTCCATCCCATTTCAATTTAAATAAAATTAAAATTACTCTAAAATTCTTTTTGAATGTAATTTTTCATTTAATATTAAATTACGTTAGCCCTAAATGTGTACTAGGTAGCTCTATATTCAATATGTTTCAGGAAGAGTTATTATGTTTATTATGAACATTTCGCTCATTTGGTGCTACTGACGCACTTGTACTTCTTGTAATGATACAGGAAATGGATTTTAATTGTTTTTAATTTTATTTCATATTTATGACGTGTCAACAAAACTTTACGTATTTTTACAATTGGATAAAAATTCTTGTTTTTTTTTTCATTTTTTGCTTGTTAGGTGACATAAAAAGTCCAGTCATAATTGTTTTTTTAACATTTTAATATTTTTTTTTAATTTATATTTTTTTGTTTGGAGCAACCAAACCAAATCACACATTTAATTCGCGTGTTATAAAAGTCAGACTATTTTAAGCAACTTTAAAATTAGCAAATTCATTATTTTTATTATAGTCGGTTTTTACACTCTTAGACTTTTTTTATGTAACAGAAACACAGGTTTGTTATCTCACCTGATGTAAAGTTAAGATATGTCCGATACGCGATGATACGCGAAAATATGTACTTTAAATCAAGATATCAAAATCAATTCTGTACCAAGATTCCAAAAAAAATCGCATTGACACTTTAAACTATATCATACTTTAAATTTTAAGTTTAAAATATTAGTACAAAAAATAGCCTTCACCGCAAAAGAGCCTGTGCCTAGCAGTGAGACGTATAACGATTGCTAGTGACGTTTACAACAGTTCTACAGGATGCATCACGGAAAGTGTGCGATGGAATTGCACGATTTGACACCGGGGGATAGACGTATGCTGGGGTTCCTATGTTGTGGTTATTCCAAGGATTCGCACGAAACATTACGCTTCCACATTTATATGGCGAACGGCCACGGATTGGAATTCCCTGCCTGCAGACTTATTCCCTGAACGCTATGACTTGGGCCTTTTCAAGGCGAGAGTAAATAGGCATTATTAAGCTGCTTGCTCCATCGTCGACCTCATCGTCACTTTCCATCAGGTGAGATGGAGGTCCAATAAAAAAGAGCATCCGTTACATAATTTTATAACGTAAATTTGATGAAAGTTGCCTTTGGTCTAATCATCATCAACCCATTTATACGTCCCACTGTTGGGCACAGATCTCCTCTCATGCGAGGGTTTAGTCCATACTCCGCCACGCTGACCCATAGCCCGTTGGAAACTTCACATGTTTTCAGAGGATTGTGAACCTTCTTCGGCGTTCAGGTTTCATCACGATATTTTCGTTCACCGAAAAGCTCATGGTTAAACTTCAAATTAAATTTTGCACGTATAAATTTAGAAACGCTCAGAAATGCGTGCCCAATCCCACCTCTGCTTGAGTGGTGGTACGTCAAACGATTAGGAAGGCTACCACGGCTTTTTATTTTCGGTCTAATGTGTAAGTTCAATTAAATATGCCTGAACCTTATTTAGCTAGCTTCTTTGAGTAATTATATTAGGTACAGGAAACCGAATAATGAACCATCAATAGAAATTTTAAATAAGATTCAGTTATCTTTTATCCTACTAGGAGGAGGGATCCGGCGAAGGAGGTTACGCTAAAGAGATGAGTCAGGAATTCTTGAATGCTGAAAGAGCGCTGCTGGGCAAGGAAGCACGTACCTCAGATGTCATTATCAGTACCGCTCTTATTCCTGGAAAACCTGCACCGGTGCTTGTTATGGAGGTAACTTGCATTATATTTGAAAATTTACAGCTCACCACGCCTGAAAGTATATGACGATTAAAAAAAAGGCGTATCATCTTTGATCACGATAGTCAGCAAAATACCTGACTACACAATTTATAAGGCTGAACTCCACTGGGAGCACCCTTTCCATTATGAAACTTTACTCATCTGTTTATAGCCAACCAGGCTGAATGCAGGGTAAAGTAGATAAAAAAATATTTCAAAATAAAAATGGAAGTAAATTAACCCACCGAACTCTCTCCGTATAAAATTAAAAAAGAACACAGGCGCAGAACGAGAGTGGAAAAATTAACTGCATGAAAAATATTCAAAAAATAATATTCGACGCAAGCGCAGCTATTTTGTACGATTTAACCTTCGCTAGGTCCGTGAAGTAGCAAATTGAAATACTTCCATTTTTATTAACATAGACTTCAGCAAAGTAAAACCTGAATCTATTAAATATTTAGAAGTGTTTATTCTTGTACATTTGTTTCGTACTTTATGTATCAGTCTGCCGGTCGCAGGATACCACAGACTGAAAATGTCTTCACGTACTTCGTAATCAAAGTAATTAAGCTGTCTTTGAATTAATTGCTTTAGATTAGTGACAGGACCAGCATGTTTGCAAGGCCATATGCGCATTGAAATTCAAATTAACAAGTTCACCTAATTCTCAAACGTTTATCATGCATTCAACTTGCACTATGCCTACTCACAACAGAGACATACTTTTATCTTATTTTACCTACTAGTAGGTACTAGTAGGTAAAATAAGATAAAAGTCTAAATTCTATGTCTATGAACTGTCATAGACATAGAATTTATTTTGTACATACCGATGCTAGACGCCTAATATTAGTTTCAGATAACAGGCATATTTCGAGAACACATGTAACATTTTATATCGCTTTAAATAAATACTTTTAAGATACAAGGTCAATGGTGCTATCGTCTGTGTCGTAAAAATTCAATAAGCATTCAATAACTGCTAGAGCTCTATGTAACATCTTCAATAATTCTTTGGAATAGACAGAGCCGTGTTGAATATCTCATACTTCCAAATCTCAAAATTCATATGAACTCTTGTACATAAATGTAATATTGTCACGGCAATTGCTTGTTTACAATATCTAAATCATTCCAAACGCGAGCTATTGCATAAATTATTGTCAGTTTGGATACTGTAAATAATATTTGTATTTGTTTTGTTATACGCATATTTAGTGTAACAAACAAAAGGAATATTTATATTTAAATAAATAATAATTAGACACAAAGTAACAATTCAGTTAACATCTTTCAACATCGACTTTATTGAAAAAAAAAAAAACAATTAAAGCAAGGTGCATTTTTAGATTTTGTGAAAAATCAACAGTTCAAAATTAACAACATTGTAACAATTTAACATAAATTAAATGAAAGTTAGTAAACAAATTTTTTCAAAATAACTTTACGAAATGTGTAAGACCGCAAAATCAACCTCGCATCACTCAGTAAATTTACTATTAAGTAATCTGCGCCTGTGTTAGTAAGAATTAAAACAAATTAACGAAAATAATGGCGTTTACCAATTATTTATTATCAAATTAGACCTACAATAAAAAAGTAAGATAATGACTGCGTTTTTTTGGAATTTTACAAATGGTTTTCTAAATGTGCTGGTATATCTATCATAAAAAAATGTATAGCAATAGTAACAATAGTAAGGTTGTGACGTTACAATTACATTATTTATGCTAATACTGAATTAGATGCTTCTGATACTAGCTATTATTGTTAAAAATCTGTATCAAATACTGTAAGCAAGGGAAATTTAGTATGTGTCTATAGAATAGACTTTTGATTACCGTCAGTTGCCGAAAGCGTAAGTTTAGACTCTTATGCGATCTTTACAGTTTTACACAATTCAAATAAAAAAAATAGTGTTAATTGTTTTAATGGAGTTCATTTACATGAGCTCCGTATGACCACTACACAAAATGTAAACACACATCTGACTGACCGGACAACTTATGTTCTGTAGGATGCCGTCCGGGATATGGCCCCTGGCAGTGTGGTTGTCGATCTGGCAGCAGAAATGGGCGGCAACGTAGAGACCACTAAAAAAGGAGTGATTACGAAAGTTCATGGCGTTACACATATCGGTCTCACTGATTTACCCAGTCGTATGCCTGCCCATGCGTCTACATTGTACGCTAATAATATATCTGGATTCCTGTTTAGTTTAGGTAAGTTTTATTGTCGTAATAACTATATATAATATTAATTGCTGGCTATTTACAATCTTTCCAATGTCAATAGCGATTATTCACCCCATCCAACCACTGAAACGTATGTACACGTCATTTATGAAAAGATGCTTTCCAACAACGTGCGAAAGTGTTATCGTATCGTGATAGAAAAGACTGACGTAAAGATAGATGACTTCAGGGATCGTAAACTTTGAAATAGTTTGATATTAATGAAACCCATTAATTAAATATTTGGCCTGTTGTAAAGAATATATAATAAAAAACGTAATAATATGAACCGTCACTTTGAGAATCGGATCCGAGTCGCCATATATAAAAGTGGTATTATACCTGGCAAAAATAATAAAGCAAGTTAATAAATAATAAATGTGATTATTTTTATTTATACATGATACTTAATTATCCATTTATAACCGAGAATATATTATATTTATATAGGTTTCATTTTGTATTTTCTTTTTGTGTTTTCTCAATACCACAATTTTGAGTTACGACAATATTTGGTTTCGTGTGCGAGATATAAAACAAAATGGCTGAAATGTGATGTAAGCGTTATTTTTTTTTCTGAACAAACATTTATGTCATTAAAATGACAATTAATTCAATAAACTATAATAATAAAAATGTGATATTGACAATATATAAATACATAGAGTGCCTTAATTTCACAATTTTTAAAATTACGTCATTGGCTTTTATTATATTACACTTTAGAAGATAGAAAAAAATAATGTTACACAAGCTCTCATAATTGCTAGAGATTTATAGGGATTGGCGATCGGTCACTGTCGAATTGTCTTTGGGATGAAAGTCGTATCAACGAACGCTATTGACATGCTAAATGGCACAAAATATAGTTATAGATTTATACAATTAACATAAAATTAATTGTTTATTTGTACCAGATAAATCATTTTCTTAATTCCAGGGACGAACGACCATTTCCACATCAACCTCGAAGACGAAGTGACACGCGGTGCTATAGTACTGAAAGCAGGCGAAATGCTATGGCCACCACCACCTCCACCTAGCATGGCCGCTGTGCAAGCTCCTCCAAAAACTACTGCTGTTGCTAAAGCCGAGCCACCAAACCCATTCAACGAAACTCTAAAAGACACTTTTATGTATTCCACGGGTACGTTTTTTTTTGTGCCGCGCGCAGGATTCTATTATTTAAAGTGTCTTTCAAACGTTTTTTTGTTTGCAGGTTTGGCTAGTTTAATTGCTCTCGGTATCGCCTCTCCGAATCCGGCGTTTACAACAATGACGACTACGTTAGCTTTGTCAGGTAAACATTTACGGCTACCTGCTGCTGCACATAAGGATTATTTCGTGCGACTGTCTTTCTGAGAATCTTAGGTCTTCAGTGTTTTATATTAAGGTCCAGTTGCTCAAGCAATGTTGTATTTCAGGTGTTGTGGGCTACCACACCGTTTGGGGAGTCGTACCAGCTCTGCACTCGCCGTTGATGTCAGTCACTAACGCTGTATCTGGTATCACTGCTGTCGGTGGTCTACTGCTTATGGGGGGTGGATATGTCCCTGAAACACCTGTCCAGGTATGAGTTAGTTCTATTTAAAAATCATTCATACTTAGACGGATTCCTATTCACTACTACATACGTATGATGTAACGCCTGCTATCCATCAACGAACATCCATTTTTTTTATTGCGCCTTATTTCAGTTTTTGGCGAGCACAGCCGCTCTTATCTCTTTCATCAACGTGTTTGGTGGTTTTCTAGTCACACAACGGATGCTTGATATGTTCAAAAGGTTAGTATCACACAAAGTATCTGCTTTATTTCTATAAAAGCAATACTGTGTTTCACTTGTAACTTTTTTTAAAATAATTTATAGAGTGCTTTGAGAGTACCAATGAAATGAAACTTTTTTCGGATCTCAATCACGTAAGTATCTTTATTTTTTTAAATGCCTTCAAAAAAGTAGGAGGTTCTCATTTCTTTCGTGTATGTTATGAAATTATTCCCACATTTGTGAACTGATTTCGATGATTGATTTTTGTTGGAAAGGGTAATTACCTCAGTAGTAGTCCGCTGTAGTCTAGGGTGAAGAAAATATTTCTCCTCTAGGGTGGCAAATTAGGGGATGAATCCGGTTTATTGAATTTCACCCCATTTCCATTAACCGATTCCAATAAAACTTGGCAAATAAATGTAATTTCACCAACTTTTGAAGTCGGTTTGTTTTTTATAAAAAGTTATAGATATTTTATGAAACAAACCAACAATACTGTAAAGATCCCGAAATGTAGGTTTGTTTCGGAAAAATAAATAGTTAATTTTTTTTATAGGCCAGGAGATCCACCAGAATATGGTTACTTGTATACCATTCCTGCTGCTGCTCTACTCGGCGGCTATATCACCACTGCTATGCAGGTATAAATATCTCTATAGTAAAATACGCCTAATTTTATTTGAATATGTAGCAGTTAAAGTAATTATCGAATCCCCACAGGGTTACCCTGAAGTTCACCAGATGGCGTACTTGGCGTCGTCTTTATGTTGCGTCGGAGCTCTAGCTGGTCTTAGCTCTCAAACCACTGCTCGTAAAGGAAACTATCTTGGCATGGTAAGCATATTTAATAGAAGCTTCGATTTTAAAATTGTTTACATATCTGCAGCCGATGATTAGACAAGGCGTTCATAAATCAATAGAAGTGAGCGCAGCTGTAAGACTCAGCCCAAGACCCGCTCAATGTAATCTTGATGGCAGCGGTCTCGGTCTGCTGACCATTGTAAAGGCATTGAGACAGCGTAGATATTTTTTGTAACAAAACTACTGCATCCTGTACTCGGCTTATATTTATTTTAAATAGTAAAAGGTTTTAAATTTGTTTTTGTAATCATTCTTTTTAAGTGTTTAAGTATTCATATGCAGTACTTTTGTCCGGTCTACAATAATGCTTTTAGCAATATGCTTCAGCGTTTATTATTAAGTGTTAAGAAAATGCTCTAAGCGTTATTGTACATTTCATTTCCAACGTGGCAACTTGGGTTCAGCTCGCCACTCCACCTTGATGAATCTTTAGTAATATGAGGTTGCAGTACGGTACCTTGTAAAATTATTGAAAAATGGTCAGTAATGAACTTGTTAAAAATTAAAGTACAGACAGTAGCACCATAATATAATAAGACAGATATGGCACCCTCACACAAACGTAGAAGCGCGGCTAAATGTGTGTCATATTCAGGCGCTCTTATTTGCATAATAAGAAAAGGCACAAGGAACGACATCCTTGTCGTTAAAGTCGTGTGCCTGGTGGTAAGCGGCACGCCTATCCATAACAGTTGCAATGCCATTCAGACCTTTTAAATCGCAAAGATCTTGTGGGCACTGCCACAGCGCCCGTCACCCTGAGAGATATGTTGACAAGTCTCTTGTCCTGTAATTTCACCAGTATCCTTACCCTTCTTAACTGGAATGTGAACGCAGTAATGCTTACATTACTGCTTGGCGGCACAAATATATAAGGTGGCAGTACTACCCTGGACTCTTTTACAAGGAGCTCTACTGCTACTAAATATAAAAACTAATAGATAGTACGTGTTCATTAATAGCTATATTTATCTGCTATATTCAATGATAATATTTGTTTTACAAGGTACTGAAGCACATAAATCAAATAACAGTTTCATATTAATGGAATTTCTACTATTGACAAAGCCTTTATGTTTGTCCTAGATCGGTGTAACCGGCGGTATAGCAGCGACACTCGGCTTGTTGACACCTAGTGCAGAAGTGCTGGCGCAAATGTTAGGAGTTGCCGGCATTGGTGGACTTATTGGTGGCACCATCGCAAAGAAGATCGAGATCACCGACTTGCCTCAACTTGTGGCTGGTTTCCACAGGTAAGTACAAATAGTTACATATTTTTTCTTTAAATTTCGATCGAGTATGTGCATGCAGGATATAATGCCCAGTGTTTGTAATTCCATTAAGGTTTTTATACTTAATAAATAATTAAATTATTATAGTTATTAATGAATTTCACATTCACCGTATTATATTTTAATATACATTTATTAGTTATTAAGAATCCATATTGTCATTTCCTGTATACACTTGACATTGTTAGTTTAATTCAATTATTTATTACTTTTTTGTATATGTACACTATTGTGTACTTATGACTTACTATTATATAATTATTTCTTCATTATTTTTTAACTGACGCTCACTTTTCGAAGAGTAGTATAAAATGACATGTAATTGTATTTGTATGAAATTTGTAATGTTGAGAGAAATAAACTAAAAACTAAAACATTTTTTCTTTGCAGTTTGGTGGGTATGGCCGCTGTATTGACTTGCATCGCCACATATATGCACGACTTCCCTGCGATGGCGCTCGATCCCACAGCCGCGACGCTTAAAACCTCGCTGTTCCTTGGCACTTACATCGGTGGTATTACTTTCACGTAAGTTTTAATTGTAATCTTTCGATTTGTCCTGATGTAGACCTTGTTTGATAAGTAAAATTCTAACAATATTGCACGAGTATGTACGTTACTAACATCATAAACAATAACTTTTGTTTCATTAACTAAAAAAAGAACTTCTAACTCATTAGATTTTTCTTTCCTGCAAAAATAAAAATATTTAAATAGATCTAAACCACAGAAATCTAAACTATTTACGTTTCTGTGCTCTACGGTGATAATTCTGTGCAGTAACAAAAAAAAGCGTTAGCGTAAGTCCAAAGCAAAACCCAGGAGCGGGGTTGGGGATCGTCGGGGAGTATGTACGCTTGCACGTTTAAACGTTCTCTGTCAGATTAGTTTTTTTTTTTGGTAAATTTATTGTTTTGTAATAAGTCATGGAACGAAAGTTGTTGTATAAGATGTTATAGTCTGTCTTTTTTGAAGACGGAGCAAAATGACATTTGTAGGGTTGCCAGTTTTCATAAAATTTTAAAATGTAGTTATGTCGAAAGTTTTATCGATAGAAGATAAAATATTGCCAAAAATGACTGAATCGTGAATGTTACGACGTTGTAATGATTACTAATTGCGTTATTGCTTTCTTTATTCTTATTTTGACAGTTGGTCTACTTGTATCGAGATCAATTTTTATTCACATACATTTTAACAAGAATAGCCGAATTTGATTATCTATATTGAATTAATAGGAAATGAAACTATTTTTCTGGATTTAAATCGCGTATATTTGTTTTTTCAAACAAACCGACGTTTCGTAGTCAACCGTGACCATGGGGCCCGTAAAGGGCCCGAAACGTCGGTTTGTTTGAAAAACAAATATACGTGATTTAAATCCGGCAAAATAGTATTATTTCCTATGTGTAACAATCGCGAAAACCTAAGAACTCGATGCATATTGAATTAAAATGAAAAACTAAAATATGTCTCGAATTTTTCATAAAAATAGTTCTAAATACATTATATGTATGTATGAACTTACAAAAATTGACAATGCAAATGAACTTGTGTTCAGTAATTGGATAGGTAGAAAATGATTCAAATGAATCAAATTCAGCTATTTATTCCGTAAGCGTGACCAATATTCAGTCGATAGTCGATAGAGTATTTATTGACTGCAGTCAATAGCTGTTCGCAAGCGGGTAACACTTTTGCGGAATAAACTGTCATTTTACTCTGTCTTCAAAAAAGACAGACTATAGCAATATAGTCTTGTAACGTTGTAAGTATTAAAAATGCCCCTATATAAGAACAGAACAACAATATTTCAGCGGTTCACTAGTAGCGTACGGGAAGCTACAGGGTGTGCTAAACTCGGCACCGTTATTGCTACCCGGTCGCCATGCGATTAACGCAGGCCTGTTGCTCGGCTCGCTGGGTTGCGGCGGCGCGTTGCTTGCTTTCCCCGAAGCGCCCGGCCTGCCTTTGCTTGGCACTGCAGCTGTTCTTAGCGGCATTCAGGGACTCACACTTACTGCTGCTATTGGAGGTAAATCCTTTGTATGTCTTCCTCTAACACAGAGGCTCTCAAACTTTTTTGTCTGGTATTCTGTCAATTTTTTCTGTTTTGCGTAGACCTCTGCCTTTCTAATATTTTTTTTACAAATTAATCAACATTTGACAGCTGATACAGCGTTAATGTGAAACTTTATTTAAAAATAATCTCAGTACTGAGTACTAAAAAACCGACCTCAAAAGCACGTGGAATTACATCTATTTGCCAAGTTTTATTGAAATCGGTTACCGGAAAGTGCGCAAACCCGGATTCATCCCCTAGTGCGCCACTGTACGGAACTTGACAAACTTAACACTACTCAAAGTATATTGAGAGAGAAAAACGCCTTGAATTGGAGAGTAGCAAAATCAACAATTAAAAGAATTGCTCCTTGTAATGAAATATAAGCGGTATTTGTAAAATGAAACTTCATGCGTGAACCCCGCCACTCTTAGAAGTGGATGATTTTCTTCAAAATTATCCTCATTTACATTATAGGTACCCCTTTCCAACAAAAAAATACAAAACGGGTAACATACAAAAAAAAACATATAGTCGAATTGAGAACCTCCTCCTTTATTGAAGTATGTTAAAAGGGTCATTTTATGTTTTGTACATTTATCTAACAGATTATCTTTTTTGTTGTGAAAAGTACTTCCTAGATAGGAAAGCCAAAATCTTTCCAACAATCTGCCAGAATGGGTTCCACTCTCGTGGACCTCCATTTACGTCTTGTGCAGCCCCTATTTTTATTTTGCTGAAAAGAACCTAAAAAAGACTAAACCCCGAATATCGATATAGATAACTTTGGGAATCATAGCTTTAACATTTGTCTCCCGTAAAAAAAACAGCTTAAACTTCGATATCGTCGAACAGTTTGATCGCATCTAAAGTTTCTTTGAGATTTTTACAGAATTCTAATAATTATAAAAACTTACTTCTTTGTCTCTAATGAGACTCAAGTGTGGTTTCTATTATTGATAACCCTACATATATGTTTTAAATAATTACATGCGTTCCCAGGTGCGGATATGCCAGTAGTGATCACAGTGTTAAACAGCTATTCCGGTTGGGCGCTGTGCGCGGAAGGCTTTATGCTCAACAACTCACTCATGACCATTGTGGGCGCGCTCATCGGCAGCTCTGGTGCCATCCTCTCTTACATCATGTGCAAGGTATACATATTTTACAACATTTGTTTATTTAAATGGAGAAACTAATAATCTCAGTATAAAGTACTAAAAAAGCCGACCTCAAAAGTCATTCACCTCCTATTTTACCACCCTTAGAGAGGTGGAATATTTTCTTCAAATTTAAATGGGACCACTTCTGGATCATTCTTGGCGCTGTACTATTTCAGCTTTCTAATTTGTAATTTCAGTGCAAACGAGAGTTGATATTTATAAGTGATGTATCACTGATGAGTTACCAGGAATGTATGGCCCTTATTTCGTCTCTATTTCTGGTTGTATACTCGATGTTCTGGGTACTCTTTCTCACAAATGCTGGAATTATCGCGTACATAAAAAAACATGCAGTCGAATTGAGAACCTCCTCCTTTTTTTAAGGTCGATTAAAAAGAAAACAAGAATCAAAAGTTTTTTTTATGATACCAAGTGACGGAACGATCAAGTCGTGCGCCTGGTGGTAAGCGACACTCCTATTCATAACAGTTCCAGTGTCACTCAGAGCGTTAAATCACAAAGATCTGAACAGCACTATGATTGCGCCCGTCACCCTGAGATATAAATTAACAAGTTCTATGTGCTTGTAAATTCACCAGCACCCTTACCCTTCAAAACGAATTTTTTTTTCAAAACGAATTCCGGACGAATTCTATCGCAAGCAGCTTTTCTGCTACTAAGGTTTATGCAAGATAAAATCTTTTCCTTGCCAAATTTATTCAAGAGTTTTCATTTTGTAGGCCATGAACCGATCTCTCCCGAACGTGATACTAGGCGGCTATGGCGTAACATCCTCAGGCTCAGCACGTCCGGCAGGAGCAACGCACACCGAACTCAACATTGACTCTGTCGCTGACCTCATTCACCGGGCTTCTAGCATTATTATTACTCCTGGTGTGTAACTGGCATTCCAATCATAGCAGCTATAAAATCTATAATCCGTAATCTATACTCTTCACCTTACACCGAATTTAACTCTACACCTTATTCTATTGGCTTGGTTAGTCCTTTACGCAACGACGACGTAACGAATAGAGAGAGATAGTCACAATTGATCATTGCTCGCCGACAACCAGACAACTTTGACAAACTGGATGTGATGGGAAAGAGACACCACGTTCGATCACCTAGCCAATAGGGGTGACCAAGTGACCGCCCTCACTGGACTCCTAACAACTGCCCTGAGAGTAGATGAAAGTAAATCGTTGATAAAGTTTCTTGAACTTTTCTGGGACACGACCTTCTGTAGTAAAGAATACAACTAAGAAGAGAACTTCGCCTCCTCAGAGCGAATGACAATAATTTATAATTATTTACAGGTTATGGCCTTTGTGTGGCTAAGGCTCAATATCCGATTGCTGAGTTGGTAAACTTACTGAAGCAATCTGGTAAGAAGGTGCGCTTTGCGATCCATCCTGTAGCCGGTGAGTAACTGTTTTTTCTTGCATTTTGTCGGTACAAGCAGCCCTTGCCGGATTGAAGTAGATTATCGATCTAACAATCAATCATTGTCTAGTCAAAGTATTTTACTACAAATTTGAAGGAATACATTTCTAACGATTATATGTAATTAAGATAGAAGATAAGATGAATGATATTTGTCCTTTTTAATTGTGGTCATTTCTCATTGTGGTCCTAAACTGCCGAAAGGATTTAACTACCATGATATTAAATTATTTTTGTGAAATTATTCCACTAGTTTGTTGTAGTTATTATACAAAGATCGAATACAAAAAAAAGTATTGATCTGGCTCGACTCGAATCAGCGACCTCGCCAAACCGTGGCTGAAGCTCTCTCAACTGACGATTTGTAACATTCTTCAATTGTAAACATACGCGTTCAAGGACGAATCTTGAAACTGCATTGTTATAGGTAATATTGCCTAATTAAAGGTCGTATGCCTGGGCAGCTGAATGTACTCCTCGCTGAAGCTGGAGTACCTTATGACGACGTGTTTGAAATGGAGGAAATCAACGATGAGTTCCCCGATACTGACCTCGTGCTAGTTATTGGTAAGAACTTCTTGAAATTGTTTTTGAAGTGCGCTGTTGCAATAAATACTAATAGTGTGCCACACAATCACACCAACTACCTAGTCTCTACTGGGATATTCCCTGTAACTATCGAAGCAACGGCATTTACTCTGGGGCTATACACAAAACACCCAGATCCAGGGTCCAGAGTACAAATTGTAGCGCTACCGAGGTCGTCACAATAACAAAAAATCAAGATTAGATTCTGTAATACTTTATGAATATTCAATTAGTGTTTTTATGGATGCATAAAATTTTGAGAAGTTAAAAGTATTAGTGTAACGCTATCGTGAGCGTGCCATTAATTTACTGGATTTTTTTTTATAACAACTACCAGTATTCTATGTCAAATTTCCAAATGTAGATAAAGGCTGAACCAAACCATATCTTACTCGCCAATATATTATATTCTATTAACCGTTTAATCTTTGTACAGGTGCCAACGACACCGTAAACAGTGCAGCCGAGGACGATCCCGATTCTCCGATTGCTGGAATGCCTGTACTTAAAGTGTGGAAAGCCAACCAGGTAACTTTTCGCTGTCAACAAAACTCGAAAACCCAGCTCGAGTTCTTAGGTTTTCGCGATTAGGAAATAAAACAATATTTTCAGATCTAAATCATCTAAATCGAGTATAATTATTTTTCCAAACAAATAAACGTTTCGGATCCTTTACTGGTCCCGTGGCCAGTCAGCCGGTCCATGGGACCTGTAAAGGGCCAGATTTATTTGTTTGAAAAAACAAATATACGCTATTTAGATCCGAAAAAATACTTTCGTTTCCTTATTACCGATGTTTTAAATGTTTAGGCTTGACTAGATCAAAAATTTGAAACGGTTACAGAATAGTACGAGTTCCAAATTGGCGTTGTTGACCTTTTCACCTAAAACAGTTCAATATGTGCTATTCAAAACATAAGACATAAGTTAAAAAGAAACATTTTTAACAGGTTGTAGTAATGAAGAGATCCATGGGCGTAGGCTACGCCGCAGTAGACAACCCGATTTTCTACAATCCGAACACTGCCATGTTGCTCGGAGACGCCAAGAAGACTTGCGACGGTTTACTAGAAAGAATCAAACATCTAACTGCTTAAAATTTATAAATAAAATCATTAACGTAACGCGATAACTTATGTTGACTTTACACATAAGTACATTCATATGAGATTCGGACATACAGAGCCTTATTTTTTAAGTTTTGATTTATGAAGGCTGTTTAAAATGCATTCAATGTTGATATTTTTATGTTACCAGTGTATTTTAATATTTGTACAAGATTTTTGAGGATCTTTTTTATTAAATGTAAAACAAAGTTTGAAGTCAAAAATCAAAATTAAACAATGTGCCTTACAGTAACTTGTCTAGACTCGGAACAGCTAGTCAAATGTTTAAAATCAAATTATAATTTTTAAGTGACGAATTTTTGTATGTTTACAGCATTTATTGGATATATTTTTTATTTACGTATTGGTTATCACGACATCATAATACTAATCAAAGTAAGACGGTTTAAGGAAATGGTATTACAAATACCAAAACAGATATTTTTCTATCTATCTTCAAATCACTCAACAATATTTACGTAAAATACGTTAATTTTGTATATAAAAAATGAGCTTCACAATAATTTATTACGCAATTTGTCAATTTGAACGTGGTTATTGACCAAAAAAAAACATACGTGCCAGCAGGTCTATAATAGTTCCATTAACTTATGTTACTAGGCAATGTAATTTTATATACCAGATTCTTTTGAATTTGTGTTTACATTGTTTCTATGAAATCGTCGAGAATGTATCCCATGATATTTTAGTACTGATAGTAACATTTACAATAACTACTTACATAGGTATAGATAACAAGAGATTGTATAAAAATTCTGATATTGATTTGAACTCCCTTAGATTAAACCTCCCTCGACATTCCATTTACTGGATTATTTGTTGATATTTGTTTTTTTTTTCGAGTGCTCCACTTTGTTGTATAAATAAGATAAACTGTTGTAATAAACCTTTTAGTTTGAGAATAAGCCCTGTAGAAATATTTGTTATTTCATATCATATGTTTTCTAAAATCCAGAAAAAACAACTATTTAAAAAAAATATAGATATAATTCATTCCAAGTTTCTCAGATATTAATGTAGTAGTCGCTAGAATAAATAAGTTTTAAAATGTGGACACTTACTGTTACAAATATTTCTTTTTCCTTAGTTTTTCATTTTAATTTACACGTGAAATATAATGTAAAATAAATGAAAATCTTGCGGTTTTCGTTCTTTTACTTTTTATACCTTTTTCACCATGTAATAATGACTAACGAAACGATCTCTTGTTTACTTTCGAGCCAAAGTTCTTAATGAGGCTGTGGTATTGCTTTCTTAGGTCAGTTAACTGGCTTTTTAAGTTATTTAAGTTGTGCAATAGTTCTCCTTCTTCTTTGGTATATTTCAAGTTTGGAATCGTTAGCAGATTTAATTTATCTATTGCTAATAAAATTTCTATGCGCAATTTCTGACAGATATCTTGATACTTAGGTATTGAATTGGTGAAATTATACATTGTATATTCTTTTATTTGTAGCTTTGAAAGTATCCAATCAATTTGATGTAAAAAGCTCTCAAAAGCTATCTCTGTCATCCTGTGCCATACAGGAAGGTCTTCGTCAGCGGAGATTGGTGTGTTATAAGAACTACCAATGTCGCCTATGCCGGTAGAATATTTTGTCACTGAGAGATTCTTTTTTACAGGTTTTTGTTTGCCGTACGATATGCTGTATTCATAGTTGCCACCGCAAGCTGACTTATTTCTTAACAAAAAATTCTTTTTCAGATGATTATGAGAGCTGTTGAATGTAATTTTTTGATCGGAGCTGCCCCTGCCATTTGACACCTGACTACAGGCCTTTCTCGATATGTGTGAAGGTGAAAGTGATAATACTTTTTTTGACTTTTTAGATTTTCTCACTTCGGGAATTATTCTATTGAGACTCATATTTTCAAACTATACTTAGACAAATAATTTTGATCCTACAAAATTTAATACTCGACTTTTTTAGACTTGACTTGCCACCAATATGATTAGAATACATCAAAGAAATTTAAATCATTTTGACATTGCTATATAATTTTCGAAAAACAGGAATCCAAGGAACATGTATTGGAAACCGTAGATGGAGAATGTATACGATTAGAAAATGATTACTAACGCCCTGGTGCAGTAAACGGGTAGAGACGGAAAAGGATATCTAGATATATGTCTGTGGATGGAGAGTAAAATCAATTGCGATTATGCTGCGACTAGATAGATTGCATGCGTGACGTCGATATGTAAAGCAAAACAGAAGTCATGCGGTCGACATTGACTCCAAGCAGTTATTGCGGCGTACTTATTAGCGCTGTGTATTTGTTAATGTCGAAATGGAAAATGTTACTTGTAATTTAAAACTGAATTGAGAACATACCTATTTTATGATTCCAAACGCTTTTTAGCTACTGTGGCCGAATGGTTATCATGCCGGACTGCCACGCAGAGGTCCCAGGTTCGGTTCCCGGGCCAGGAGAAATATTTGTATAGCCTACATTTATTTCTCTCGTAAGTTTGTGTGTAATTTGAGGTTGTCTGTGTGTGTCCATGGCACGGTGCGGGACTATATGGAGTGTGTGCGTTAAATTCACCTCCATAATCCCGGACTATATACTCGGCGATGAAATATAAGTTTACTCAAGTTTTTTTTTATAATTCTGATAATATCACATTTAGTATTGTAAAAAAAGTTATAGCGTTTTCACTACAGGTCGTATTCCAGAACTGTACTCAATGCTCAATTCAGGACTTGAGTATGATTTCTAGGGGTCGTATTCCAGAACTCTACTCAATGCTCAAGTCAGGATTTGAGCAGACTTGAGTATGATTTTAAGCACTGGAAATACGACCCTAATGGCAAGTACTTGAGTATGATTTCTAGTGCTTTGAATCATACTCAAGTCCTGATTTGAGTAGAGTTCTAGAATACAACCATAGTAGTGCTTGAAAGCATACTCAAGTCCTGACTTGAACATTGAGTAGACTTCTGGAATACGACCCTAAGTAGTCTGTGCTCAACACATCAGCCTGTGTGTTCTGACCCTCCTTGCACAGGGCCTAAGTCATGCAACATTTTATTAGATTATTACACTGCCCTCGTAACGAAAAGGCACAACTATGCTCACTTTATACAGCAGTTGTGCCTTTTTCATTCTGAGGGCAGTATAGTACAGGCCTAAACTTTTTGAATAAATGAAATGCTAATCATGAATACTTTTTCTCTCTGATTTTAGACCACTGTGCCAACCTTTGCATAAAAAAACTACTTCGCTGTTTTTTATAGCTTATTTATTCTATAATTCCTTTTTTTGGGATTAGATATATTTGTTGCCATTTATCATTGTTTTTCATTAGGTTATTTTTTACGTATAAATATAGGATCATTGATTTAATTTAGATCCATCAGAAAATGGTAAACTTATTCGTATTAAATAAAAGTTTACCATTTATAATAATCGTTCTTTATTTATGTTGATTACAATTTCTAAACCTATTTTATTTGTCAAATTGTCAATGTCAGTGTCAGCTGTGCTGTCAGTGTCAGTTTGTTTATTGGGGAATGGTAGCAGAGTGCTAATTTACGATGTAATACACCATTAAAAAACTAATAACTTCAATTTATAAGTTTAACCTTCTAGTCAACGTGGCAAAGTAACCTATTCTTTCACAGCAGTCAGCAATGTTAATAAACATATTTATATAGTGCGATCAGCAAAAGTTCGTCATTTGACCAGCAGTCGGCAACCAGGAAAATAAATTAGCATTCGGTAATCGGTTATTTTAACACCGTATAGTAGTGTTTAGTTTTTGTCAGTTATTCACCCGCTACAGTACACTGTGTCGTGCACCATGGTACGTTTACTCACACGGTCTAGCTTTGCTTGTTTGTATACTTACGTTGTGCTTTCTTTGGATTCATTTTTTGCGATTCTATTATTAACACTGATTCAACGTTGGTTTAGAATTTTCAATGACAATGGGTTGTTATTAACCATATTATTATTAAAATTTTTGTTTTTCGTTTTGTTACTGTGAGATAACCAACATCTTGATTTCCTGTTTGACTGATCATTAATTTTGTTTATTTTAATTACCAGCATTATTGCTTTTATCATTGTTTCAAGTATATTGATAGAATGTTAAGACATTATCTCAGTTCTTGATTTTATGTTATAAAATGTTACTCATATTAAAGACATGTAGCAAAAACTAGAATTTATATCTTTGCTTTAAAGTAGTATGTAATATATTTGTATCTGGTTAAAACCGCAATCATAAATATGTGTGCATTAATAAGCTATTAATGAGTAAATGACAAACTTTGTATTTATTTTTATTTATTAAAGCAAATTAGCAGCCTATTACACATTAATATAATATATATTAATACATATTTTATATATATAAATATAAAAGTACACATTAAAAAACTTTAGTAAGGCCATTTACAATTAGTAAGTATATAATTTCCTTAACAACAAATAAATTGACAAAGTGTGCTATGCCCAATTTCTTTACATTATGGGATGCTCTGTAGGCCAGTGGTGAAAAAATGGCAGAGGGCAGCAAGCTGGCACTACCAGTGAGGAGTGATGACAATGCTAGTGTCCTGTCTATGATCTACAGGTTTTTTAAAAAGGTAAGTTATAAATCTTGCAATGATATTTTTAGGTTTCTTCCCATTATTGAATCCCTCAAGTCATAGTTTTTATATGAATGACATGTATACAACCTCCTACCATATTGAAGTAAATGTACACTATTTAAATCATTATATAGGTTAGAAAAATAGGAAAAAAAAATTTGAACATCCATCTTCCATATATATAATCTGCAAATGCATCATACATTAACATTCACTTTCTGAGCAATGCTGTAAATGTAAGAAAGATGACATCATTGGCAACCTTGATTGCTCTCTGACTCAACTATTTTGGCCTTCAAACCTTCATTCATTTAATAGGTTATGGTAATGTTTGGGACTTATTTTTTGTAAACAAAATTTTTTAAATTATGACAATTTATGAGGACTTTAGAACTGTATTATGTTGAGACATTTTTCTTTAAACATTTTATCTAATCTCAACATTGTGGTATAATATGTTTAATGTCAGGGATCCGAATAGGTAGAGTTTTTTTACATAAACTTTGAGGAACATAGACAGAAAATGGATACTGCCTTACCACAATATTTTTTAGGTCCCAGGACCTTTTCGGGATTGGGGAAATCACTTAAGAACATTAAAAATTGACATAATTGGGGACATGCAAGTACACTATATTAATCTTAACTTTGCGACACACAGTGGGTCGCATCTGCGATATTGCGGACATTGGATTTTTTTCACAATACCTCTCTAAAAAAAGTGCCAATCGAGAGATCCTATTGTCCTAATTAAATATTGTCATATCACATTTTGCCATAAATGTAATAGTTTAGTAGGAAAAAATAAAATGTGTATTTTTTGTAAGGGACCATACCTTTAGTGTCCCATCGTTACAAGTCGAACCTGTCTTGGAATCACTACAGACGTATTATTAGCTACCTATCTTCTATAGATTTGCATACTAAACGCGCGCCCAACCCTACATGTTCACTAATATACGCGTTACAAAATGAGCAAAAATTGCTCGTAAATACGATTATTGGTCCACAATCGAAAGATCCTATTGTCCTAATTAAATATTGTCGTATCACATTTTGCCATAAATGTAATAATTTAGTAGGAAAAAAATAAAATGTGTACTTTTTGAATGGGACCATACCTTTAGTGCCCCGTTACAAAGTCTTAGTCGATCCTATCTTGGAATCACTACAAACGTATTATTAGACCTATCTTCTATAGATTTGCATATTAAACGCGCGCCCAAACCTACATTTTCATTAATTATACGCGTCACAAAATGTGCAAAAATTGCTCATAAATACGATTATTGCTTAAATACATTAATTAGCAATGATCTGTATAGGTAGGGTTTTTTCGATGAACATAGACAGATAATGGAGACTGCCTTACGAGAATATTTTGTAGGTCCTGGATTTTTTCGAGATTCGGGAAACCGGGAATTATTTGGGATAGGTCGTTTAGAGTATATTTATCTTAACTTTGCGACGAGTTGTTGCAATACCAAGTTTTCGGAATATTTAGGGAAATTAAAAAAAATCTTTTCTTTTTCATAATTTTTTTTCTAAAAGCATACATTTTACAAAAGACTATCTCCCGCCAAACTGGAAACAGCTACTTAATACATTTAATTGGAGTTAATAAGATTACTAACATTTGTATTACTAACATTCTGTTGATTTATGGACATTCCTGCAGAATCCTAAAACTATCGCAATGACTCTTCGTGTTCTATATGGTATACGTTTTAACTTTCTGACTCGATTTTCATGTCATAATCAGACAATTTCTGTTTATTTCATTTGATTACAGGTAGAGTGAATAATACCGCACTCTGAAATACCGTAATGATAATCACAATATTTACATCCCGGAATTTTAGAAATCACGAATTATTTATTGGACTTTGAATACATTGATAACAAGTTATTGTATCGAAAAATCTTATTATAGTTTTTAGGGTTCCGAACTAGAACTGTTTTAAATTAAAGTCTTTTGCTTCACATACAGGAAAATAAAACTAAATTGGTTTGTTTTTCTTGTTTATTTGTTTCAGTAGGTAAATTAAAACTTGTGTTTCGAATACATACTAATGTTTTGTTATTACTTCAGATAACGACGATTCCTATTGTTATACGACAATAAAGACACTTCTTTGTTACACAAAAGCAGAGAATAAAGAGAACGGACACTCTCAGCTTCTCCCTAGTTTTAGATACCGCAACACGCCATAATGTCCATAAATCAACAGAATGTTAGTAATACAAATCGTATTAACTCTAATTAAATGTATTAAGTAGCTGTTTCCAGTTTGGCGGGAGATATTTTTTTGTAAAATATATGCTTTTATACGAAAATGAATGAAAAAACTTATTTTTTTAAATTTTCCTATATATTCCGAAAAACGGGTATTGCAACAACTCGTCGCAAAGTTAAGATAAATATGCTCTAACCGACCTATCCCAAATAACTTCCCGATTTCCCGACTCGAAAAAATCCAGGACCTAAAAAATATTCTTGCAAGGCAGTCTCCCTTTTTATGTCTATGTTCCTCGAAAAAACGCTACCTATGCCGATCATTGCTAATTAATGTATTCAACCAATAATCGTATTTACGAGCAATTTTTGCTCATTTTGTAACGCGTATATTAGTGAACATGTAGGGTTGGGCGCGCGTTTAGTATGCAAATCTATAGAAGATAGGTAGCTAATAATACGTCTGTAGTGATTCCAAGACAGGTTCGACTTGTAACGATGGGACACTAAAGGTATGGTCCCTTACAAAAAATACACATTTTATTTTTCCTACTAAACTATTATATTTATGGCAAAATGTGATATGACAATATTTAATTAGGACAATAGGATCTCTCGATTGACATTTTTTAGAGAGGTATTGTGAAAAATAATCCAATGTCCGTAATATCGCAAATCCGACCCACTGTGCGTCGCATAGTTAAGATAAATATACAGCCTTGGCCAAAAGTATTAGGCACCCTAAAACTTACTTTAAAAAATGGAAAAAAACAACTTCCTGTTTCTTGATTTATTTATTATAATTAAAACACATAAAAACAAATACAAATACCTTAAAATCTAGTAGGTCCACCCTTAGATTTAATCACAGCGCTTATTCGGTCTGGCATGCTGCGCACAAGCTTAGAGCAATCCTCTCTCGTAATAGCTTGCCATTCATTTATCAAAGCATTTTTAGGGCCGTTTTAGAAGTAATGCCAATATGCTCTTTAATCCTACGCTTTAAAATGCCCCAGAGATGCTCGATAGGATTCAGATCTGGGGACTGGGCCGGCCAATCCAACAACTCAATGTTGTTGTCCCTAAACCAACGCATCGTAGTCGCTGACTTATGACAAGGCGCATTGTCTTGTTGGAATATGACTCCATCTAAGTTAGTGCCGCCAAAAATGCTTGTTAGCGAAGGCATAAGCGCAGATTCAAGTACTTCTACGTACTTTTCGCTGTTCATACGGCCTTCGCAGACAAACATTTCGCCAACCCCATCAGCAGCCATACAGTCCCAGATCATTATGCTGCCTCCTCCGTGCTTGACAGTTGGTACGACGCAATCTGGATGGTATTCTTCACCCACACGACGTCTGACGAATGTCACACCTGGTGTTCCAAACACCTAGAGAAGAAACGAAAAAGTTATTTTTTTTTGAAAGGCCATAACTTTTTCCATTTAAGTAAAATAAATAAGTGATCATACTTATTGGTAAAGAACCCAGTAAAATAAACTTACCTCAAAATTAGATTCGTCAGACCACACAACATTAGACCAATCTTCCTCCGTAAAATGTTGGTGCCGTAGAGCCCACTCTAAACGTTTCCTTTTGTTGGCTTCTGAGAGCCAAGGCTTCTTCCTGGCTTTGCATCCTTTTAGACCAGCTTCCCCAAGTCTTCTCCTTGCTGTGCGAGCACTAATTGCTTTTCCAGTCTCTTCGGACAAGGCAGCAGCAAGCTCTGATGAAGTTTTCTTCCGATCTTTCATCGATTCGCGTATTAATTTTCTATCCTCGCGTTTTGTTGTTACCCTTTTTCTGCCTGTTCTTTGTTTATTAGCGTGAGTGCCAGTCTGAGCAAACCGTTTAATAGCAGATTGCACGGCGCAACGTGAACATTTCACTAACTTGGCAATTTCTTTTTGCGACTTTCCTTGTTCATGTAAAATTTGTATTTTCACTCGATTTTCCAAACTAATTTCACTGTTCTTCGGCATTTAAAAACCAATCAGACCTCAATTTAATTTTTAAACCAATAATAAAAACTTGTTGACGCTTTAGAGTCCCGATCACAAGTGACAAAATATTTAGTGATAAGACCGCAAGAAGCACAAGTCCTTTGTTTTCGATCACCAGGTGTTTTATGACCTTAAAAATATGCCGCCTACTATGCCAGGTAAAGAAATACAACCCCAGCATACCATCTAAGATAAGCATTAATGAATGGTTAAATTAGTAAATTTGTATTTTGCAAATTTAAGGGGTGCCTAATACTTTTGGCCAAGGCTGTAGTGTACCAGCCTGTCCCAATTACGTCAATTTTTAATGTTCTTACGTGATGTCCCCAATCACGGAAAGGTCCTGGGACCTAAAAAATCTGTGGTAAGGCAGTGTCCGTTTTCTGTGTATATTCCTCGAAGTATAGGTAAAAACCTCTACCTATTCCGATCCCTGTAATGACAAAAATGTATGCTTTATAATGTATCGGAATGTGACTGTGAAATCGGGCGACTGGTGGGTAGCGACCTGCCTATCCATAACATGGGAGTCATTAAGTTGTTTCAAAATAATCTTAAAACACAAGTGCGTACTGCTTAAAATTATTTTAATTGAAGTTGTAGGTTGTCAATAACGATAATTTATGTGTATAATAATTGATACTCAAAAAAAATCATAAGTTCACCCTGTATAGTGTCTAGCATATTATTATTATAACTGTAACGTCGACTTCTATAACTATAAATGACGACTGCTACATAATATTATATCGTATCAGATATTGATTGTGTATTATGAATAAGTTTATCTATTAAAGTCGTGTAGAATCTAAACGACAAGATTATGTTATGAAGACTACACTATGCATAGATTAATACCTAGTTTTTGTTACTAGGTAACTGTATAAACAGCATTTTGTCTTTAAACACATACTGTACGACAAAATAAAACATAAATGTTGATCAACATTTTATTTTTAAAGCTAATCTTAACTTTTTCACGACTTAGCTATAAAGCGCAATACGTAGATTAATTAAGGTACTTTACACAGTGACTAAAGTTCTTGAAATGGTTAGTAAACATGTTGGTTTAGTAAGCGATTAGCCACACTCATAATAAGAATTGTCGTCTACATTATGCTTATCTTAAATGTTAAACCTAACAAATGACACACGCTACGTTCACAACATACTTACAACCGCCGCCGCAATATTATATTAATATATAATATTAATATATATTGTTTGGCGTGAAATTTACGTATTCATATCAAGGTCATATTTGATAAGAACTTAACAATAGTTTTTTTTACTGTAGCGAATGTTTGAACTTAGAATACTCATTTAAAGTGACATGGAGCTAAAGGAACATTTGCTATTTTCTTGTCAAAATATCTGTGATAAAATAGGCGCTTTGTCGTCGAGTTGCGGACACCAGCCCGTTGCACCAAGTACCAAGTATCTGTGATAAAGTTAATCTACAATTCGAATCAAGTATACGAGTCAGCAGGCTTAACATGAGCGCAAAGACAAAAGATAAATCTTCCCCAAACTGTCAGTTAGCCTGTTAAATGACGTCACGTGAGCTATCCTTACAGGCGTAAACATGACCGTTGAGCTCTCTTAGGAAGTCACTATATTAATCGACGCGGAACCCGTAGCCAGTGAGAAAAAGCTTTATGTCCATACCATAAGAACGAAGAAGACGTTGTCGACGATGGGCGACTCGACACAAGCGAAACGCACGTCTTATTCGCTCTTTTCGCATGGACAAATCACCTTTTTTTTAAATAAAACTTTTTCAGACTGGCCTAAGCCACGGTTCCGCATCGATGAGTATGGGACTCCCAAATGATATACACTCCCGGACACAATTCGAGCCACCATGCATTTTTATTCTTAAAGAGCTAGAATACAAAATTAATGTTATTTATCAACGAAGAAAGTCTTCCCCAGTTTTACAAATTCAAAATTTCTACGAGAACTTATGGAAATGACGTTGAGTATACCAGTTTCAAAATTGCGTAATAGTTTTTTTATTTTTTTTATTAATTACTTTTGTACACCTTGCAAAACTTCGAGCCAGCGTATTATAGCGGGTAGCCAGCAACCTGCGCCCCCTCTATGTCCAGCTTGTCCGTTAAATCGTCAGTGGCCTAGTGGCTCAAGTATTAAATTTAGCTACCGGACACAACTGAGCAAAATTTCCGTTAATGATGCTTAGTTTACGAGAATAGGACCTGCCTACAACTCTATAATATTATGGTAATGAAATCAAATAATAAGAGTTAAAATGATTCCACTTTGTAACTGAATATTGCACCGAAAGGGAAGTATACTATTTGATATAAAGTTATGATACACTATTTCGGTAACCGCTATCATATCATCTACTCCCACAATCAGGATTGTAGCGTTATGTCAGTCTTGTTATTACAACTGTTGTTTTTCAGTCTGAAGTCTGTATATCTGTAGGTATACCTTTTCATTTTCATCATAACATTAACACTTCCACAAATTATAGTACAGATGAGAAGACATAAGTTAGGTGATTAGTTCTTTCTATTTAAATCTAGATTTAGACGTGAAGTACCTTCAGTAAACTGATGTTTAAATTCACACTCACCCACACTCGTGACGAAATGACATTAATATGGTTTTATAATATATAAATATTAGACAACATCTCACACGTTACTCTATCCCAAAATAAGTAAGAAAAGCACTGGTGTTATGGAAATCGGATATAACGACGGTACCACAAACATCCAGACCCAAGACAATATTACGAAGTTGTTTTTCTACTTTGAGCCGGCCGGGGATAGAACCCGGGAACTCAGAGATGGCGACACCATGAAAACCAGCGTGTAACCCACTCAACTTCTTTCTCAATTTCTTAAAAGTAGAACATTTTAAGAACATGTGTTATTTGTTTTGTTACTAATAAATGTTACTGTTGGATTATATATGTATATCTCTAATAGAAAAATAATACATTTTAAATCCTTTTCGACCTGATTCTATCAGGCAGCAGATATCTAAACTTTTATACTACCTATTTTATTATTATACACTGAATAGTTCAATTTTGATTATTGTTTTGTTGTTTGCCAGTAACCGTTCAAAGTGATAATTTCTCTTGATTTTATTGATATAAAACAGATTATCATCTAACACCTGCAATAATTCAGTGTTTTATAGTTTATTTATCGAACGGTTGTTGACATGGATCGTAGTGTAAGAAAATATAGTTTGGAAGTTTTTATGGAGTATATTTACTTCATATTGTTTTTGCTCTGCTATTTCTGGAGGGTACGTTTTTATTATACTAACTGATAGTCAATAAATTTGAATTTATAACTGCTACCGGTTAACATCGCGTATCACTAATGTAGCGGAACTAGGTAACTGTTATATTGTACGCACTATTACGTCCGGTTTCCATTTAGGACATTATGTTTATGTAAAAGAGCGAGTATATCTTGCTAGAGTCCGAGAAACCTTTTTATGTCGGCCTGTATTTTAAAGTACGTATTTGCTTTGAGCCCTATTAATTTTTTTGCACGCAAAATTTATTTTGAAGACCCATAGCCGCCAACGTTCCGTCTTCCATACATTTGAAACGAATGAAGAATAAAGAAAATATTTTATTTCGCCTCAAAACGACACTACAAGTCCTAAATAAGTTTTTGTTTATGTTAAGTAACGGGACGAGCAAGTCATGGTAACCCATAACAATTGCAGTGCCACCCAGAGCTTTAAATCCCAAAGATCTGACACTGCCACTGCGCCCGTCATAGTCAAAGTCACATTACCAGCACTGGGAGAACTAAAATTATTCCTGCTACGAAACCAGATATTGTAAACAGGAATGTTTGTTCCATTCTGTGTCCCCTTACAAAACCAATATGGCGGACCTATAGGTCCGCCATATTGGTCTTTTTTCCCCAAACATTACCATGTTTGAGGAAAAAAGGACTGCTACATAATCTATTATAGTTATGTACGAGTATCGAGTATATAACGTTATAATTATACTCGATGTGTACGAGTAATCTTTGTTCCCTTTACAAATGATCCAATATTGCGAACCGGTAATGTACGAGGAAAAAAAATTACTGGTGCCTAACTTGGTTACATAAAGAAAACCGGAACGCAGTAATGCTTACGTTATTGCTTGACAGCAGAAATAGATATTAAGGTGGTATTACTTTCCTAGATTCACTCTTTTATAAGTACTTATAAGCGTTGTAATGACCTGTATATAAAAGCCAAGAAATCTAATGTGCGCCATGTGTTTATTTCACAAACAGGTGTCAATAGTCGGTGCCGTGTACCTGGTGGGCTACATGCAATGGAGCGTTGCTTGGCTGATCGGCCCCGTGGTTCTGTCTTTGCTAAGAGACCGGTGGCGCAGAGAGAGCGAATATCGACGCAGTTTGGCTAAGGCCGCAGCTCAAACTTCTGAGAAGGATGTAGTGTTGGCCAGATTAGATGATTTGCCTGCTTGGGTGAGCTTGTTGTTTTGTTTTTATATATGCAACACCTATTATATAAAAAAAAATTAGAAAGAAGAAGGAATGGGCTTTGTTCTTCAAAAATCAGTCAAAGTTGTTGAAAATAAATTATCTTTTTGCTTATATTATTTTTAATTGTCATGAGTACACCACAAGTATTTTCGATTCGATTCTGGATTCAAAATTAAATTGGATTAATTTTTATTACATAGCAAGTCTGAATGATTTTTGAATCCAAGTCGTATAAATGTTATCTCTCGTATAGTTAATTATACACATACTTTACAGGTATTTTTCCCAGACGTTGAGCGTGCAGAGTGGTTAAACAGAGTAAGTTATATTTTCATAAAAGCCTACTTTTATACAGGGTGACATTTTATTAATTTCGCGATGTCTTTACTTACTGATCCTTCCCATCAATACAAATAACCTTTACTATGTGCACTCCCTTGAATATCGTACCAAAATACAAGGACGTCTTCCTATGTTGTTTAAGCGACGGTTAAGCTATACGAGTCCAACCGTGGTTTAGTGATTTTCTATTTAGAAACTCCGCAAACCGCTTAACATTTTTGTTTGAGACAGAGCTATTGATTGAATCCTTTAAACAAAAAATCTACTATTATTAGTCAGTGGTTTTCTGTTATCTACATAAGTCGGATTAGAATATATTTGAGGGTCTACAGTAATGGATTCTCTTCTGTAAGACGTCGATCCTATTTCCATCTAAGGCTGCTAACAGATTGACTGCTTGTTTGCAGATAATGCGTGATGTAATCAACTTCATACAGCCGAGACCTCGACTGCATGAAGTTGATAATGACTTCATGCATTAACTGAATGCAGTCGCAACTCAACTGCATGCAGTTGAGACTTCAACTTCAAGCGACAATGGTCCGAGAACCAAAAGTAGTAATTGACGTTCTTACGAGGATATATTATTATTTTTTAGCCTGTATTATCATTTTTTTGCTTTCAATATATCGTTTAATTTATTAAAAATGGCAGTCGAGATTATAAAGTAGTTGTAAACTTTGTTTTCATATTGTCTGCATTTCGGGTACAGTACGTAAAAATCACTTTCTCTATAGCAACATAACAGTAGTGGAGCTATCCACGCTGCATGCTTTCGTCTTTGGCTTTGATTATGCCCGCGGCGTAACAATAGTAGCGCTCGTGCTTCCATCTCAACGTCAACTTTTACACTGAGCTCCAGAGCAAGGCGCGCGGCGATAACTGACTGCAGTAAATCTCGACTCGTCGGTTTCATCTGCTTTTTGGAGTTGTATTATACGTAGTCTCAGTCGGTTTCGTCTGCTTTTTGGAGTTGTATTATACGGACTTCGCGCATGCAGTTCGTTTAGTAGCAGCCTAATTAGATTTATGGGCTATGCTATGTTCCATAGACCTAAGGGATCCATGTAAAGGACGCTGAGAGCCCATGGCGAGCCTACCTAACATAAATGCATTATAAAAATTGGTATACAATATGTCATCCTTCATCATAATCTTATCATTATCCTTATCGTCCTTACTTGGTCGATATTCCCTTCAGGCGTACTAAGCGCTTTGCATCATCTTTTATTATGCGCACAGCCCTAGAATGGAATTCCGAGCTCGTACAACCCAAGTATCTTTAATCGTAGATCCTATCTTTGCTCCAGAGCTAGGTATTGGTCAAGAGCAAGTCGATTTAATTTAAAAAAAATGTGAGTAAATCAGTACTGTGCTGTCGCCTTTTTGATTTTCGCGCCCTTTGTCGGCCGTCTATTATTGGAGCGAACGAGACGCGCGTCAATGCAATTGCGAGCCTTTCTTTTCTTAATTTTTTCGGAAACGGTCCGTGAGCTCTTGAAATTTTGAGAGAGGTTCATGACTAGAAAAAGGTTAAGAAACCCGTGATTGTAGTAACACCTCTCTCCTTAGAAATTACACACAGTTCCTAGTATATAGCATTAGTCTCTGAGACCATTAGTAATAGTATAGTATTAGTAATATGATTTGATACAGGAATAAATAATCTTATTCGGTTTAATTCACAGTCTTACTCGACTTCAACGTAACTGCGAACGTAGGTCGATAGTACCTATCCCGAATTGTTAGTCAGCGCTAAGCAGTTACAAAAATAATCCTCATTATATAACGAATGTGATTTGAAATTTTGAGAGAGGTTCATTACTAAAAATAGGTTAAGAAACCTGTGATTGTAGTAACACCTCTCTCCTTAGAAATTACACACAGTTCCTAGCAGTAGTATATAGCATTCGTCTCTGAGACCATTAGTAATAGTATAGTATTAGTAATATGATTTGATACAGTAATAAATAATCTTATTCGGTTTAATTTACAGTCTTACTCGACTTCAAGGTAACTGCGAACGTTGGTCGATAGTACCTATCCCGAATTGTTAGTCAGCGCTAAGCAGTTACAAAAATAATCCTCATTATTATAATGAATGTGATTTTTCCGTACCAGTGACTATTTATTTACTTTGTTACCCCTTATCAGTATCGAGATCAGATTTTGATTTGAAAATAAACTTTATTACTATTGGCTGTAATAAGTTTTTCTAGGTCATTATTTTTCAATCTATTTTCAATTTAATACCATATTCACCCGTCATATCCTCCGCGCGACAAATGATTACTTACTACTCCAACTCGGATTTACGGTAACATATTGCTCATTAGGTTACGGCATATAGATATTGATATTCCCCCTACCCACCGAATAAACGTGCAATAGTTTTTAATTACACATTTTTTTTATCAAGGTGCAATGTTCTATTATAAACAAACCTCCTAAATTACTTTCACGCAAAAATAGATAAATAACCTGTTTGCATATAAATCGATACATGTTTTTTTAAGGAAAACATGAACATAAATTACGCACGAAGGAAATAATACAATTATAAAAAATTAAAATAAATTTACGATTTAAAAATACGTAATCTTATGATTACACATTTGTTTTTAAATAAATTCATCAAGTGCAGAGTTATTGAAGTATTTATTCCTAAAGGTATTCTGTAAAATTGATGTTTTGCTAATACACGTTTGCTGGTTGACACTTCGTGGAAGAACAGTCATAGAAGCCAATTTTATCAAAAATTTGCTATTGATGATTAGGTTTAATTTTCAAGTTTTTTCCATCTGTTTAGTCGAACAAATATTATTCACCGAAAAATTAAATTTTTACGTAAGAATAGGTATAAAAATTAAAAAGGAAGCAAAACGTTTATAATGAAATTTTTCACTCGCCTTAGTTTGACCTGCAAAGTGCTAACTGTGTAGTTTGACTTTTGCGCCTTTTCTTCCTAGATGTATAGATTATGTTTACTGAATATAACATACATAAAGTTACTGTTACTGTAGAAACATATTTCTTTCTAGTCCGATAGTTTTATTTGTATTTACTAGCTTTGCAAAAATCTCAATTTCCTTAATAAAAAATGCCACACAACATTCAAAATCATATCACCTGATGTCCTCCAAGGACCGTTGCTTAACGACCGTTGTAAACCGTCGCTTAGGTATCCTTTAGGTTATTATGTAGTCCCCTACGCTGTCCTGATTAAAGATGGGAAAAACTGCTTATTTTTTTAAACATTAGAACATTGTGCTTGTTTAAAAAAAGCATGCCTTTTTTAAACGCTTTTCACTTATACGCTTTTTAGTTTGAGGCTTATAAAATCGTTTAGAAAAACGGTTAAGCGCATAGACTTTTATGTTAAAAAAAGCATGCAACGTTGTGTTGATAGCTAAAAGCAAGAGTAGACCACTAAAGGTTTTAAGATAAACACTTTATTTGTAAAACACGACTTTTATTTTTATTTATAAAATTATTGATCGAATAATTTGTTTAGGAAACGTAGATGGCGGAACTAGAAACATAAGCACGTTGACCAAGGCTTAATTTTAAAAAGCAAACTTTGTTAAGTGCTTTTCGTTTAAACGCCCACATCTAGTCCTGATGCGAGTTGGGACTTCACACGTTTTCCAAAGTTTATGTACCGTCTAGGTTTCTTAATTATGTTTTCTTTCAACGTTAGCTAATAGTATTGTTCGTTACTGTTCTCCAAAACTACTATTTCATCATCATCATCAGTTTACACGCATCCACTGCTAGATATAAGCTTCCCCCAGAGCACGCCAACTCTCCCCGTCCTGTGCCGCCAGCATCCAGCCGCTGCCGGCCGTCTTTCTCAGGTCGTCCGCCAAATTTGGCGCCAACGCAGGGCGTCCTACGCTTGCCTTGACGTGTTCGTCATCCTAGAACAAGTCTGCTCCATCGGCCATTAGTCCTCTTGCAGACAGGTCCGGCCCACTGCCATTTAATCTTACTGATTTTGCGAGCTATGTCGGTCACTTTAGCTCTTTCATTACGTCAGAGAACTTCATTAGTTTTTTTTAACCGACTTCAAAAAAGGAGGAGGTTCTGAATTCGCCTGTATGTTCTTTTTTTTTCTTTCTTCTTTCTTTTTTGTATGTATGTTACGCAATAACTCCGATATTTGTGAACCGAGTTTCATGATTCTTTTTTTGTTGGAAAGGGGGTATTTCCATAGTGGTCCCATTTCATTTTGAAAAAAATCATCCACCTCAAAGAGTGGCTGTTCACGCATGAAGATTCATTTTTATAAACAGCGCCTAACTTTAATTTAGGAGCAATTACTTTTAGCAATTATTTAGTTGATTTTGCTATTTCTCCAATTCAAGGCGTTTTTCTCTCAATATACTTTGAGTAGTGTCGTAGTGAGAACCCATTTCTTTTATCTCCAGTATCAAGCCCTGTACAAGGGGCGAATTAGGGGATATTTCAATGAAACTTAGCAAATAGACGTAACTCCACATACTTTTGAGGTCGGTTTTTTTAGTACTCTGTACTGAGATTATTTATAATATCAAGTGACGGGACGAACAAGTCATGCGCCTGATGGTACACGGACAAGTCCCGTGTGCCTATAATTTCAACAGCACACTTACCCTCCAAAACCTCCGCCAAGCAGTAATGTTGACATAGCAGAAATAGGTAAGGTGGCAGTACTACTAATAATCAGTCAATCAGAGAAATACTAAAGTAACAAAACTACTATTGAGACTACCAAAAAATTTAATTATACACTAATTGTAGACCAAAGCAATTACTGCTACTATAAATGAAATACGTTTTACATTTCTTGCAGATTCTTCTACAACTCTGGCCAAATGTAAATCACTTCACTCGGACGTTACTTAAGGACTCCATAGAACCTGCAGTGGCTGAGAGTCTCGCTAACTACAAGTTGCAGGGCTTTAAGTTTGAGCGCATGATCCTTGGAACTATTGTAAGTTCTCTTTAGCTTATTTTATAATATTTTTTATTCTTTTTCGGTTCACTGAAACGGTTGTAAAGTTACATATACAATAATAATAATAATAACACACACACTCAACATAGCCCCGCACTAGGGAAACCCTGTGTCGCAGGTGCCATGGATACACACGTAGATAACCACAAATTACACTACGAGATAAATAAATGTAGGCCTTACAAATATTTCTTGCTGCCCGGGAATCGAAGCTGGGACCTCTGCGTGGCAGTCCGGCATGGTAACAGTTCGGCCGCAGAGGCAGTTAATAAATTTAATGAGGTCGAGATCTTATCTAATCACAGAACTAATTATAAATGAAAAATCATACTCAGTCACATACACACGCACGCGCACGCTCGCACGCTCGCACGCACGCACGCACGCACACACGCACGTGCGCAAGCACGCACGCACGCACGCACGCACGAGAAGCCGGCCCGCACGCCCGCCCAAACCCGCCCGATAGCCCGCACGCACGCACGCACGCACGCACACACTCACTCACGCACGCACTCAAGCACGCACGCACGCACGCACGCACACACGCACGCACGCACATACGCACGCACGCATAGCTGACAAGAATCACGGACAGTACCAAATAAAAAAAACATTGAGGTTTAAAGAAACAATTAAAATGAGAATACCGTAAAGCGAGTACACAACCTAGGGACACAGGTATTAAAGTCAAGAATAATTTTGCGCATTGGAGCATTATAGAATTCTTTCTGACCTTGAGTATCTCGAGTGTTACCCAGATTTTATCACTCTGAGCACTCGACAATAGTGTTTCTGATTCTAATCCGGGCAGTACCAATCCAGGGAACATAGTTTTCTAAGTCTGGTTATTCTGGTTAGTACCCCCGATGGTACTCGTAATACAGGGATTTGAGTCCAGGGAATTGATGCCAGACAAGCACACTAATTATCCGGGTCTTAGACTATTCCCTTTGGTGTGATGGTTTTGTGTATTCTTATGATTATTATTACAAATGTCTTAAACTTAAAATTCAGCAATACAATACAATGTTATTTAAATAATTATCATAATAATTCTTATAACCATACTTATACCGCAATATAACAAACAAAATACAAATCATGATTATTATTACAAATGTCTTAAACTTAAAATTCAGCAATACAATAAAATGTTGTTTAAATATTTATCATAACAATTCTTATAACCATACTTATATCGCATTATAACATAAAAAATACAACGCATGATTATTATTATAAATGTCTTAAACTTAAAATTCAACAATACAATAAAATGTTATTTAAATATTTATCGTAATAATTCTTATAACCGTGTTTATGCCGCAATATGCAATAAAAAGTATGATTATTATTATAAATATCTTAAACTTAACATTCAACAATACGATAATATATTCTTTAAATATTTATCATAATAATTCTTATAACCATGTTTATACCGCAATATAACATAAAAGTACAAGTATGGTTTCATCAAGAAATAAATTACTATAAAATTGATATTGAAATTCGCTATGGCTGCAGGCGCCTCGTGTCGGCGGCGTCAAAGTCTACGATAAGAACCTGTCGAGAAATGAAATCATCATGGATATTGATTTGTTGTAAGTATCACGTATGTAATGACTAACTGATAGTCGGAATCAATATCTTTACTATAGCAAAATTCACCTGTTTCATACAAAATGTTCATCTCGACCCAAATGTATAGAAAAAAGGGCCCTATAAAAAAAAGCACTTCACATTGAGGGTTCCTCCTTAGAGTTAGTTAAACTACGTCACCCAGTATATTACGTGTCTTTATTTTCAGCTACGCCGGAGATTGCGACATTTCTTTTGTTGTGCAACGAATTCGTGGTGGCATCAAAGACCTTCAGGTACGATAAAAATTACCAAAAAAATACGGTTTATGGCAAATCACAATGCTGTCTATTAGAATCGCACTGATGGTAGGAATGTTATTTTATGATGTACTTCAAAAGAAATATATACAGGCTGTCCCACTGCTATGCGACACGATACGATACTGTAAATATTGTAGACAGGATATTTTGCTTCTTGGAGAATATTATTTTTAACAGTAAGTATATATTCAATAGAAAAATTATTGTCAACAATATTTGACGAAAATAAAAAATTAATTTTGGTCGGCGACATAAACGTAGATTATTTAACCGACAATTCGGACAGGCGATGCCTAGACGACCTATTGAGTTGTTATAACACAAAAAATATTGTCGATTTTCCTACACGCGAATGTGACACTTGTAGCACTTTTTTGGACTGTGGGATAGTTTCGAGCGATGACTGTAATTACATAACCGTTTCTCCTTTAGATACGCCGATAAGCGACCACAACGCACAGCTATTCGTATTACCTGTTACGCAACACAAAAATGTAAACAAATTTATACATCGACGTATCTTTGCAGAGGAGTCTATTAATTTATTTTATATGGACATTTATAATTATGATTGGAGTTTCATTCATGTGACTGATATTAATATTAAGGAAAAATTTAGTTCATTGATAAGAATATTAACTTATTATATTAATATTCATTTTCCTATTAAAAAAATGTCTTTAAAGAGGAATACTATTCCATGGGTGAGTGAAGAACTTTACCACCACATTGCAATGTATAATAATTTCTGCTCAATGAAACACCAATTTCCACATGATAATGTTTTAAATAAATGTCTCCAACATCATTCAAATTTAATAAAATCGATGAGTTTGCGTGATCGTCGTCTATTTAATGATAATAAGATGATGTCTACTAAAAACTCGAGTAAGGTAATGTGGCAGATTGTGAACGATGAGGTTTCAACTAGGAATCACCAACAAAACGTTCGACTGACTCACAAGGGAGACATTGTGCCTGTAGACATGATACCTGACTACTTCAATGATTATTTTCTTACAACAACTTCAAAATTACATCTACACAATAATAAAGAAAAATCAATGTCATTTTTAAGAAAATGCGTGGGTGAATGCGATGTTCCTCAGTACAGCCTTCCAACTGTCACTCGTGACTCGTTGGAGGGGGTAGTGAGGGGTATGTGGCATACGTCAAAAACGCTGGACATATACGATATATCTACAAATATATTAATGTCAGTGTGGCCAGTGATTGGAGACATACTCGTTATTTTAATAAATGAAATGTTTAGAGAAGGTATATATCCTGATATTTTAAAAAGTACTCGTGTATGTCCAGTGTTTAAGGGGAAGGGGGACGTGACCCATGTTGAAAGCCACAGACCGATAACCATAGTTCCGAATATATCAAAAATAATAGAATCTATTATATCAACAAGTATTATGGATCATTTCGAAATGAACGATTTGTTATCAGATAGACAATATGCTTATAGGAAAGGTAAATGCACCGTAGTTGCAGCACAAAATATAGTAGATTCTATTATTACCAGTATAGATCATAAGTATAAAACTGCAGGCATTTTTTGTGACCTAACAAAGGCGTTCGATGTAATTGAAAATGATTTATTAATTCAAAAGTTAGCTGTGTATGGCGTCAACGGAGTCGCCCATAACCTATTAAAGTCTTTTTTATCAAACAGATGGCAAACGGTTCAGGTCAGTACAAACGGTACAACAACTAGGTCAGCGGCTGGTGACGTCACCATTGGCATCCCACAGGGATCTGCCCTAGGTAATACACTATTCGTGGCATTCATCAATGATCTGCCATACTTTATATCAGGGGGTCTTGTGGTTCTATTTACGGACGATACAACCGTTATAGTGTGTGCTAAAACCTACAACGAGTTGGAAGAAAAATTAGCCTGCACGTATGAGCAGCTGTGTGAGTGGTTCTCTGCGAATGGACTTATTCTTAACGAATCGAAGTCAAACCTTATGTTGTTCTCAGGAAGAAATTCTATAACAAAGCCAATTATCACCTCCATTGTTCCATTATGTAACACCTGTAAATTCTTGGGTTTAACGCTAGACTCAAATTTGAACTGGAAGTCACATATACAAACTCTATGTCAAAAACTTTACGCACTGAGGAAACTGCGTCCTCTTGTCTCCAATGTGGTATTGAGGCAGACGTATTATGCATATTTTCATTCGTTGATGTCTTATGGCATCACACTGTGGGGTAATTCAACTGAGTCGATTAGGGTATTTATTCTTCAAAAACGTGCACTAAGAACAATAGTAGGCATAAAAAAGGGTCAGACCTGCAGAAACCTTTTTAAGAAATACAATATAATGACCATGTACTCACAATATATTTATGATATAATAGTTTATGCGCGTAAAAACTTGGCTACTTATGAGCAACGTACGGACGGAGGCCGAGCGTTACGAAACGCGGGAACACTGAAATCCGTTGCCCACCGTACCGAACTTGCAACTAGAAATCCGCGGGTAATAGGTCCCCGATTCTACGAACATCTACCCACAGACCTGAAAAGTGTTAGAAACGATGAAATGTTTGTACCCGACTAAAAATCCTTTTATTGGATATTGAATTGTACAGTGTCGATGAGTTTCTTTTGAAACAATTTTAATTTTATTTTATTCGACAAGCAGTAGTTATACTACTTTATTTTATATTCATTATTATTATTATAATTTTATTACTGACGATTATAGTTATCCCTTGACATTGTATTTCCAATTGTAATATTGTGACATTGATAACATGAAATAAACAATTCTATTCTATTCAGAGACTTAAAAAAATTCTTGCCACATCTGGGAATCGAACCTACAAAATGTGAAAAAAACATTCTGTATTTTTACGATGCCGATCGAAAGGGTCAATTATAAGGATTAACGCATCTTAAGTATTATAGTAGCTTAAATGAAAGGAACACAATTCAATTATACAATTTATTAAAATAAAAAGGAATCAAACTCGCAGCTGCCAATATCTACGGTATTCGCTATTATTGTATGTATGTGTATGTAATGGCCGTGGGACTCCCTGTATACATTATATATATACACATACAATAACAAATATTGGGTGACAGAATTATATAGTGTGATGAAGGAAGCGAAAAAACGTGATAGTTTAATAGTTTGACCTACCGCCTTTCATACAGAAGCCGTGGGTTCTAATCTGAGATTTCTGAGTTACTCGGAATTCATGTGCGAAAGTTAATTTGAAATTTACCATGAGCTTTTCCGTGAAGGAAAACATCATTAAACCTGCAAGCCAAAGAAGGTTCACAACCCTCGGAAATCGTGTGACGTGCCCAACCCGCATTAGGCCAGTATGGAGACCCGTGCCCAGCAGTGGGAGGTATAAATGGGTTGATGATGTTAATAATGAAGGAAGCGAAAGAGTTCTGTGTTGTGCCTACATCACCGGGAGAAAAGTTGATATGTATGTGGACACGATTCAATTCCACTGATTCTTCAATTTAACTCTTTAATTCCTTAGATCCACGGCATGGTCCGCGTGGTGATGAAGCCGCTGATAACCAAGATGCCTCTCGTTGGCGGGCTACAAATCTTCTTCCTTAACAATCCGTCTATTGACTTCAACCTGGTCGGCGCCGCGGATGTGCTCGACATGCCTGGTCTCAGGTAGGTACTAACATTCACGCCTTTGTACATTTGTGTACCCAATACTCTTCCTCAAGGTAAATAAACAGATGGTCTGGTTATGGTACTGTACGGGCTTGCCCCAGGTATTATGTTAGACCAGAGGTACCCAGACTTTTTTCTCATAGACCATTTTCAAAATTTAGCTGGTTCCGGTGGACCCCCTCCAGCTACATTTCTACCATAATTCCATATCAATATTATTTTTTGTCACGCCAACGTAGACCCCCGTCGAGTATCCCGTGGACCCCTGGGGGTCCCCCTGGACCACTTTGGGATCTAAGGTGTTAGACGATATTGGAAATTTTAGTCTTAGTGCATTGATAAAAAAAAATTAAAGCGACATGAACACTATTTACAAAAATAATTTAAAAAAAAAAATAGCTCAGCAGTCTTGAATGCATTGACGTACCCTAATTTTACCCGACGTATGACTGAATCAAACTTTATGAGTTTTATTTTGGTTTAACAACAAAGAGTGCACTGCATAAAATATTTATGTACCTATAATTATACAAGCTTTAGAGCGGTTACACACAGCGACTTTAAACAGCGATGAAAAACGCGATGTAGAAGCGATGTAGTCGTAGTTTAGTAGCATTACAGCTCCTTGTGAAAGAGTTCGTCCAGGGAAGTATTGCCACTCAAATCTTTGCGATTTAAAGCTCTGAGTGGCACTGCAACTGTTATGGACAGGCGTGTAGCTTACCACCAGGCGCACGGCTTGTTTTTATTTTTATTTTTTATAAAAAGGTACAGCAACAGCAAAACATATACATATAACAATTCGCACCATAACACGTTACATACAATGGTATCAACAACAATAAATTCCAAGTTAATAAATCCAAATGGGAGGATTAAAAGAGCTTATATTGTAATTATTTTCAGTGATATTCTTCGTCGATGCATCGTAGAACAAGTGGCAAAAATGATGGTATTGCCCAACAAACTACCTATCAAACTGAGCGACGATATACCCACTGTTGATCTGCGCATGCCCGAACCTGAGGTATGAACCTTTATTCCATTTTTAAAAAGGTCCTACTATTCAATACATTCGATATATGAAATCTCAACGACAATAAGTCATAGAAAATATCTTTCTGAATTTGTTTTAGGGTGTCCTACGAATTCATCTAGTCCAAGCACAAAATCTAATGAAGAAAGATGTTTCTATGTTAGGTAAGTCAATAAGAGCCTTAATGGAAGGAAACATTTGTAACGTTCAAAAATGCGTAAACATTATACAGTGTGTAAAAAGACCCTTAACGAAAACGCTAACCACGTATTCTTCCCATCGCTACTGTTATTTTCTTATCTGGGAACCTGATAGTGAAGGAAATATAGAGGATCAAAGTGAAAATACAAATTTTCACTTTGATCCAATTCTAAGTGAAAATACACAAACATTATACGTAAACGAAGAGTTTGAAATTACAAAACCGCAATGAATATCGAACGCACACATAGTGCGTTCGCCACCGCCCCGCTATCCAATGTAGTGTACGCACACAAACGAACGCATGTCAGTTGTGCCTTTCGGATCAACACTTTTCAAGACGAGAGTAAATAGGCATTATTTAGGTCTTTTTGCTCCATCGTCGACCTCATCGTCACGTTCCATCAAGTGAGATTGAGGTGAAATGTGCACTTACATTTAAAAAAAAAGAAAAATAACCTCATCACATCCTGCATTAACTAAAAAATAAGTAAAATTAGTTGCTGGGTATTTTATTTTGTCTTTAATACAATTGTAGCAGAAAATTAGAAAAACCGAACCAAATTAGCCGTTTCGCGCTATTTTTTTTTACTTTTATATTTCTTACGTGATCAAATACACTTTGTTTTGTTGATGTCACGTAAACGTACGTTTTGCGTTGTGTAGTGTTTGATATTTTCTGTGTGAGTATTGACTGATAAGAACTTACGAAGACACCTTGGCATTCATTTAGTGCTCGCGACTGTGTCAGCATGGTTTTGTGTTAGGGTACGCCCCATGGGAATGCCTCGGAGGTACTTCAGTTTGCGGGATTGACATCCTAGCACAATTCAGCCTCGTAATCTGCAAGTTTTCACCCGGGCTGTACTGCGTCTGCTGGACAACCAGCCGATCGTGACCCTTTCAGAGGAAGGCCGCGGCAGAACAAACTTATCTCGACGTGGTGTGAGAAAACGCACCTTTGCAAGAGCGAACGGCAGCCAAAGGTCTATGAAGACCACTCGGCTACCGCGGTCGGTATGTACTCGATCAAACCGCACACTCACACTTGTGCACTATGTTGCACGCGTTACATTGCGCGTCCTAAATAATAGTCTTTTTTAATACCTAAAAATAAAAGTTGTTTCCCAGCAATTCTTCTTGTTTAATGTGTCTTAGTTTGATGTACATTAGGCGTACTTAGATTTCGGCTTCGTTATGGTCTTTTTAAACCCCGTGTGCTTAAGGTTTAAAACATTTATTCTCACTAAGAATCACAAGTTATTCGCTTACATGGGAGCACCGAGAAACATATTATTATAAATATTTTTAAACAACGTACGTGACAGTAGTTCAACTACATAATAATTTTATTTAAAAAACCGATTTCAAAACTTTGCTTATCCGCTATCGCTATGTTCGTTGTCGTTGTCGCGGCCTCTTCAACGACAACTAAATCGAAGGTGAAAGTCTTCGTTAAAACGAATCATATGGTGAACTACTTACTCCATGCACTTGTCGCAATGTTCTGTATCTAATTTTACGTCTCGATAATAAAAAATGTATTCAAATATCTATTAGTGTCGAAGTCAACTTTTAAGTTGCACTAGTTATTGAGCATTTCATACGAATGATATAAACATTCATGACGCAGCTGCATATCTACTTCACCTGGAATTATTGTGTAACATGTCGCTGAAAAGGTGCCCCAGTTGATATTAGTGCCGTTACTAAAAGAATAGCAGGTCATGAGGAGACGAAGGAACTTCTCAGCATTTTTTGAATCTGAAGAATATCGAAAACCTGAAGCTTGGAAATAAATATGTCGCACGGCCTGACCTAGTAAATCGGCCCACCGTGCCAATAGAAGCTACTGGAAACTTACTTGCGTTTTCACACATTAAAAGTGTGAAGGCGTCGATTAATACGGTGTAGCACTTACTTGTCTCTCGATATTTCAAAGGCCTTGGATGATTGATAAGGTCTTGGATAATAGCCTCTTAAACAAACTTCCAGCTTTTGATAAGGTCTTGGATGATAGCCACCAGCTTATAGAATTCCTATAGACTTATGCATATGAAGGAGCGATTTCCTGACAGCTCAATAGGTGTAGTTGTGCACCTGCTAGATCTGTCCTTTCCGTTACACTATTCTTGCTTAATATTAATGACCTGCTGCTGATGGCCGATGTCGTTGTATATATAGACGACAACATAGTGATGGCCATTTTTGTGCCAGATTCCCATGCCAACAGTGAAGAAGTGTCCGATACCAGTTGGCTGCTTTGGACTCGGTTGCGGAAAGCAAAGCGACTTATAAGCGACAACGATTTAGTTCAACGCTCACGGTTGTTTCTGGTCGAATCGGAAGCCTGCAATACTCCATGCTAATGTCATTGTTATACCATCTTTCGCATCATTAATTAATAAATCACCCATTAATGCGTAAGGGAAACAAAAAGAATACATTACACGAAAACTACAACATAGAATTATTCAAAGTCTGGCTTTGAGAAAAAAAGTTTCGACTGACCACATTGACTTACAAATAAATGGACGACGGGTCTAATACAAAAACCACAAAAAAAATGTCTCAAGTCAACCTATTTAAACTTAGTGACATGTAAAGGAATATGAAAAAGCTAAAACGTTGAATTTAAATTGTAATGCCATCGCAGTACTGTCTAATTTTGCTTGCTTCGCTGTCAGTCGAACAAACGAAGACTAAAGCGTGAATGACGCTCTGTATACGACTTTAACACCCTAAAAGTTTTTAGCGCGGACCCGACGTCCACATAATTGTAAGTCAATGACTGACCACAAATTCTTGATTTCTTTTTAATTATTTTTATTTATTTATACATTTATTTCAGGTCACATGACCCATATAATATATACCTTAAAGACTGACATATGTACATACAATATAATATGACAATAAAATAAACAACTAATCTACATTTTTTAACTGCCTCCGTGGCCGAACGGTTACCATGACTGTCATGCAGAGGTCCTGGGTTCGATTCCCAGGCCGGGAGAAATATGTGTACGGCCTACATTTATTTATCTCGTGAGTTTGGGTGTAATTTGTGGTTGTCTATGTGTGTGTCCATGGCACCCGCGACACAGGGTTTCCCTAGTGCGGGGCTATGTTGAGTGTGTACGTTATTATTATTATTACACGTATTGCGTTTATTGACGTGTGGCGCAATCTGGTGTCAGGTAACCGGCCGCGGAATCGCCGATATATGACACCCTTCGGCCAAAACTCTTCCTTCGTGAAGGCCGACAGATGTTCGGTCGGCACACTCACTACAAACGAATTAAAGTTTACTTTGTGGCGGGACTAAAACCGCTCGACTCTCGGGGTGTATTTGGCTTTTAGCCTGATGTAATCCACTATCTCCTCAGATTTCGTGCAGTAATGTAGTCGCGACAAGTACAGCAGCGTCGTCGGTGTTGCTGAACGGAGCAAATAGCTCGGTCCTGTCGGTGCTGTGCCACACAGGTTACGGCTGGTGGGCTTCCTCTTCCTCTTCACCACCTTTGTGAAGCCATCCTCGTCGCATTGATCCGTCTGCCTCTGTGGTTTTGCAACTTCGGAGTCAGGCACACGGGGATTACTTTTACTCTCGAGTTTCGAAGTGGCGTGTCGGCTGGTAAAAGCGGCTACAGCGGCGTATGCACATGCAGGGGCTGACATGCATACGCGTAACGTTTCCGCCGGGGCGGAGGCGCCGGTAGCAGGGCGCGGCGCATCGCGCGCTATGGCAGCAGCGATCGGTGACGCAACCATTTGTGCCGTCTCGACACTGCTGATGGATGCATTTTGCGCTCCACGACGCGTGTTTACATTAGAGACTTCTGGTGACTTACATAACGAAGCAGCGTTGCTTAATAACGCAACTTGGGCACGCAACTCATTTATAGTGTTATCTGAATCCAATCTACACTGCAACTCGACTAGGCTTGACTTCATGGAAATGATATCCTTCAGCAGCCTGGTAACATCGACGTGGTCGAACGTGACGGGGGGCAGTTTGTGCAGCTCCTTCGCCATGAATGTAGGCACGTCGTCCGGGTTGGTCTCCTTCAGGAGTGTGAAAACATCCTGGAGACTCTTCACGCCTCCATCCCTCCGGCGAGATGGCATCTGCTCAGCTTTGCCGAGGCTCTCGAACAACAGCATCTTGCCACTGCAAATCTCATCCTCGTTGAAGTTGGATTTGCATATCGCACGATGTTGACTTCGTCCATGGTATCGATGGCGTATTGGACAAACGCCAAAAGCTCGTTGGCTATGAGTTTTTGGGAACCCATTGCCACTTACGCGCAGCGGCCTAATATGCCGCGCGAAACTCGAATTATAATGATTCTCAGTGCGTATTGCACGCGTCCGTTTCCGAACGCGCACCAAACTGCAATGATAAATAGGAAGAAACTTTTTAGGAAGGAAAATAAATAATCATTATCCTATCCATTTCGTTATAAGAGAATGTATATAGTTCTCTATTATGGTTTGTTATATGTATGTGTTACGTGTTAAATGTTCTTTTGCGAACGACACTTTGTGACTTTGTGTTAATAATAATTTTTCATTAGTATGCCGCCTTATCTAATTTCAGTTTATGAGAAAATGATTTGTGTTACCGCAAACTCATCCGTGTGACCAAAAATATCATGTTTTGTGCGATTTCATAGAAATATTTGTGTGATTTTATAATATTGACTTTATTTTTACATATCAGTACGTTTGAGACCTTAAAACCGAGACGAAATAGGGTTTGTAAAAATGAGAATTTATTAGTTATACATGTATGTTTATTTTTCTAAACGACGTCGTTTGTTTTAATTTATTCTTTATTTATTATATTTGTTAGAAAAATAGATTCAAGCTAAATATAATAATTTAATGTACGTAGTATTTCAGAAGATTTTAAAATGTGATTAGGGATTGTTTCTTTAATATTTTTAAGAAACCTATTATATATTTGTGCTCCCTGAAATAAAATATTCCATTTTTCCATAGTTTGTTCTCGATGGCCGCAGTATATTGATTTTTTGGAATTGTTTTTTTTTTGTAAAAGTTATTTATTTGTGTGTTTATTAAGACATAAGCAGTGTTCATTACGTGATTTGATTACAATCTACTCTATTTTAATTATATTACTTAAGTCGCTCTTATTTTGTTCTCTAATACAGGTAAGGGTAAGTCGGATCCGTACGCGATAATAACAGTTGGTGCACAGCAATGGAAGACGAAGCACATCGACAACAACGTGAACCCTCGTTGGGACTACTGGTGTGAGGTAAGTCTACTAATGAGCAATGGTGTAATAATATCGTTTATTGTTACGTATTATCACTGTCTCTTTACGTCTAGCTCTAATCTTTTGTATATTTAATCTTTTCTATAGCTCTTTTTACTTTTGTAGTTTAGTCATTTTTTATCATTAGTTAACAGAGAGCATTGTTTTCATATTAGTTTTCTATATCAGTGTAAAATTACTCTTAATTTCATACTATTAACACTTCCTTGAGTTGAAGACGATATTCCTTGTTAACTAGTCTTGCAATTTTGTCTCAAAATGTACAGGATTTAATTATTGTATGAAAATTTACAATGTGTGATTTTGGTGAGTAGATAATTACATTATGCTCAAATTTGTTCTTATTTCTGATTATCAAACTGATGAAATGGAATTTTTGTTCATTCGGTTTGTAAAATTCTCACTGAGACGAGAAAATTCAAAATTTCATAATTGGCATTATTTTCACTTTTCAATTCACTACATTAGTTTTCTTAGATTCACAATTACACATACACGTGTATCGGAAGGGGTCAGGGGAAAAATTGCTCGGACGCATTTACTTTTATGAAGTATTTCTCCCTATTAATCCGATTTAGAAGTTTCTACACTAGAGTAACATTATACGCAGTCGTTCCCTGATTCCAATGGTACTGAAAAGTCATTCATCAGGAATGAGCATGAGGTTGCAATAATTCATATACTATTAAATCAAGCATGTTCATTTCATTTTATTCGAATTACGAAAAAGTAAAGATATTGCTCCAGTGACCTTAATTCGTAGAAATGTAGGACAAATTATGTGCATCATGGTATAAAGTATTTCCTAAACTAGCATTAAATGAAATTAATATGCTAATATAATCGTTTATTTGTTACTTTGTGATTAACACCCGATTTATTTTTCATTTGTGTTAACAAAAGGAAATCCAGGCTTTCTTTTGTTATTGGGATCTTTTTCGAAACGGGTTTGACTTTTGGTTTAATTTTTTTAATCTTTTACAAACTAAACATTGGGTTTTTCAGTCTTATTTATAAACTTCCCTCTTTTTTGATAGTAAATGTTTTAAAACAGTGTTTCTTGAGAGTTACAGTTTGTGCAGTTTTACTTTGGCTTACATTATACTGCTTTCAAGCAGCACTTACAAAGTAGTGGTGAAATAATTTTAACTACGTAGAACAAAGTCGCTTTGAATATGATTTTGTTTCCTTACCTATGTTTGCGTGCGCGGCGTAAAGGCGCGCGTAATGCAATCAGTGGGCCAAGCGTTGGAGATCGAAGTTTTCGACAAAGACGAGGGCAACAACGATGATAAGCTTGGCAGGTGAGTGCCGGCGCCGAGTGGCGTGCGTGGAGGTACGCGGGCCGGAGGAGGTACGCTTCGGGCATGCTAGTAGCGGAGCAAGGGATTTCGTAGTTTTAAATATCATTATTATTAATAGATATGCACTTAACGCTTTCGTTCCATCCATCCATGGACATTTTATGTAATTATTCCAGATAAAAGGATTGAGATGATATGCCCCGTAGTTCAGCATTACAGATTCCAAACACGTTACTTATTTTGTCAGTTGTGTGACATCTCAATCCTAAAGTTATGCTTGCATGTTGTTGTCTGATGCATTTACAGTAATTTGTTAGTCACTGCAGCGGTAACGGTAAGTTGTAGATGAAATTCATAATACACTGTATTTTATTTCACAGATGTCGTAGCCTTGCCTGATAAAACGTTGACAATAGTATAAAAAATGTAATTGTTCAGTATTCTTAATTTGATGCGTTTATTATCATTGAGATTATTTTCACACTAAAATAAATTATAATTATATGATTTTCAAACTGTATGTAAAAAAACTGTCCACTCAAAACAATTGCCTGTATCCAAACTAATGTGTCCATATTGTGATTTGTCCCAAGGCTATAATAAGTTCAAGGAAGAGCCAAAAGCTGCAGATCGACCTCTGGGACTGGGACCCAGGAATGGGCATTGAAAACGATGATTTTCTGGGCAGGTCCGTCCCGTTCGTAAAGCTTTTTTCATGGTCACCTTAGTGTGCGACCTCGTGCTGTTTGGATATTCATATTAAGACTTTCTTATCATCACCTTGATACCACATATAACTTATTTGCCTGCAGAGTTTGTGTTTTCTAATGTCTACTTTGGAGCTATTCGAGTTTTGCGAAAGATAATGACTGCATCGTTAACCTATTTTTAATCGACTTGAAAAAAGGAGGAGGTTGTGAATTCGGCTGTTTTTGTGTGTGTGTGTGTGTATGTTATAAGATTACTCCGACATTTGTGAACCGATTTCGATTATTCTTTTTTGTTGGAAAGGATGTTCCTCAGTAGCAGTCCCATTCAAATTTGAAGAAAATATTCCACTGTAAATTAAGGGTATGAATCCGGTTTATTAGATTTCACACATTTTCCGTGATTTCATTAAAGCTTTATTAAATAAAATATGTAGAAGATTCCAGAAACTTTTTATAAAAAAGTTATAATAATTATATATAACGTTTTAATTTTGTTGCTCATCGGTTGGCTACTACAATTATTATTGTTTACATTGGTATCAGAATAATATGACATGGATGATATTAATAGCTGCGTTTTAACCCGATAAAACTTTCTCAATAATAATATTACCTATCCGCCTCTTTATGTAAAACGCGAATAGCGCTTGGACTTTAGATAACACTGTATACCAATATATGGCTTGTTTACAAACTTAAATACTGTCTCGAGAAAATTTAAGTAAATTGTAGAATTTAGGTGATAATAAGACTCGATCTTTACGATGTCTAACTTCGTTTTTTATAATTTAGTGTGATATTTACATTGGCTAAATTGTGTGTTTTATTTATTTATGACATTTTATTGTACTTAATACGAATTTTAGGTGTTTGTCCGTCCGTTTATCAGTGAGTTTGTACATAGATTACCAAATACACTTAACAAATTACAACTAAAACAAAACCACTGTATTATATTCGCAGCTTATATGGGACTAACATATAATATCCCTGGGATGTAGAGATTATAACAATATATAAATAACAGCTTTATGTGTATATTGTATTTCGGTGGGCCGTAACAGTCAGTGCTGTGGTGCAATGAGATGCGAGCTGTGGTCAAGCTATACGACTGGGACCGTGCGGGGAGAGATGAAAAGCTTGGCAGGTCGGTTGCTGCCTTTAAAACCACCATGTATATAATGTAAAAGAAGCTATATATTTGTCACTTCACTAACTACGAAACCACGTATCTATAGAACTATCGCGAGTATGTCACTGCGCACTTTAGTTGGCATCGACTGCCACCGAATAATTATGTAAATCATAATCATAACATAACTAACATATACTCGTATGTAAACGCTGCGGGGAATAAAGGAATGTGTACGTATTTCGAGCATGTATATGCACGCGATACACACTTGTGCTACATAAAATTATTAATTATGTCTACATCAAAATTATCACATACAGAATGTGAACTATATATACATATACTTATTCATGTTAGAAGTAAAAGCACCAAATCTCTTATTTACATTGTACGTATTCATAATTACATTTAATATCATACCAACCTAACATAAGACACCAAAATAAGAAACAATCAGCCTAACATAAGTCTTATACTTAACACACATAAGTGCACACTCACTGTAAAATTTAAAACTTTTTAAGACTAAACCTATTTGTTTTTTGTTATGTTTTCATTTTTCTAACTAAAAAGCTTAGCTTAGCTTTTACTTAAACAAAAATTAATCACTGTTTTAATTGTCTATTTTAACATTTTAACTAACGAATAATCAGTTACGATATTAAAGTAAAGTTGGTACTCATATTTCTGTTTTATTAATAAATAATGTAGTAGTATCCCACTACTAAGTAAATAAGAATTAAGTGCTCTCATATTGTAATTAAAATTTCAGATGTTCCTTAGACATTTCTCAAGTAGTCAAATCTGGACGGCTTGACACGGTAAGCATTTTGTAACACTTGCACAAATTATCAAGCAACCCGAATTGTTTTTATGATATTGAATTGAGAATTATGTACAAATATACAAAAATACGCGAATAATTAAGTAATAATATAAAGTATTTGGTTTCATATGCGAAATAGAAATGTAAACAAATATTATTACAAATATACGCGATCTAAATCTAAAAAAGTATTTTCCTTTTCAATATTGACTATGATTTATTCATTTATTTGGCGGGACTGTTTTAGTGGCAAACTCTGCAACAAGCGAAGCATGGTAAAGTGCACCTTCGTCTGTCGTGGCACCGTCTGTCTTCTGATCTTTTAGATCTTAGTCATGTGAGTAAATTTCGCTGCTTTTGCAAGTTTTTGGCATGAGGCACTTTAAAGTAATATTAGAATAGAAGTTATTTTAAGTACGTGCTGAGTATTTGTTATCAACTTGTGACGATCCTTGATGAAGAACAATATTAGCAATATAATTTAATTACAACAATTTATTATTAATAATTTTTTTTGCATTTTATAATTATTGTGTATTTTTCATTTTAATTTTTGTTTGACGATCTCGATATAATTTCTTATACTTTGACATGTAGTGCAATTTATACAGTAACATTATATTTGAGATATAAATAAAGTAGTCCACCTTATCTAACTTTAAAAACTCTGTAACTACCCTTGCAGCTCTTGAAAATATCTGGTGTACGCACCATGTGCAAAGCACGAACAACTTTTTGGCACGAAGCCGAAGGAATAAAGGCATACGAGTAGTATAGAACATAATATAATTTGTTTTATGTTACAGGCTCTGACCGAGACCCTGTTGGTAAAAACTGGAGAAATCAGTTCTGCCGTCCTATCAGTGTACATTGATTCGTGCAAGAAACTACCTGTAAGTTTTTGACAATTATAAGATAATATAGTATTTGTTCTGGCCGTGCATGTACGGTAGTGAATCTTCGGTATGGTAGAAGAAACACGAAACTCTGATGGACAAATTACGGAACTGTAATAAGAAACATTGCGGCGTTTAAGAAGATAATTGTAGTGACAAAGATGAGGTTCTTAAATGGTTCGGGCATGTAGAGAGAATGAATGAATGGAAATCGACAAAACAGATTTATAAAGCGACTTTGCGCGAACGTGCCATGACAAAATTAAGGACGTCCTAAAGAAAGCCCAAATCAACAGTACTCTTTACCAAAGACCATGTGTGAAAGCACTGATGCATGTCGATGAGGCGTAAGATATGCGTCAGGACCGTAGCACGTGCGAGGCTGTTGTCTCTGCCTACCCCGATGGGAAAAGGGCATACCTATTGTCTTTGTACGTTGTAAATCCTGTGAAAATTACATAAAAAACTAATCTTATATTTAATGTGCCAGACAAAACCGGTTGCGTGGTCTTTCAACTAGGGTTTTCCCTGTACTATGAGTACCAGACCAGAATCAACTTAGAAAAGTTCATTTCCAAATTGGTCCTACCGGAAATCGAACCCAGGATCTCCTCAACCAAAGATTTATTTTTTATAAATAATAAAATAAACCAGCGCTCATAGACTAAACCGTCGGGCCACTGAGGTCAACAAATTTGCATAAAACCTTTTAAAACTAGCTATAGTAGTGTAATGGTTTTTTTACCCGATTATTACAGAGCGCTCGCCCAGCGTCGAAACCAGACCCGTACTTAATTGTGACAGTGGGCAAAAAGACAGAAAACACAGCTGTACAAATGCGAACCGACAATCCCGTCTACGAGATTGGATACTCGTTCCTGGTGCAGAACCCGGAAATTGATAATTTGGAGATTAAGGTGATAGCAACGTTTTTTCATAAACTTTGTGTTTTCTTTATTGGAAAAAAGAAAATATATGCATTTCACATCTTTGCATGTAGTTACTAATACAAATGCCGAATACAAAAAAAAAAATATCTGGCTGGAATCGAACCCGCTTTCATAAATTACTCTCAGATGGTGCTACGGCAAAAAGTCGTAAAAAACCACGGAGGAAAAAAAAAATAATGAAAGTGCCTTAGGCTTCGATTACTATCGGAACCGCTGTCGCCAAATCGCACACAAACAAATTATAAACACTACGAAATCTTGATAATGATTGGTCACAGTTTCTAATTTAATAAGATGTAACAAATTGGAATGGAATGTTAATATAATTTAAACTTACCCAGCCCCTATATCGTTGAAAGTTCAATAGCATTCTTTCAAATTACGTCGTTTTGATTTTATATTGAAATTTTATTCAACGTGCTGCCATCTTGCGGCCACTAGCTGGGTCTACGACGAACGATTAACATCTGAATAAATTCGATGAACAGAAAATTGAAAATTTATTAAAATAAGACCAATGATATGAAATACTACTATGGGTAATATTTTGGTGCAGCTACCATTTTTGCACCAAAACAACGCAATAACGCAATCTTTCTGCAATTTTAGAGAATTTGCGCTAAAGAATGACACAAACATACCAAACAAAGCGAAAATGACTGATAAAGCTTAAGTAGGTTTTTTTTAGAATTAATTTCGATACCTCATGTTGGCACGCGACAGACGCTAACTACTTCTACTATATTTATTGTTCTGTGTTAAAAACCAAAAACGAATATATGCAACAAGGACATGGACAAAATCGTAAGATCTTCTGGTTCGTTCCTCAGTTGGGAGAGCGTCAGCAACGCATGGTGAAGGCGCTGGTTCGAATCCAGCCGGATCGAAATTATCTTTGTGTTCGATCTTTGTATTAATAATTATAACAAACTAGTGGAGTAATTTCTAAAAAAATATTTAATATCATGGTTGTAAAAAATTATGATATTCGATAAACTTAATATCTTTGGATGTGTTTCAGTGTATAAAACAATTGATATTTTAATCCTGTGTGCAGGCTATAGACCAGAAGACAGGAAACCCATTGGGCCAGCTGAGCTACTCTATCGCGTCACTGCTGAAGCAGAAAGACCTAAGCATGATAACACAGCCACTCATGCTGCAGAAATCTGGTCCAGAGTCGAAGATCATCATGTCTTTGCAATTGAGGGTAAGGAGAAACTTATTTAACACTTTTACATCCGAACAGCCAGGGGAGTACCAGCTGCTGGTCGTAGGAAGCCAAAAGTGCAGTGTATAACGGTTGGTGTTTAACGAACCGCGCTTAAATAAATTTGTTTACAAAGGTAGTTCTTTCTTTTATTTAGAGTGGACCTCGTAACAAGATACTAAACTTCGCCAGTTATTTTTGTTAATCACTTATATTATATATAATAATACTGAAAAGTCGCTTTTTAATCATTAAAATAGATGCTTCTTTCTATTTAATTCTTCGTTCATCCATATTTAGCTATGTGATAATTTTTGTACACCTGGTTTTTTGTTGTGATAGATATTGAAAGAAGCTATTAAAGAAGAAGACATAGAAGAGGAGCAGGTTACCGAAGCACCAAGTGGGCCTGATCCACCCATACCCGTTCCAGCATCAGATGCTGTCGATTCGACCGCGTCTGACACTCCCACCGCTGAGACTGGTAAATTAAATTTAGTTTTCTGGGAAATTAGAAACAAATGAAAAAATACTGTGTACTTAGTAGCAATACGTATCATCAATCAGTCATTAATATTTTTGGCTACAAGTTAAACAAAGTTATGAATGAAATATTGTTTTCACTTGCAACGTTATTAAGGTTAGTAACGTAAGGCTCAATTTACATTGCCGTAGTACGGAATGGAAGCGATTTTTTATTGTAAATAAATTGTATTGTAAATAAATAAATTAACTTCATGCCAATTGTGTAACGCGCAAACGTACGAATGTGCCAAAAAAACAGGTCGCGCGTCTTCAGGAGAATTCTCGTGCGGTCACGGCAATTCTCGCAGCTACCGTATCGCGTCTAGTTTGCACCATTCTTTTTCTTATCGTGTCGATACTTCTTTATCGTATTACAACACAAAAGGCACAACAGTAAGTGCTGCATGGATTGTGTTGGGGCACCGCAGTCATATTGGGTTGCACAATTGACTGAATTTCCTTAAGATATTTTTAATCGATTTCGTGAGGTACGGGAGCCTAATCTAAGATACCTTATGTCTTAGGGCTCTTAGTGGAATCTTGATTGTACAATTTATGTATTCAACTTAAAATGACGATGACGGCACGAACAAGTCGTGCGCTTGACGATAAGCTACACACCTGTGCATAATAGTTTCAGTGCCACTCAAGAGCTTTAAATCCCAAAAATCTGACCGACACTGACACTGCACTCGTCACACTGAGACATAAAGTCCCATGTGCCTGTAATTTTACCAGCACCTTACCCTTCAAAACTGGAACACAGTAATGCTGACATATTATTACTGCTTGGTGGCAGAAATAGGAAAAGTGGCACTACTTCCCTGGACGAACTCTTTCACAAGGAGCTCTTTCTAAATGAAGAAAAAAAAAGAAAAGGAATCCGTGAGCTCATTACTGGAAAGACTGAAAGAAATAATATTAAAGAATAAAGATGAATTAATTATGCAGCTCAAAAACATTGGTAAATCAGTTGCAAACTGGGTGGTTTCCTTTGTGACAAACTCGATGCCTAATATTACGACAATCAAAAATTTATTTAGTGCAGTGAATGGATAGGTCTGTTAGGAAAAATGTTAGGTTAAATATTGTACAGTGGAATGCTCGCAGTCTGAGATCTAAGCTAAAAATAATTCGAGCAGTTATTGATCCAGGAAAAAGTACACATTGCAGCGGTAAGTGAAACCTGGCTCGAATACACCTATATATATAAATACACCTCTTTTTTCTAAGAACCATTCTAACCTTGGGGTCCACTCTCGAGCTCCGTCCGAAACAATTACTGCCATTAAGCAATACTTGACCAAATGAAAAGACGCGTGATGCGAATGAAGCTTTATACTTGATACTTGTCTTTTAATTTTGTCGAATATAACTTATTTGACAGTAATTGTTTCGGACGGATGTCGGACGGAGATCGAGAGTAGACCCCAAGGTTAGAATGGTTCTTAGAAAAAAGAGGTGTATTCTCTGATGATACTTTGGGATTTAGGAAATCTAGGTCATGCTTAGATAATTTGAGTCGTCTGGTAACTAGAATCCAAACAGTTTTTGTAATAACAGGGTTACTGTAGGTTGTTTTATTGACATCGATAGCGTTTATAATAAGGTTGATGTGAGTGGTATGCTGGATCGGTTACGTGTTGGCTCTAGGATGTGTACGTACCTTCGGGAATTTCTTAAAGAAAGACATTTAAGGACACAAGCGGGTAGAGTTGAAGTTGTACGTAGCACGGGTCGGGGTTTAGCTCGGGGAGATCCTATATCCCCCTTGCTCTTTAAAGTGGCGACCATAGACATAGTCCAACAAATAAATGACAACCATGTACATATTTCTCAGTATGCAGATGATTTTGTTATTTATTCTACCGAAAAGAAGTCTGGTCCGAGTTGGGGGGGTTCATCCCAGACATCTGAGAAGGCTGTATATCTCAATAGTGAGAAGCCGCATGGATTATGGAGGCTTCTTGTTTGGTGATAGTTGTCAGTCCCATCTTTACAAACTTGATAAAGTACAAAATCAGGCTATGCGTGTTATAGGCGGATATATAAAAAGTACCCCTATTCATGTGATGGAAGCAGACATGTGTTTACAACCACTACATACACGTAGATATTATTTAGCGGGCAAATTTTTGATGAAATGTAAATCAATCAAAAGTAGCAGTATTCTCATCGATTTAGTAGAAAAATTAGGAAAAATAAACCGATTTTATCCACCGTTCACGAACGATTTAAAGATACAGCAGTTTATTGTTCTCAAAATTTAGAAATGTTTACGAGATCTATGTGGGTTAGTTATATTGATTTAACCGCAAGCATTATTATCAATATGGATACGTTAGAAAAAGCAAAATGGCGATATAATATCCATAATATACGCCTTTTTGCTTTTTCTAACGTATCCAGCAAGCAGCTCCAGCATTTAAGAAATATATGTTGTAGGTGCTTGAATGCACATTATTCGGCATTTCATGAAATATATACCGATAGATCCAAGGACGAATATGGGATTGGCGCAGCCTTTTATGTTCCTGATGGCAAGACGAATGTGCTATTTCGAATAGACACTAACGTGTCCATAATGTATGCTGAGCTTGTTACGATCTCTGAGGCCTTATCTTATATAAACTCTGTAGATTATGATAGATTCGTAATTTTGACTGACTCTAAAAGCTCACTTCAGCATATAGCTCGGTCAACCTCGACTATTCGAGGCACCCCGATAGCTTATACAATCATAGATGGTAACGAGAAGGTAGATTCACTTGCTAAGCGAGCTTATTGTACTGGCGATACGATATCTGTTTTGCCCTATTATACAGATTGTTTGTATAAAATTAAAACTTATTGCCACCAGCTGTGGAAAGAATACTTTGATGAGAGATCCAAAGAGAAAGGTATCTGGTTCAAAACAATTCAACCTGAGCCACTGGAAGTTCCATGGATTGATAACTATTTGATGAATAGACTTGGGGACCAATCGCCCTAATTGTCAAAGGTTAAACCTAAACCTTCAACCTCGCCAATGTGACACGTTGCGTACATTTCGTATCGCTCTAACTGTTAACACAAAACCCTAAGCCAAAACGTTAGACGTGTGACACGTAACGCACATTTGGTATCGCGCTATTGGTGTTGTGACGGCTCTGAGGTTGCACTCTGGGCACATTCCTTCAAAGAAGTTTACCTTTTTGATGGGCATTACACCAACTCCTTATTGTAGCAATTGCGGCGTCATTGAAGACATTTACCACGTTTTGATGGAATGTGTTCGGACCGAGAGACTCAGGAGACAGTTGGGCAGTGTGGCCAATATACGGCAGACTGGGTGGTGTAACAGTATACTGGCCGTGCCTTCGTCGAACGAAGCCAAGATACTGTATAAAATATACTAGATAGTCTTAATCTAGGTTAGAGGTATAAATTAAGTAGCATTACGGAGCGACATTACTATTAAAATACACGGTAAAGCTTCTTAAATTTAGATTTTTTTTTAAATACATTATATTTAATTTTTTTTCATTCTGTTTCGCTGCTATGTAAATAAAGCCTAAGGTAGCTAATGCGGTACGTTTCAGCTCTAGGGGCTAAAGTTACTTTTTTAAGACAAAGAAATTAAAACTGGACCTATCCTGAAAACTACCGTGAGACTCAGACATATCAAGTAAACTAACGGATAACTCACGAAGTTGAATGAATGTTTTTTTCATGATTAAGGAATCTCATGATTAAGAACCACAGACTAGTTCGAAACCTGTCCAGCAAAAAGTCGACTTCTATACGTGAGTTATCCTTTAGTTAATATGGACCTGTCCTTTTTTGATTATATGAGATCACTGCCACTGGTCGTCCAACGATAAATAAAATTTTACGACATAATGGGAACGCGCCCTAAGGCATCTAATTAGCTATACTGCCAGATCTTAAATTGAAATTGCTCTCTAATAATTTAATTTTCTATCATTTTTTTCTTCGTTCCCACTAGTTCTACGTAGTTTTTACTCTTTAGGAGGTGCAAAGAAAAGTCGATACTTTGAATAAACGTATTAAAAACATACTTTTGCAAGTAGTTACAACTGATTAAATGTTGCAGCTGTATCTAATGGCAATCAAAATACTGGGAATGGATCTCAAGACGACGTATCTGAAAAGTCTGTTCCAGTTGAGCAAATCATCAATGCTACTGGTAAGCTTGTCATGTGTTGATAATAATTGCAACGAGTTCTAATGGAAATGAAACTAGTTTTTCGAATCTAAATCGTGTATCGCACACGAAAACTGTCGTAACTAAAAAACGATGGAATTGAGAGCATGATTTGAAAATAATAAAGAGAACTAAATTAATCTTATTGCAAATAATGGAATAATTGTTTCATGTAGGTACTTATTAATTGGTTATCCACTTATAAATGAGAATATGAATTTATTGGTCCAGTTCAGTCATTTCTTGAACTTTTAAATCGCGTTTTCTCAATTTCACCATATATGAGCTACGACAGTAAGTGGTTTCATGGGCAATTTGTTTTTTTCAAAGAACCGTTTCGGGCCCTTTACAGGTCTCGAGGTCACGGCTCACTAGTCACAGTTGAAAAAACAAATAATTACACAATTTAGATCCAAAAAATAGTTTCATTTCCTATTTCAACTTAACATTATTTGCAGAGGTAGCGCAAGTATCTGCCGAACCTGAATCAAAATTGGTACATAGATCGTCTACCTCTTCCTTAACTACGTAAGTTTTCTTTCAATATAATTCTTTTTACTTTGTTTTGTTTGTTAGTGTTATCAATTTTTGGTTTTTTTTCGTATCTATGTGTAGTGGTGTTGCAATAAATGTCTATTCTATTCTATTCAATATTTTTGAAATTTAAAGTAGGTTATTTTATATCCACCAATATTGCTTATTTTTGTCGACATTATCTTTGTTTTTTACATGAAAAAATATTATTTACAGGTCTGCAGGTGAAGCAGGACTGGGTCGCATCTTGTTATCTCTTCGTTACAGCATGCAATGTCAAACTTTGGTTATTGTTGTTCACAAAATAATGTATGTGTTTTTTTATTTCAATAATAAATAACAATTTTTCTCTTTTTGATAATAAGACAAGTATGGTAACTCCATACAAACGTAGCTGCGCGGCTTGTATGTGTGCGCGCTATGTACGGAGACGCACAAATTCGCATAAACTCGCGTTGTATAACATTCTGGTCATACCAACGCGCTTTTCATTATAATCGAATGTGTGCGTCTGTACACGACGCGCGGTTGTCGCGCACCCACAAGCCGCGCCATTACTTTGTACGGAGTTACCATATTTCTCTTATTTTATCGTGTTAACTAGTCAATTTGTCTAAACAGGAATATACCACTAAAGGACCCGACCAACGTACCAGATCCTTACGTCAAGTTATATTTGCTTCCTGGACGGTCGAAGGAGTCGAAACGAAAGACTGTGGTTAGTTTTCAATACGGTATATAAGAATATTTTTTTAATGTACATGTAATTGAAATTAAAAATTAGTTTAACAAATCGCATGTGAATACCAACATACCAAACCAAATGCTGTCGTAATTGAAAGTGGTGGAATTGAGAAGACACGATATGGAAGTTCAAAAATTACTGAATGAAACCAATAAAAGTATATTCTCGTTTATAAGTGGATTAGTAAATACTATGCATAAACAAAAATTATATTATTTGCAAGAAGATGCCTTGAGTACTTATTTTTTGAACTTTCAGATGTTGTTTTCTCAATTCCACCATCAGTATTTGGTTTTTTGAGTGAATGATCAATTGAATACAACAAATTTCACTGAAAATGTTCACGAGTTAAATCATGAGGCTACCCATTTTCTAAAGACACCATACCTATAATAAGTATATATTGTAACAAATTCCAATGCCGAGTACCTTGTGTACACACAAGAGCAATAAATTATTTTGGCTTTTAACTTCGTAGTATAATTGTTTTTTTCCAATCAGGTGGTGAAGGATAGCTGTATGCCAGAGTACGACGAGAAGTTTGAGTGGGTGATTCCTCAGGCTGAGCTGCATTCGTTGCACGTTGAAGTTACTGTCGCTACCCATAAAGGCTGGCTTGGGGGAAGCCCCGTTATTGGACAGGTAAGTTCTTGATTTAAATCCGTCTAAATGAAATGTGATATTCCTTCACCACCACTAGACTTAAAAAGAAATAGATCTTATTCAGTACCTATGAAAATCTAATTTTGTAATTAATAGATTCAGACGTTACTTTAGGAAGTCCATATAAAGAGCATGTTTCTTTGTTTAGGCATAAGCACCCAGATAGGTCCAATTTCGCTAACCATTTGTTAGAAACGAATCATATTTTACCAGATTCACATTCTTATGAAGTCTTACATTTTTGCGAAGGACTACGTCTGGGTGTCTTAGAATAGATGGAAATAATTAGGTACAACAACAGGGGTTGTATAATTAATGAACAATTGAATTTTGCATCATCACCTTTATTACGGATATTTTCGGGTTTCAACAATAGCAACACTGGGCGTAGCGGGGTATAAATACACCAACTGTTCTAAACGAGCTCGCTCTCATGAAACAGGCATCAAGGAAATACTTCGACTCTGCTCGTTCGTGGCTGCATCCTCTTACGACCCCCTCAGGGAACAACCCCAGCGCGTACGTAGGACCCGTCGGCCAAGGGAAGTCCTCAACGACTCTGACGACCCTATCACTCTCGCCACTTTGAAGGCCAACCAGATCGCTAGTCAGTCCCGACCCGCACGCACCAACCGTCCTCGCCGGCGAAGCCGTAGAGCCCCTCATTTCAGCACGTACACTGGTAGATTCTCTCCTACAGCACGCCCTTCTGGCGGAAGTCTCCAGTAGCGCCCTGAGCTGAGGTCCGTGCCCACTTGGGCGCCCTCAGGCCCGTACTTAGCTTTAAGTTTATTTTAGGGGTTATGAACCTTCAGCTCGCCCTTTTTCCGGTGGCGCAGTAAAGGCCATCAGCGGCCAACTGCAAAATTTCCTTCAAAAAAAAAAAACGAGCTCACTCTTCGGCCAAGTGTCGAGCAGTCAACAGCCCCTAAGGATGCCTCGTGGAGAGGCGAAACACGTGTCGGGTATATTTTTGGTGATGGTTTGTGACTATAGTTGCGCTTGAGTTATTTATTTTATGCGGAGGGAGGGTGGGATAATTAACTGCATGAAAAAATATTCAACACAAGCGCAGCTATTTTGCACGATTTAACCTTCACTGGGTTCGCGGAGTAGCTAATTAATTTGCTTCCATTTTTTTTTCTAATTTTGTAGGTCTTCTAAAATATTTTTGTCTTATTTGCATTAATGGAAAGAAGATGTAATAGTAATTTCAAATCTTAGGTTTGTTGAAATTTTTATTTTAATGTTAGATATAAAAGTTAATATTTTATATTTATTATTTCAGGTTATCATTCATCTGAATCAGTACGACTTCCGCGAAGCAAAAACCTTATGGTTCGATTTGCTACCAGAAAATTCTGCTTGAATCATCAATGAATTTACCCATTTAAAATATTTTGAATTTTATATACAACTCCTGTGGCCATATAATTAATGATCTGATCCAAGCTACATAGAGTAGTGCACAAAGTTTATATTTTTTTAAATTTCCTGTTATGTAGAGTCATCTATTTACACTTTATTCAATTAAAATAATGCTATGATACCACATTCAAATTGTCTCACACTTAACATGTAGAATTAAGTTGTGTGCAGTGTATTCTTTGAAAACCACAGTAACTTATTTCCCTTTTTTGATTTTTTTTACTAAATAAGCCTAACAATTGTGAGCTTATGATAATACTTTAAATAAATAACTAAAAATAAAAAATAAAAAAATAACTCACAAAATGTATGTTACAATGTTACATGCTTTTACAAATGTTATAGTTCTTCAAAGCTGTGTTTATATTATTATAATTTATTCATGTTGAACCTTGCATTTATCTAGGTGTGTTGTTCTATTTTTCATCTTATGAAATCAATTATTGCTATTGTCAGTATTTACAAATTTTGAATCCGAGCATTTAATTTTTATGATTTTGTTTTTGTTTATGAGAAATTAAGCATAAATTATTTCTAAGTTATCTACACATTATGCTTTAAGTGTATGCTTTCCATATTTGAATAAAGATTTATGAAAAATTTAAGTATTGTATTTTTTTTAACTATGTAAGGGTTTTGATCATTATTGGACATGATTTGAAAAAGAACTATCAATTTGTTTATCTGTCTCGGCACATAGCTATGGCTCCGTATAATCATCATTTACATGCCATTCATTGCAGTCCTTTGTCATCCTGAGCTATTGCTTCCGACTCTGGCCACAATGTAATCTTATTTTTTTGTTAATACAAACAACATAGCACTTATAAAAACATATAATCACTTGAATCTTGTTATTGTGTTATGAAATCATTTATGTATATTATGTAAACAGTCTTGCACAAGTTCTGTAAAAGTTCAACACTACACTTTGTACTAATCAACGCTCCATTGTGTTAGGAGCTATTTTCTGGGCAATGATTTTTCCATAGCCACCACGGCCACCATCATAGTCTGTTCTATATTCGTCTCGCACCTATAAGATAAAGTAAACAATGCATTGTTAATATTTCAAGTTGAACAATGTAAATGACATATATACTATTTTCACTACTGTGTAAAATAAGCTATTTTACATAAGATTAACTAAAATAAAGTAAAAGTCGCCAGACTATAAGCATAATAATATTTTTTGTGGGATGCACAAATGGAGCCTCCCTGCACAACATGCCACTCCTTAATATACAGGTGTTTGGTGCACCTTGAGCAACAATTAGCAACTACCTTACGCGCAGATTGGTAGATAGATCCTTTCACTACGAAAGTGAGCATTATAGATTATACCATCAATATAATAGGAAGCAAATTCTGTGAATTTGTTTTTTGGCATTTGAGAGTGAGAAAGCAGCGGTGGTTCAGCCTCTCTCGGTCATGAAACATACATTTGTTTTAGTCTCAAGATGGTGCCAAATAAATGCAAATTGTAATTTTTTTGAGTGTAGTACATGCATATTTACCTGTCCTCCAGTTTTGCCTCGCCCATACTGTCTGCCTTCTATAAATCCAGCATCCCAATCACAGCGAATGATTCTGTCATCTAGCCTAGTACCATTTATATATCTGAAATGCATAAAAAACAATAACTTTATTTCAGCTATCTTGTTAACTAGATCTACAAGCTTAGCATGAGCCCGAAGACAAAAGTTATCTCTTCTTCAAAATGTCAATTTTCTCTCAAAGACAAAAATTATCTCTTCTTGGAATTGTCGTCTAAGAAGAGATAACTGTTGTCTTCAGGCTCATGCTAAGCCTGCTGGAGTAAAGTATTATGACAAATTTAAAATTTATGAGCATGGCACCAACATGCAGACCTTCTATGTCTATGATCCTTTAAAATTAATTACAAAATGTTTAATGAGTTACTAAAGTATCATTACATATTACAAATAATATTATTAGTAAAATGGCTACCTCATACAATTCTCTGCATCGGTTCTGGAATAATACTCTACGAAGCAAAATCCACAAGGTGTTTTCTTATATTTATCCAAGCCCATAATCACTCTCCGGATGTCACCGCATCGTGAAAACAGCTCGTAGATTTGTTCTTCTGTTGTATAAAATGACAAATTTCCTATATAAAGCGTAGAAGTCGTTCTAAGCTGTTTCTCCTGCTCACTTCTTGAGCCCTGAAAGAAATAACGTTGGTATGTGTTTACAGACAATTATAGCAATTAATACTGTTCAAATAGATGGTTACGGTGTCAGTCCTGTATTACATTGTTGTAAAAAGTATGTAACGAAATAAAAGAAAAGTATCGAGGAAAACGACAGCGTCACGTACCTTGAAATGTTGATCACGATATGAACTTATTTCAACCGACGAATTCATCGAGTCATAAATACGTTTCATAGTGAGTATACACGTATTTTAGTGAAATTGGCAATTAATTTATCTGATATCTCACTAAAACAGACACCTTTTCCTAAAAATTTCGATAGAAACTCGCTTCGCTTCGTCGCTTAGCCAACACCAATAAAACAGCAACTAAATGACAATTTAGGTTTCGTTTAAGAATCTGAGTTTAACTTTTTTTTTTATTAATAGTTTTGGCTTGGATACAAGTTTTTTGAGCCATGTCTTCGTTTAATTATTGGGATCCTCAGTAATACTTGCCATTGAATTCTAAATTCTAATACATTATGTTTTCACTTTATCTTAAATAACTTAGGTCACTTGTTTGGGTTTATTAAATAGTCTTTTAAGCGGCGGGAGTCAATATTTATGTTTTACTTTCACTTAAATTACATTATCTTCTATCACTTTGAACAATAACTTTGAATTCGTAATTTGTGGAATTTTCAGGATAAAGTCTTTTGTAATTTGGTTTAAAATACGGAATATAACTTAATATAACTTTCTTTATCCCTATTTCTTTCTTTGTTTTTTCTTCATAATATACTTAAAATAAAAATAATCTGTGAAAACTGTACTCGTAACTTCAAAAACCCACCATTTTTTTAGTTTAGCTATTAGAGGCCAGCTTCGTTTAGAAATAACAGATAAGTGTCGTAGACGGAGTTTTCACCGTCTACGATAAGTGTACTCAAAATACGTTGTAAATAACAAAGAGAGCAACCCCCAGATTCCTCTCAATGGGAATCTGATCTATGATTATTGTATGAGTAATTTTCGGAAAAATTTCAAATAGTAGAAATTCCGGAACAATTTCAAAAAAGTTGTAATAATATAATTCGAAGATTCATATTATTTTCTTCATTTAAAAATATCTTTTATAAAGTTTTTGAAGCGTGAATTATAAAATAAAATTGTGTAGCTAAAAGCAAGTTAAATGAGACTTAAAATGATTACACAACAGAAAAATAAAAAACCTTTAAAAATGACTCCATCGTTTTCGTTCAGAAACTTCAATTTTTGACAGATGTCAACATAAAAATGTGGAAAAAATATTGGAATAATATCAAAACATGATTCATAATGGAAATTTTTCCATGACTCAATACAGCTCCATCGGTTTTCATTCAGTCAACTTTTGTTAGGTTTTAAATGTCAATTGTGGAAAAAATATTCGATACTTACAATATTATTTTTCTGAAAAATATGTGTTTTTCAAAATGGACAATTATCCATGACCCAACACTTACAAATAAGCAGTAGAGATTAATCAATATGATGATTTCAAGTGTACATAATTTGCTTAATTATTTAAAGATGATTAGAGTTTGAAAGGCGTTTTGAGTTTAGCATCATACTACTAGTGCCATCTATTGGAAAGTAGTTGAACTAAGTAAAATAAAATGCTATGCATTATTATCTCTATAAAACAATACACTATACACATTGACCTACCAATATACACTAAAAAAGAAACCTTTGCGCTTTGGGTAACTTTCAGAAAAAAATCAATCTCGCCGGACTCTACTAATTGCAGATCTGTTTTCAAATTCAAATTCAAATCTTTATTTCGGACAAAATATCCATATAGTGTTAGTAACAAAATATTTACAAACCTTAGAATAATAACGCATAGAAATCTAGTCCGCACACGCTAAGTGAGGCAAATTGAAGCGCGCCAAAAGGGCCTACACGAGCGGGCGGGCCTGCAGTGCTCAAGGTCAACTTGCACCGCGAACAGATCAAGAATTTTAGCTAAAAATGACGAAATGTGCGGTAAATGAGTGTAAAAATACGTCAGACAAACATAAAATAGATACTAACATCACATCGCATAAGGAAGTAACGCGTTTCAACTTGTATTTTTATATGAATATTCACTAAAACCGAAAATTAACCTGCTACTAAAACTAGCCTACATGAATTTGATTTTTGCCTCACTTGTGACAGTTCGTTTGATATGAAACTATCATTCTATGCGTTATTATTCTAAGTTACAAACTATTTTATTATAAATTGTCTAAATATTAGACATATTTCAATACTACAAAATATTAGAACAAAAAAGCAATCAGTTGCGTCATTGACTTACAATTAGTTGCGTGCACAATTTTACAGATTATGGGTACTTGATGTCATAAAAACTTTTCGTTTCACTCGGGGTCACTCAAAAACGGATGCTGGGTGGCTGTTGAGTGGATGAAACATACATTTGATACATGGGAAAACTCACATAATGTTACAGTTGTATTATTTCCAAGGCGTTTTATAGTGATACTTTGATCAGGAAACTTCTTTGTTATGTTGTGGCAGGCTGTGAGACTCGATCTTTTTAAATCGTATTTGAGTGATAGGTTTTCGAAGATTAGTGTCAACGCTACAAGATCGATCGTTCGATCGATCAAAAGTTAGCATGGGTGTCCCTTAAGGTTTCATTCTAGGTCCTTTTTTACTTTTAATATTTGCTAATGACTTACAACATGAGATAGTATTGTTTGCTGTTGATGCTTCCTTATTATATGAAGTTACATGGCATTAATGGTCCTAATGACGGCGTGAACAATGCTATTTCAAAGGTAGCTGGTTGGTTTGAGAAAAAAAACAAATGTAAGAACATTTATTCTATTTATTTATTCTGCTTTATGCGAACACTATATGTATAACACTAAGTAAGTTAAGGGGAAAGCGTCAAACAGGATAACAGGTGTTTGCAGCCATTTAAATAATTTCTTTTAGATCTTAAATACGCTTAAGGCATATATTTAATTTTTTTTAAATAACAGAGTCAATAAAAAATACTTCTACATCTTTACTTATCTTTTTTTTACGTATCGACCCAGCAAAAAAGCGGGCTCACATTATTTACTGCCATACAAAACTTCTGCTTCAAAACCCTCGCTTAGGTTTAAAAGTGACTAATAAATAGTTACTAAGCATTAATATAATTTTTTGAACCTGTTAAACTTATTTTCTCATAATAGAGTTCAATATCTTCAACTTTTATCAGGTATCAAATGTGGAAAAACGTAGGGAAAATATCGGAAAAATATCAGAAAAACATTTTGTTTTTCTAAAAAACGATTGATGATGATTTGAGATTGTGAGTGTGAGTGAAAAAACATGAAATGGAAATTTCCCAACACACAACACTAGCGACGACGCGGTTGTATGTATAACCGGTACCTAACTAGCATGTGAACAGAGATTATAAAGCATAAGGGCCTTAAAAGACACATACGTTGTGCTGAGATTTGGGTAAACTGCCCCTGCAGTTCGACATATAGGTATCATTATTTCTTTTCTTCTTTGATCATATACATAATTCCCGAAAAAGTAAAGGTGATGGAAAATCAAAATAATACAAGTATATTATACATGATTTTACTAACATTTATTCGTACCATCTACATCTTCCGTAGATTCCGTTCTATCAAAAATAGTAAAAATGGTGTATGAAATTAATAAAATTGATATTTCCATTTCTTGACATTGCATTTCTTTATGTACACGTACCTACAAAATACTAATTGTAATTACATACAAAATACTGTGATGCCTATCAATTATAATTTCAAAAAATCTTTAGTGAAAGCTTACCATTCGCAGCGTGAATATTTAATTTGAATATTAAATTTAATTTGTACATACCAAAAACAATATTATAAGATAATATCATAAATAACTTTGATTTTTACTTTTAAATGCATTATACTCAATTATATTAAGCATTATTTCTAACAGAATAGTTTTCTCATAACATTTTAAATTATACTGTAAGTTTATAGAATTTAAAGTAATCAAATCAGAGATATTGGCAGGTGCGTTTATGGATGGGCTTTTTGCGCAGTGCGGCCCGCACGGCTTCAATGAAAACTTCGTCGACGTTTTCGCGTTCCAACGCCGAGCATTCCACCAATTGAGCAGCCCTGCAAAAAGAGAACAGGTAAAATTAGATTTAGAGAGCAATTAGATTATATTATTCAAAATAGGTACATACAGCATTCCGTTAAATTCTAAGTTGTTATGAGTCTGTACGTGCACATAGGGCCTATTAACATTAAAATGTAGCCTACAGGAGTAAGTGACACTGGTGGACTAATTGACACTTAATCAGTTTAATCAGTGACAAATAACATTTATTATGTAAAAAATCTGCATGTTGAACCTTCTCTTATATAATGCAGACCTGTGCCCTAAAGCAGGGTGCAGCAGTTATTGTTACAGTATTAGTCCACAAAAGTAGTCCTAACTCAATCAACATAAAATTTTTTCTTAAATTACTATCGGCGCACCATTGGAATTAATTTTTGAAACAAAATACTTTGTCGTCATATCGCAGCGGGGGCGATAAGGACGATAGCAGCGAACGGCGCGGGCGCAGTGCAGATAAATCTGCTGCTTTTTACTTCGCGCTTTTCTATGAAATTTATTATTGTTAACGATACTCGACATGACCACAATTACAATGATATTGTTATTATTTAAATTCCCTGTATTGTATCCACATTTGTTTTATTTTCTCATGAATTATGAAGAAACGAATAGGTAACCTATCCGTTGAGATATATTTATGTATAATGCATGTGATGATTAGCCGATAGGTACATGGTGCAGTCATGATCACTTCAAGCTTGACACTTTGGATTGTGGACCGTTCTTATCGCAAGCGGCATAGAGTCGAACTGAAATCTTAAAAGTCAAGCTTCATGTGCTCTTGACTCTATATGTACGATGGATAAAAGGAAAACGTGACATCCATTTATAATATATTAATGTTTTCCAAATTATTTTTAATGTAGGTACCGTTTTAAATTATTGTAGTTTATATTGTGCATACGTACTACTTAGTAGTACTTATACAATCATATGACAAATGTACCTACGTATGGATTAGATACGGAATGTCATAGTAAATTCCTGATTTCGTACTAATATGAATAATCCTCTATGTCATATAGATAGACTACGCGATGATTTAATATTATTATATCAATTTTCATGTCTCCTTGTATCACAGTACTGGCAGAATACAATGAATATCCGGTTATTTGAGGAGTTCGCGTGTTAAGAAAATTTGAAGAGACAAATATTGAAAAAAAACGAATACCGTATGTAGGTACAAGATTATAGTTGTAACAGAATAAGAAATACAAAAAAAAAAGAATAAACTTTCTAATTTTCCTTAAAACCAACCGTTTACTTACTTAATTTTCCTTTTTAATTTCTTTCCTTCTTGCGTAGTTATAACTGCCTTTCCTGATGTCCGCAGGTCTGTTTTTGTAGCTGAAACAGCAAACCATATATTTCCATTACCACTGTGTATGACTAAGTGTTTGAATTTTACGCTATAACATCGTCATAGTGTCCAATGCCATGCGTCACATAACGGGAAATTATATTAAAACGAAATTCTCCTGTTTTTATTGTAAGCTCATATTAATTTTAATTTATCCCAATTCAGCAGAAGCAGGCGCCATTAAAATACGAATTGAAGACATAAAAAGGAAAAGAGAACAATAAAATTATTCTTCATTAGCACACAAAACCTAAAGGGTTCAAATGAGTAAATGCAAGGACGTCATTTCGTACACATACAATAGGAATGATTTAAAATTTGAATGTCGTAACGGGGACGGCGTTGTACTGTTTGTTTAGGCATGCCCTAACAATGAGATGAGGATGTTATTTCATTTGAACTCAATGGGATATCTAAAGGATTCTCCTGTCTTGCTTTTTAAACTTCTGTCTGTGTACAAATCAGTCTTGATTTCAAAGGATTTGATATTATGTTTATTTTGAAATTTATCATGCGAAATAGGGACTGATGAGCAATGGTCGGAAAAAAGTGTTCCACATAATATAGATAGGTACATGTATAGATATAGCTACAAGGAGCGACATCGATTTGTTAAAACCACCAAATATTAATGAAGTACTTTTTTCGAGTTCCATATTTCCGGAAATGGTTTTACTGCATCGTAGGATAAAACTACTGAGCAGTTAGGAAGTCGAAGTTGAATTTTAAAGTAATCCTTATGGTGCCATGTAAAAGATGCAGAAGATAACTGACCTTAACCAAAACAGAGAATAAAAAAGTAACGGGAATTGTCACTTTCCGGCCCTTCCTAGCTTTAGATAAAGCATATCACATCACACACACGGTCACATTGACGGTAAGGCGACATTTGCTTTTAGAAGTAAAAAAAAAATTACAATTTTATTTAGGAGGGGAATTTTAGGACGTTTTAGTTTGCATGAGAATAGTTGTGATCGGGCCCTAAACACAGTATAACAGATACTCATGAATTCGGACCACTAGCAAAAATGTAGTATTTTAAAAGAAAAATGTCCACATAGATTATTTTAAAACTTTTTATAAAAAAAACTGCTGAACGCTTAAACAAGACGAAAAGGTGCCATTTTTGACGGCCTTACCCATTGCGGCTTATTATTTATCTTCATAAATCGAGGGATTTCTTTAATTCGGAAATTCAAATAAAGTAATTAATTAATATTTGGTGGTTTTAATAACTCTATGTCGATTCTTGTAGCTATATCTAAACATATTATGTATCTGTATATGTGGAACACCTTTTCCCGATCATTGCTGACGACTGAGTATACTTTTAGCAGAAAACAATTTAAGTCATTTGCGACTTCAGTCTTGTCGTAATAACTCATATTTTTCTAACAGTGCATCAGTATTTCGTAGGGAAGTTTATTGAGAAATGTACTTACCAACTAATACGATAGGTACGGAAGCGCTAAAATGTTTAAGTTCTGGATACCATTTATGCACGACGTTTTCGAAGGAGGACCGCGTGCCCACCGAGTAGCACACCAGGAAGCAATTTGTCTGCGAACCAAATGTAATCCCATTTATTTAAATTCTGCAAATTACGTCTAGTAGGTTAATAGGAGTAAGGTTTTTGACCATAACACGACTTATAACGCAACAAAGAGCAATAAGGAAATCGTACCGTTTACAACATTGACTTACAATTATAAAAAGTCAATGGTTTACAATAAATTATTCTATTTGTAATAAAAAAGCTCTACATTTCACTCTTAATCATTTAGGTACCTCGGAGAAGAATGGGCGTTAAAACCAAATCGTAATAACAGGAAATTTTAATCCAACTATAATATAAAATTTTTTGATAAAATTAATTTTTACGCCATTTTTTCCCCGAAGTACCTATCGTAAGGTTAAGAATGGAGACAAAAAATATTTGTAGGTTATTCTCTTTTCCAAGAGAAATATACCGACATAAATCGGTGGTCACAGTTTCGAAATTTCACAATTACGTGACCCTTTCACGTAGAAGCGTTTCGTACCTACCGAAATGAGACAATATTAGTGGATATATTTCGTATTATAACGTCAAAGTCAATTAATCATTTATTCCATAGGTAAAATTTTTACACTTGAAAACGACATTTTTTAAGCCACTGCTCGTTCACTACGCTGACCTCCCTGAGACGAACAAGCAAGAAACTCTAGGAATTACTCTTTTCAAATAAACTTAAATGCTTTAGAATACATTTTTAATCATATTTGTGTGGAATCTAGACTCACGTTGTCTTTCCATACATCTTTATTTAACACGTAGTCTACAATTTTGTAATATGACTTTTCAATTAAAATACTTTTAATGTAAGTTTTAAACTTAGGAAATGGTAAACTTAATATATGCTCAGGAATCTTATTGTAAAAACGTATACAGTTCCCCATAAAAGAATCGTTTACTCTAGTTAAACGAAAACGTGGTACCCATGAGTTTGGACTTAGTTCCAAGGTTATATAATATAATATTATGGATATTTTCTTTCTTAACGAAATTATGTATATTTTTACGGGCATACAAAATATTTGAGTAAATGTACTGTAATGCCACACTCATGATATCAGTCTCCTTAAACTTCTCTGAGAGGAATTCCAAAGCCTAAACGGTACACAGAACGAATCGCTCGTAAGGTTTAAAATGCGACTAGAAACATTGTTGTGTATTATGTTTTGTATGGTAAAAGCAGTAGAGCTCCTTGTGAAAGAGTTCGTCCAGGGTAGTACTGTCACCTTACCTATTTCTGCCGCCAAGCAGTAATGTCAGCATTACTGTGTTCCGGTTTTGAAGGTTAAGGGTGCTGGTGAAATTACAGGCACATGGGACTTGTCAACTTATGTCTCAGGGTGACGGGCGCAGTCGTAGTGCTCCTCAGATCTTTGCAATTTAAAGCTCTAAGTTGCACTGTAACTGTTATGGACAGGCGTGTAGCTTACCATCAGTCGCAAGACTTGTTCGTCCCGTCACTTGATGTTATAAAAAAAACTTTTGATTCTTGTTTTCTTTTTAATCGACCTCAAAAAAAGGAGTAGGTTCTCAATTCGACTGCATGTTTTTTTATGTACGCGATAATTCCAGCATTTGTGAGAAAGAGTACCCAGAACATCGAGTATATAACCAGAAATAGAGACGAAATAAGGGCCATACATTCCTGGTAACTCATCAGTGATACATCACTTATAAATATCAACTCTCGTTTGCACTGAAACTGAAATTATATATATATATATATATATATATATATATATATATATATATATATACACACAGATGCACACGAAAACAAGTCATACTAAAAAAATAGTACACTTACGTGGTTGTAAGAGAGTGGTCTTAAGCGTTCGTAGTCTTCTTGACCCGCTGTGTCCCACAATGCCATCTCCACTTCCTCGCCGTCGACTGTGGCGCGACCCACGTAGTTATCGAACCTGAAGCCAATCTCTGTTAGTCTCTAGTCTTGGAATATTTAAAAAAAAATGTAATATATTTATAATACATGTGTGTTTACACTACATTTTTCCAAGCAAAAATACTTTCGAGTATCAAACCAGGGTTTTTGTGAGAGTTTACATTTTGGTAACATCGTTTAGAAGATTTTGATAAGAAATACCTACATATTTTTGAGGAATTGGTTGGTATCTACATTGGGAATTGAACTCGTGACCTTCGCTACTTAGACGCTAAACACTCGAGTTGATGTAGCTTTGTATTTACAAGCTGGTATCTACATACCAATTCTTCAAAAATATGTAGGTATTTCTTACCAAAATCTTCTACATGGTGCTACCAATGTAAACTCTCACAAAAACTCGTAAGTATTTCTGCTATAACTGTTTTCGTGCATTATTCTTACTACATAAGCACAAATATAGGTGCCTATTTATAAAATATTATATAAACAACGTGAAATCAGAAGGAGGAACTATAGCAATGAAGTTTAAGCAGCATTTTGAAAACATCCGCTTAAATGCATTGTAGGAAGGAACAAAGATTTGTTTGTTCGTTGAAATTGTACACCTGATTGATATGCATACAACTTGATATACACAATTGACAAAATATATATTTCTTAAGGTAATTCCGTGGCAGTTAATAGGATTAGCTAAAATATTACTTATTTTAATTTTTAGTTAAATCCCGATTTCAATTCTAACCGATAAAAAATAAGTCTCGCCATTTTAAAGCAATACGTAGGTTTTGCTGTTCACACTGGGATCACCTTTGTCCAGTAGCACCATTCTACAATTCAAAAATCAGTACATCTAGCTGAGATTTAATTAGACTCAGAAAAGTCAGGATTTAGTCAGCTCGAGATACAAAATTTAAGAATTAGACATTACTGCTTTAGGGCAAGGGGGCTAGTAAAATTACAGGCACATGGGACTTGTCAACTTATGTCTCAGGGCGAATGGTTGTAATGGTCAAATTAATTAATGGTGGTTTATCTGCGATATATATTTTATTTTCAGAAAGTATGCTATTACAGGTTGTGGGAAAACAGTTAGGTATCGTGTTTACATATTACTTAAAATCAAGTTAATGTTGTGACTTGTAATAGTGATCTATAAAGTTTAGTCTAGCAATTAGTCTGAAATAATGCAAACACTGCACTACCAAACAAAAATTATTTCAAACATCATTCAGAGCTTTTTGTATCTGTTTTAACGACCATGCCATACTAATTAACATTACAAACGGGGATAAGCGTGATAAAATCGATCAATGTGCACATTTACGTATTATCCCAATAGGGCTAGCTCAACAGGGCGCGAGATACCGTTACTCTCGCATAAACATCCCGCGCTTTATGTCGCTCTCGTGTAAGTCGCGCTCTGTCGTGTTAGCCCTACTGGTTACACTGACCATCGTCAGGGGCTGACTATCATTATCATGCCAAGTTCCATATTAAACTTGAATTAAAAGGACTAGGAAGCGATATTATACGATCACGATTATTTCTGAATAATAAAATAGTCTTATTAAGACTTGGTGTAAAGTGACTCATGTTACGGAAACAATTATTTTGATCAAAGTTGGAAAATTTGGTTGGTATGTACGAGTATATTACCGTTATCCACCTTTTAACATTTTACAAGGTGTATACGGAAAAATCTTCCAGAAATTATGTTCGGTATATGAAACAGAGTTTTTGAAATTTAGTGTCTCAGACATCTCTATATTCACAGTGAACATGTGAGGCTTTAAAAAGTAACATATGGAATTTTTCTGTACAAGTAAGCTGAAAAAGTGGATCAGGTGTTTCGTCCTGCATGGCCGAGAAGATCCAAATTGTACGAGTAAAGTTCCATATTTTAATCTCAATGCATTCATCGCATTAGAGTTAAAATTAAACAAAATAATATAAGAATATGCCCTGCGCGAGCTGCGTTAGTATTCACAATTTATTTTTCTATTTTAAATTTTTGCACTGCAGAGCTCCTTGTGAAAGATTTCGCCCAGGGAAGTACTGCCACCTTATCTATTTCTACCGCCAACTGGTAATGTGAGCATTACTGCGTTCCGGTTTTAAAGGGTATGTATTGGTGCGGGTGAAATAACAGGCGCATAAGACTTGTCAACTTATGTCTCAGGGTGGCGGGCGCAGTGGCAATGCCCCTCAAATCTTTGCGATTCAAAGTTCTGGGTAACATTGCTACTGCTATAGGCAGACGTGTCGCTTACCACCAGGCCCATGACTTGTTGAAAAAGTCGTTCATATATTATCTGATCAATAGTGTTAGGCGATTATATGTAGGTACTCCATGTGTGTAGCTCATCTCAAGACCGAGACTGATAAACACAATGCGAATCAATAAATCCTCACATCTGTAGACCAAAGTAACTTTAAAGGTATACCTTCAAACAAGTGTCTGCGTTATTAATAATATACAAAAAAGTAAGTTTGAAACTTGAACTTACGTCGCATTTTCTTTCAAAACGGAGTCAATTTAAATTTTTTGGCACAAGAGTGCGCGCGAGTTCCTACAGGTGCAAAGCGACTGCCCCGGGGAAAGCGGGGAGGTAGGCTATGCTGCCTTGTTTAAAGGAATCTAAAACATTTGAAATGACCGAGTAATCAAGCGTAATCGCTTTGCCTTCTATGGCCGCTTTGAGCTCACTTCCGCGGTCTTCTGAATAAAAGTGGGCCTAATAATTCTAGAATTTTTAAACTAGTTGGTACTGATGAAGTCGCGTTATTTTCTAGTGCAATGAAATCTAAGCTACATGCTGCGGCTGGCTGTGGTTCTCGAGATTCTAGAACGGTGGCGTCGGCGCCCGAATAAGGTTATCCCAAGGAAGAGAGCCACAACACCTTTGTAACTTTGAAATAGCGGATCGATTACATCTACTTTTTGCAATTAGAATAGACTAAACCGCATTTTAATTTACTAATAAAATTTTATGTATTCTATTAAGATGACGTAAGAAAGCACGCGATGTAGAGCGGTCAGTGAGTACCATGCGTGGGACAAGTATTCAGCGATGATGATCTGCAAGGAAGTCGGACCGTAGGCGTACAGCCCCGTAAGGAGGAAGCGACGACCGCACACAATACAACAATGCTCGACTGTCGACACATTTTTGACTTTATAAATAGTGCACCTCGATGCTAAGTGTCTGAGCAATTTAGCACGCGCACGCAGATTGCTTATAAAATCAGAGACACCTAATTATTCTAAAAGACATGCAGTCAAACCAATACTAATCTGCATTTGTTTCCCGTTAGTTGTTCGAATTCATTAAGTACGTCACTGAGGTGTAAATTTTATAACTCCTGATGACTGAAATCAACAGGCCCGAACTATCTTTAAATCTCTTCATTTCTTAGACTATGGCTATTAAAATCGTCATGAAAGATTGATTCTCCAGAAACAATCGAGCAAGAAACTCGAAGGGTGTCTTCTCTACATGCCAAAATAAATATCTATACATGTAATAAGTAACAAAGTAAGTACGTAAGTTCAATGAAATTCGTTTATCTATGTTATAAAATCACCAAGGTTGTACATATCAGCTTGCTACAAAGTAGGTACATTTTACATAAAAAAACATTTTGGCATCATTGATTATCATGGCTAACTTAACGCTTCTTGCCTATGCATAAGTTTCCTTGCTGCCTCATAATGTATAGTATTCCCCAGGATTAACAAAAAAAAAAAAGGACTATACTTCATCGTAATCATTTTGGACCGCGTAGCCTTCTATCAAATACATTATATTGGGTAACGCCTGTACCTGCATCGCAATAAGACCATTTGTGCGATGGAAGTGTTAACTAATTCATGACATGTTAGACTTGTTGCAAAACGGTAATAACTTGAATAAATGTAAGTGATGCTAGTCGGACCTTGTTTGTTACTATGCTATCTTCGTCTTATCAATAACTGTTATACCTAATCTTACAGAGATAAAAAAGCAGTTGATTCAGTGCCAGTCTTATATTATTATGTTCTCAAACCCGAAGGTAAGACCTTGACCTTTATAGTACAACGTCCACTTTGATCACAACAAACAGGTACTTTGTTAGTAGATTTCATTGACACTTCGCTCTGTTAGTCATCAATTCTTTTATGATTTTTATGAAGTACAAATAAATGACGTAATTATTGGTATTAAGCACCTACAGTAAAATCGATTCATCTTTTGTTAATACTGGATTGACTACTACTAATGGTGACTATAGTGGTGTATTTGCATAGTATGAGTCACTAAATACAATAAAAAAATAATACCTATTTATTTATGAGCAGACACCTATACGTATTTGGAAAACCATAATAACACAATTTGGAGAAAAATGAACTGCAGAAAATAGTAACGCGATAAAATAAGATTGACAATGTTAATCGTTTTGAACTCTATAGTGAAGCTACTAAAGTGTGTAGGTATGGTTCTTGTATGAGTCAATATAATAAAATAAAACATTATAATAAAGTGATGGATCTTTGGATGAGTTCATAAAAGGAAAACGTAACATAATGTGGAAATGTATAGAGTAGGTATAATGCTGTAGATGAGCATTCTCGGCAACTTCGAGGCTGCTGCGCAGTTGACATCGCAAATAATTACACAGCGATAAGGCCGTCAACGCACCAGCCGCTGATTTAGTGGCCCGCCCAAACGTCGCTCCGCTGACCTACAGCCGCTACACCTGTAGACGCACCACGGATAGAACTACCGGAACAAATCGAATACACACTTCGTACTTACACAGTGGGCACGTATTCCTCAGGAAATTTATTTTTAGTGTACACGTAGAGGAGGCAGGTCTTGCCGACCATACCGTCCCCGACGACTGTTATCTTCAGTCTCTTCGCCGTCCCCATGGTGCGTGCCGCGACATCCGACAAATTATCGCACACAATTCACACTTCCACTAAGTCTTTGGTTTTAACACTGTTTCACTGCCACCGCCGCATATCCACAACTGACGATGAGTGTCCGCCTCGTAAGACGAATCGATGCTTCACGAACGTTATCATTCAGTGATGTTATAATCTTATCAAACTTGTAGAAATATTCGCTATAGCGAAACCGTTTAAATTACACCTAGAGACGCGCGCGCCGTTTCGCGGTCGGGTGCTAAATGATTCAGCGACCGGCCGGTAGCGGCGCTTGCGCACGCGAGTAGCAGGCGGGAGCCTCAACCAATTCGTAATTAATTCAGTGGACGTATCATGTCAAAGCTGCGATAACAAACGAGCTACGTCATAGCACAGTTTGATTTACTATTCGAATCACTGGATGTACTCTGTACATACGAATTTTCAAAACGGAGGAAGTTTGATTAGAGAACACCCGTTAACTACTAATGAAAGTGATACGAGGAGCCTATTGTGCTAATAGCTCTACAATCTAAATGTTGAAGGGCGATCGTTAGCAAATTAAACATACGCGGAATAGTCGTTACGGAATAAAACTGGTTTTTAAAAGAAACTAGTTTTTGTTAATCAATAAAAATGGTGCTTAGATTTAAAAAACATGGCAAATTTTATTTATTTAATCAATGTAGCTGAATGTAGCATAAAGTCACAGTAGCAATTTCTTTATCATTAACATAATAATGTAGCAAATAATTTAATGTAGGCAAGATGCAAATCACAAGCAATAAAATTGGACCATCAAAATTGTTTTTAAAATTTTTTACAAATGTATTTCAGTAGATCTTGCTTAATACTTAAGTCATAATTATGTTAATAAGTAAGTAAGCAGTCATAATTACGTTAATTTCAGGATTCTAGCTCCATCATGACATGATTTATTTCACACTGTGCTGTTTACTATTATTCTGTAAGCAGGGTAATTTTATTGTCTGTAAATGCACCATGCAGTTGCTGTAATTGTGAGTAAACATAATAATAATTGTCAACAATTTACAGATTACTTGGTAATCATTAATCACAAATATGTCAAATAACATGAAAGGACGATTTAAAAAAAAATTATACTTATTTATGGTAACTTATTAATATTATGAAAATTGTGAAACATTAAAATAAGTGTAAGATTAAAAAAGTAATACACTTTGCTCATACATTTGTGCAACATCGTTTTTAAGCAAAGTTTCAATACTGATTGAAATAAAATTTTTATTGATTTCTATAGCACACAGGAACACTTAACTGGCACCAAAATATCGAATAATTACACCAAAGTGCATCACAACAATTTAACAATTTTATTTTCACATAACACTACTTTTGCTTTTCAACTTTGAAGTCTTGTAGACCACTCAAAATAATCTCCTCCTTCAAAGCTATGACTTCTCTTAGGAGGTTCTGGTTGTTGGTTTGTAGTTGAGCTATTACTGTACGCTGTTTCCTCTCACGCTCACGAATCTGAAGTAATGTATGGTCACATACTACACTGCAGGGTGTGTGTGAATCTATAGAAAAAAAGTACAAATAAACAATCAGTGTATTATTATTATTACATTTTGTCAATGGAATGGTAAAAATTCCAAAGAGCCCCTTGAGTGAAAATGAGTCATGTATATGATTTGTCTAGGTTTGTTTTCCGCATCAACCAGTACTTCAGTATCTCTTAATTTGCCATTTTCACTTTCTCATGGAACCTTTGTTTCGTTACATAATTTTTGTCCTGTTAAGGTACCTTACATGGCACTTTAAGAAATTTTTCTATTCAACTGGAGATATTGATTATTAGTGAAATTAAAAATACATTTAAATTTGTTGTTACAAAGTTCAGAAACAGACAAATTATATCATAATGTATCTGTTTCAAAATGTATCAATGCAATGGTAATATGGTGATTTTATGGTAATCACCATATCACCATTATACATTATGTATAAAGTTTTTAAGCAAAATTGGAATTTATGATACAAGAAAGGGTTAAGAATGTGAATCAATAACTTTGTTATGTATAAAAAAGAATATATATAGAATATAAAAAGAATTTACCAAACTTATTCCTCAGTCTATCTGTCAGTTTCTCATTCTCTTGCGTCAATCGATTTATCTCATGCTTCATTGCATTCACAGTGGTTTCCTTTTGCTTTGTCACTTGAAGAAGTTTTGCCTTTGTCTCAGTCATTTTTTTAAGAATTTCATCAGATCGGTCAGAGATTCTTTGTGCTGATGCTATGCATGCTCTGGATTCATTCTTCTCCACAATTGTTTTGTCTTTTAATCTTCCTATTACACCCTAAAAAAAAATTTCACATGTAATATAAAAATTACTAATTAATAATACTTGTGTCCTGTTACAAATTCAAAATAATTATTAGTTACAAAAACTTAGTTCTAGAAACAATTAATAAAGCTTAAATAACCAACAAGCTTTTTCAATTATTTTATTTTACTTTTTATTGTATTTAGTGTCTGCTGACATTGAATGTGCCATGAAATTATGAGTGCATTTGCCATATATGAATACATTTATATGTTCTGATGGGCCTAGTGGTAAATCCAGGCCTAGGAACCAATAAATTACAAGTATAATTCACAAATTGTATGCTTCCTGTGTATGTGTATAATATATACTTACATTGAGCTTCCTATTGTTACACTCAAGTATGTCGTTCTGCTCCACTAAACGCTCCACCTTCTCAGTAGCATTTTTGTAGTAATGTAACAGTGTCCACACTGAGTTTATAAGTCTCACTAAAGTTTCAGGTCGCAGAGTGCCATCTTCTACGTCAATGTGAGGATTGAATACGTAATTTATGTTCAAAACACCAAATTCCTACAAAAATTGCCCATTTTACTCACAGCTGAAGATTGTTTCGTAAAAAACTAAAATCGCAATAAATAACAAAGGACTTACTTCGCTAAGGCCAATCAAACACTCCTTAGAGTTCTCCAAAGTGCAAGGCTCGTAAATTGTCGCTCTTCTATGCTTATAATTTCGGAGTAACTCTTTAACTTCTTCGTCTAAACTTTCGCAGTCACTTAATGATGCCATAGCGTTGTTTTGATTCAAGTTTAGTGAGCGAAATAAATGAAAAGCTGCACTTAAACTAATTGAAAAATTTTAACTCGACAAACGCAAACAAACGCAACGAACAAAAAGCAATTAAAGGTCAATCAGTGTTGCCATTGCCAGCGCCGAATTCTCCTTGACTTCAACTTATAGTTTTAGTTATTTAAATAGTGATGGGTCATGGAAAAATTTCCATTTTCAAAAAATAGTCATTTTCAAAAAAAAAAAATTTTTTTCCGCATATTTTTCCAGATTTGACGTTGACACCTGCCAAAAGTTGGCCTCCTATATCTATGTCATACGCAGATCGTTCCAAACAATGACAGTAGACGTATTCCTCAAAATCTATAAGACCTATATACGGCCACTGTTGGAATATGGATATCCAGTGTGGAGCCCTAATTAAAATGTTCAGAGGAAGGCAACTAAAACGCCACAGGCTCTTCGACGCAAATCCTATGAGGAGAGACTACACGTATTACGCCTCACTACTCTGGAAGAAAGACGCCTTCGTGTCGACCTCATCGAGATTCATAAAATTCTGATGAGTCAGTACAATCTACCAGCAATACAAAACATCTTTAAAAGAAAACTTTAAACCGTCACGTGGCCACCATCTGAAACTAGATCGTGCACCTTCCAAAACTCATGCACACACAATTTTTTCAGCAACAGAGTGGTGCACAATTGGAACATGCTACCGGAAGATGTTGTTTCTGCTGTCTCTGTTAATGTCTTCAAAAACAAGCTCGACAACTGGTTACGAAAGAGTGAGATAGCTATTGTTGAGGTAAAAAATGAACTAAAACAAACGATATAAATTTCAGCACTGTGTGATGTAGACATAGCAACGAAAGCTGCTCGTCTGTAAGCAAATAAATAAATCATTTTAAATCTCGTTTTTCTCTATCTTGCTTTTAGCTGTGCAATTTCATTTCAGTTCTCATAACTTTAAAAGATATTTCTAAACGAAGAACATAATATGAGCCTTTAAGGGTCGTATTCCAGAACTCTGCTCAATGTTCAAGTCAGGATTTGAGCAGACTTGAGTATGATTTCAAGCACTGGAAATACGACCCTAATGGCAAGGACTTGAGTATGATTTTCAGTGCTCACTGCAATACTCAAATCCTGACTTGAGTATGATTTCAAGCACCGGTAATACGACCCTAATGGCAAGGACTTGAGTATGATTTCTGGTGCTTTAAATTATACTCAAATCCTGACTTGAGCATTGCGTAGAGTTCTGGAATACGACCCTAAATTATATTTTTCCCACATTTTTCAATAAATCCAGTAATTGTAAATTTCCGGAAAAAATCCACTAATTGAAATTTTTCCCTGGAAAATTACCCAACAGTATTTTAAAATGATAGTACAGGCACACTGTTGGGTATTTTCCCAAAAAAATTTCAAAATTTGTACGTTAATATTAGGGGTTAAAGTATGAAATTGCCGTTTTATTGCAATAGG